GTCTGTAGCGGAATATAGTAACGCCCCGATTTAAACGATACAAGCGGATAAGCGGGCCATGAAGGCGGCCAAGTCGAGCGGGCTAAATGCGAATTACAGTTCCCCGATTTTCCACCCATTCCTCCTCCACCGAGCCATGCCGAGCGGCCGAGCACCACCAACAGTTTGCCATCCGTTGCCACCAGAAGTTTGTATAATGGGATGGGGAGTAGAGTGCATGCAAATAATACAAGGCCGATCGCGTCTACATCTACAGATAGTTACCAGGCGGCCATCGCGCCAGCGCCCATGGTCGCGCCGACGGCGGCGGGGCGGACACCAGCTGAATGTCAGCTTTCATCTTCACGGGAAAAGAGTAGCAGAGCAAGGTGTACTCACAGGTGCACTTGAAAAGACCGCCGGAGAGGGCACCGGCGCCGATCGAGTTGAGCGCGTCGTGGTGACCGCGCAGAGAGTCTAAGCTAGAGTTGGTGAGGTTGTAGAAAATGGCTGATGTTAGCTAAACTCCAACCAGGCAAGCTTACCGAGGACACCGAGCGAGTTGCCCGTGAAGCTTCCTCTCCTGGTGCACGAGTTGAGGACGCTGTTCAGTCGCAGACGCATCGAGGGGTTCGGGCCGAGCGGTCGCGAGAGACCCTCCTTCATTCCCCAGGCGCCTCCCGTAAGGAGACCAGTCAGGTAGGTGGTGCCGGTGCCGACACAGAGGTCGTCAGTCCAGCCACGCGAGGGCAGGACGGACTCTGCGCCCTCCATGTCGGTGAGCTTGTCCTCGTCGAGGTTGAGGAAGTCGAGGTTGTCGCCGAGGTTGGCCATGGGGTGGAGCTTGGAAGCGTCAAACGAGGACTGGAGCATGCCGAGCGATGAGGGGGCTTCCGGGGCGGGGGCAGGGGTGGCAGGGGGCTGGGACGGGCCGGCGCTGGCGTCGAGCGCAATGTCCTTCATCGTGCCCTCAGCCGAAGCCGGGGGCTGCTGGGACGGCTGGACGGTTGAGCGGAACTGGGTCTGGGAGAAGATGTCGGCCGAGGCAGAGTCCTGCTTGTCCTGCTGGGCGGGCTTGGAGCCGCCGAAGAGTCCGCCGAAGAGGGAAGACATTTTGGTGCGTTCGAGAGGGTCGGGAGGTGGAAAGGAGAAGAGGAGGAGGAGGGGAAGGAGACGGAGGCGAGATTAGAGATGGATGGCAAAATATCGAGTTGAACGCCGTGCAGCTTGAAATTCAAAGTCAAGCAAAGATCCGAGGCTCCGCCCTGGCAGCAGGCGCAGGCGAGCGACCTTCCTGGCACACGCTCGCTCATCGGACCTGCCGGCCTAACCCTCTGCCTTGCTCTGACGCTCACTCAGCCTTGCTCTCTCCTAAGGCGGAGTTAATATCCCCACACTGAATTTTTCTCCTTTTCTCCCATTCCGCACTCAGGCACGGCTACCACGTGGTGTGAGTCCACCTCCACTTCCTAATGATGAATGTTTTTGGAGACTGATCCACTGTGATCCGTCTGTATCCACATAGACACTCTATCACACCATGGCCAGAGCATCAGCCGCTGCCGGCCCCTCGACACCGAGGAAGAAGACGAAAAAGCGTGCCGCCGAAGATGGTACGCCCGCCGCCAAGAAGACCAAGGCGCCCCGGATAGACGACGAAGAAGCTCAGGAGGAGCCGGCCCAGAACGACGATCCGATGGCCGCGCTTGAGGAGGCGCAGAAGGACCCGATGGAGACACTCGATGAGAACCTCAAAGGAGAGACCAGCGAGGACGGACCTGTCGAGGAGTCCAAGGACGGGCATATTCCGGGACAGGCTCCCGTGCGAGCAGACGAGTACGAGCTCAAGGCGGAGCGTGAGGTCGACGCCAGCAAGGGGCTGGGCGGTGGTCACGCTGCGGATGAGGGCAAGCTGAAGCTTGTTCATGAAGTCAGACATCAGGTGAGCTACTCGATCAGGTTTTCGAGCTAACAAGCAGGTCGCCATCCCTCCCGGCTTCCCGTACGTTCCGATCTCGCAGCACAAGCGTCTCGACCCGCCGGCGAGGACGTACAAGTTCGAGCTCGACCCGTTCCAGTATGTCGCCACCTCGTGTATTGAGCGCAGCGAGACTGTTCTGGTGTCTGCGCACACGTCTGCCGGTAAGACCGTCGTCGCCGAGTTTGCCATCGCCACCGCCCTCAAGTCGGGCATGCGTGTTGTCTACACGAGTCCCATCAAGGTGCGTCTTGTTGTACTCGATCACAACTGACAATCAGGCTCTCTCCAACCAGAAGTTCCGTGACTTCCAGGAGGACTTTGGACAGGAGAATGTCGGTCTCATGACTGGTGATGTGACGATCAACCCGACTGCATCGTGTCTCGTCATGACGACGGAGGTGAGTTCGTCGGTCGCTTTCCGCAACTGACATTAGATTCTGCGTTCTATGCTCTACCGCGGCTCCGAGGTCATGCGTGAGGTCGGATGGGTTATCTTCGACGAGGTGCACTACATGCGCGACAAAGAGCGTGGTGTCGTGTGGGAGGAGACGCTGATCCTGCTCCCGCACAAGGTGCGCTGTGTGTTCCTGTCCGCCACTATTCCCAACTCTATGGAGTTTGCCGAGTGGTGGTGCCAGACGCACGAGCAGCCGTGTCACATCGTCTACACCGACTTCCGACCGACACCGCTGCAGCACTACCTCTTCCCCGCTGGCTCCGAGGGCATCTACCTCGTCGTGGACGAGCGATCGAACTTCCGCGAGGATAACTTCCAGAAGGCGATGGCTGCGCTCGCTGCTGGTCAGGGAGAAGACCCCGCCGACCCGAACTCTGGACGCAACAAGAAGGGCAAGACGAAGAAGGGAGGCGCCATGAAGGGCGGAGTGTCCGACATCTACAAGATCGTCAAGCTGATCATGAGCCGCAACTTGAACCCCGTCATCATCTTCGCCTTCTCGAAGCGCGAGTGCGAGGCGCTTGCCATGCAGATGTCTAAGCTCGACTTCAACACTGAGGACGAGGCCGCCACTGTCCAGCAGGTGTTCGAGAACGCCATCGGCGCTCTGTCTGAGGACGACCGCAAGCTGCCGCAGATTGAGCAGATTCTTCCTCTTCTCAAGCGCGGAATCGGAATCCACCACGGTGGTCTTCTCCCCATCCTGAAGGAGGTCATCGAGATTCTCTTCCAGGAGGGTCTTCTCAAGGCGCTGTTCGCCACCGAGACCTTCTCCATCGGTCTCAACATGCCTGCCAAGACTGTCGTGTTCACCTCGGTCCGCAAGTTCGATGGCAAGGAGTTCCGTACTCTGTCCGGAGGAGAGTACATCCAGATGTCTGGTCGTGCCGGTCGTCGTGGTCTCGACGCGCGTGGTATCGTCATCATGATGTGTGATGAGAAGATCGAGCCCGAGGCCGCCAAGGGTATGGTCAAGGGCCAGGCAGACCGCCTCGACTCTGCCTTCCATCTCGGCTACAACATGATCATCAATCTTATGCGTGTCGAAGGTATCAGCCCGGAGTACATGCTCGAGCGCTGCTTCTACCAGTTCCAGAACAGCCTGTCCGTACCTGTGCTCGAGAAGCAACTCAAGGCTGCCGAGGAGGAGCGCGACGAGATCAAGATCGAGGACGAGGACGACATTGCCGAGTACTACGACCTCCGCGACCAGCTGAAGGTGCTTGAGGGCGACTTCAAGTCTGTCATCACGCACCCGCAGTATGTCCTGCCGTTCATGCAGCCCGGCCGTATGGTCGAGATTCGTGACGGCGGCCGCGATTTTGGCTGGGCCGTTGTTGTTGGCTACAACAAGGTCGTCAACCCCAAGGGACGCCCGCCAATTGTTACCGAGAATGACCCGCCGCAGAAGGGTTATGTCATCGACGTCCTTGTCAAGGTCGCCTCAGGATCGCAGGTTCCTCGCGACAAGAACGCCGAGGGCATCCAGCCCCCCGGGCCCGGTGACAACGGCGAGACCGCCATCATCGGTGTTCTCCTCTCCACTGTCCAGGCCGTCTCCACTGTCCGTCTCCACCTGCCGAAGGACCTCCGCTCGCAGTCGGACAAGGACACTGCTTTCCGCGCTGTCAACGAGGTCAAGAAGCGTTTCCCTAAGGGCATTGCGCTTCTCGACCCCGTCGTTAACATGGGCATCAAGGACGACTCTTTCAAGAAGCTTGTTAAGGTAAGCTGAGACCCCGACGAACAAGCTGACATCAGAAAATCGCTATTCTCGAGGACCGCATCCAGACTTTGCCTATCACGTCATCTCCCGACCTTCCCCAGAAGTACGACGAGTATGACCGCAAGCAGAAGGCGATCGCGTCCGTGCGCTCGCTGAAGAAGCGCATTTCGTCCGTGCACGATGTGCTGCAGCTTGAGGAGCTGAAGGGTCGCAAGCGTGTCCTGCGTCGTCTCGGCTTCACGACGTCCGGGACGTTGTCGAGATGAAGGGCCGAGTGGCGTGCGAGATCAGCACCGGTGACGAGCTGCTTCTGACCGAGATGATGTTCGGCGGCACCTTCAACCCGCTCACGCCGGAGCAGTGTGCGGCGCTGCTGTCCTGCTTCGTGTTCCAGGAGAAGTCCGAGGCGAAGGTCAAGATTCGCGAGGAGCTCGCCGCGCCCCTGCGTGTGCTGCAGGAGACTGCCCGCCGGATCGCCAAGGTCTCGAACGAGTCCAAGATCCCCGTTGTCGAGGACGAGTACGTGCAGTCGTTCAAGGTCGAGATGATGGAGCCGGTGCTGCAGTGGTGCAAGGGTGCCTCCTTCGCCGAGCTCTGCAAGCTCACCGACGTGTATGAGGGTAGCATCATCCGCTGCTTCCGCCGCCTGCAGGAGCTGCTGCGCCAGATGGGCCAGGCCGCGAACGCGATCGGAAACAAGGAGCTCGAGGAGAAATTCACAAAGGCTCTCGAGATGCTCGAGAAGCCCAACTCGATCATCTTCAGCCCGTCCCTGTACCTCTAAGTCACACTAGTTCGAGAGCTCGCCTACCCGTAGAATGTAAGATTATGCTACACATTTCCATTGCTGCATGCAGATACCGTTACCACATTGCACGTTTGCGTAGTTGCTGCAGATCCTCTCCGCTACTCATCTCGTGGCTTGCATCGCTTCCAGGCATATACATCTAGGCACCCTGGACCGGCGTGATAGGTCTTTCGGTTGCCGAGGCTGTCGTCAGGTGGTGTCATCTGACCGTTAGGTTCAACGAGGTGTGGCACCGGTCTCGGCCTTCGCCACTCTTCTTGCTCACCGGAGCGTGTGAAACAAAGGATCGGCAGTTCCTGAGACGATGGCAGTGTGATCTGGGAGTTGTATATGCATAGGAGTATGTAATAGCGGTGCTACTCAAGCTCTATCTGATCGATGACGGGTCTATTGTGTATGTACTGTACTACTCGACCCCTCAGTTGAGCACGCCCTTCGCTGGTCGTGGCCTGAGCAGCGACGAAGCTGACCCAGGCTGGGTCACCATATCCTCGCTGACGAGCGGCATGCCGCACGCCGTGCACGGCTCATGCCCCTCCGCCATGGACCACTCGACACAGTCCGCATCGTCCCTGATCCGATCCCAGCTGCTGGGCGTAGGACATCGATCGATCTCAAAGGTCGCCGCCTTCTCCTCCGCCAAATTTGCCGCCGGAGGCTCCCGCACGTTGCTCCAGTAGAAGTACTCTATAGCGCGTGTCGCACTGGACCCGTACCCGTTATGTGCGTGGGCGTGGTGTCCACCATTAGTGTGGTGGTTGAGAGAATGTGAGACGGGCGCGTACTCCTTCTCCTGGCCTGCCTTCTCATCCCACTCACTCCCAGGCGCGGGATCGACGCCCTCCCACTCATCATCCGCAAGCGAGTCGAGCACGAACTCAAAAGTCGTGTCCTTGCCGTACCGCACAGTCTTGTCGCGAATGGCAGCCTGGATGAATGCCCTGCGGCAGAACCGCCTCCGGTTCGGATTCGGCCCAGGCGCGATCGGGATGTGCACGACGTGATGCACGTTTTGCAGAGCTACGAGCCCATCCTCTGCCGAGTGGTCGTGATATGTCACTTTCCGGACTCGCGGGCCCAGCCACGCAGGGTCGAACACGAGGTCGATCGGCATCAGGGGCTGGATGTGCGCCTCTTTCGGTCGGGCGACCCAGCGGCTCACGTCCTCTGGTGGTTCCTCGACGGCGGGGAAGTTGTAGCATACTTCTTCTGGATGCGCTAGCCGGCCCAGAATCACAGAGTATGCCAGGCGCCACGGGGAGTAGCAGCAGAAACAGAAGTTGGGCCAAGTGCCTAGTGCTCGCACAGTGGCAGCTCGCACGTTGGGAAATACGAGTCCAGAGCAGGAGTTGAAGAACGCCTCGAGAGCGGGGCCGAGCCAGGATGTGCGCTGCGCGAGTTCGAGCGCTTTCACGAGACGCAATCGGCGTCGTCGCCGCGATGCTACTTTTGGAGATATCCGGACCAGTTCAAGCGCCTCATGTTGATACTCGCACACTTGCTCGAGAAGTTTCAGGCGAGCTGCTTCGGTGCCGATCGGAAAGTGTAGCGCCAAAGACAGCAGAGTGCCTTCGGTCACCGGGAAGCGGTGGTAGAGTATCGGAGCGGTAAGCTCATCTAGCGCACGGCAGGTGGACGCCACGTTCGAGAGGGCACCGTAGCAATAGTCCGCCGCCAACTGGCACAAGATCTCCCGCCATATATCGGCAGGTAATGTGCTGTATGTCAGCTCACTGGGTGTGACACTGGGAAGAATGAACATCGGAAAGCATGAGGAAAGGCACTTGTGAGATATGCGCTGGTGGAGCATGAGTATCGAGTATGTGAACTGTGGGTGATCGCCTCGAGGACCCGAGTCAGTTGACAGATCGCCACCAGCCACACTCGGCACTTTTCGCCTCGATCCGTGATCGACGGTGTGTGTCTGATCGAGGACTTGCCGAGGTTAACACGGCTGTTGTGGATGCAAGAACATGCAAGAGCCGTTCAGCATTCCGACCTTCCATTGTTCCAGCGGGCCCAATCGCGTTCCGAAAGGAGTCGACATACCTGAAGGCGGATGGCGAGGCGTAGGATTCGGATGGTTCAGGACCATGGTCCTCGTCTTCTGCGTCCGGCTCGTAAGGTGGTCGTGGTTTGGAGCGGTAGTCGAGTGTGAAGCCATGGACACGGTGCCGGGGGCCGCCCATCGCATCCCAGGTAGCGTGATAGGAGGTGTCGGTAATTGTGGTCGGGAATGTAAGGGTGTAGGTGCAAGAGAGCCTCGGTGGTGAAGTTGTGGGCGGACGGGGTGGCGGGGTTGGGTTGCGCGCATTATAAGCGGTCGGTGCGCAGCGGCGGCGACGGGGCGTAGAGCTGGCGGCGCGCGAGCGTGATGACGGGTCGTGGAATTGTGAGGCGCGTACGCGTCCGAGAATCGTCCGGGTGGGCCGGGTCAGTCAGCCCCAATGTTGTGCGCAGCAGTGATGCCGATGAAGCAGGGTGAGCAGGGTGCGAGGTGAGGCTAAGACGCGCCCATTCTGGTACATGCGCCGAGCACTGTTGAGTGCGCAATATTAAGCAGAGTGCTATGGTGGTGCCCATTTCGGGCGGTAGAGTTTGATGACGATGGGGTTCAGCATCCTGGCACGGCACCCGACAGAAATGGAGAGACGGCCCCCACATGCCGCGGACGCCTTGGGCTGGCGGCTTCCCATCCCTCTGGGCCAACCAGCAGGCGCCGAAGCGCGATCCGGTCATCCCAAACATCCGCCACACGCTCGCGTCCTCGGCTCTCCTGCCGGCTGAGCGTGCGGCTCCGCCTGTACCTTGTTCTAAGTGATCTTGCATCATCATTCAACTTGGCGGCCCTTGCCCCGCCGGACTGCCTTTGCCTTCCTACCTCGTGCCTGGACCTGATGATTGCACGACCAAAGGATGCTCGGCCTCTGAGCCACTCGCATTGCAGCCTCGAGCTCATAGCTCGCCACGCTGTGCCATCAGGCGAGTGCGAACCGCTATGCGAACCTATGCCAACTGAAGAATGTATCCGAGAAACTTGATGCGAAAGGTGAACATCAGCGTACCCACCACCACTCTTGCTGTTCACACTTGGCGCCTTCACAGCGTCGCTAGAAAGCCTGTGAAATTGGGTGACAGAGAACGATTCTGTGCGTTGGAGTTTCACCTGCTGGATGCCCTGACACCAACTCGTACGGGCGATGGTTGGAATCAGCATGAAGAGTGTTATTCACGGGTGGCTTACGACTCCTGGTGTGCCACTGTGAGCCTGGTTTGCGGACGCGGCGTTGAGTCGCTGTTAGGCGGTCAGGATGAGGTCGGAAATTGCGTCTCATCCGTAGTGTTCACGGCAGCTCCACCCCCGCCGGGAGGCGAGATAGGGGCACGTGAGCCGAGACCGACCGCACTCGGCGCACAGGAAGCTGCATGGGACCGTTAATGAAGAGACAGGGTAGCCGAACAAGGCGCGATGGCCGGACCAGCAGAATCCCACGGATGCCAGCTTCATCCCTTCCAGCTCGTGCACACCCAGCGCTTTCTCCAACACCTTTGTGGGAGGGGTAATGTCAGCTTCTCCGCTTCATTGTGCCTTCACAGTCCCGGGCCGTAAGCTTGGGTCAGATGCGAATGTGTGGCGTGTACTCCGAACCTGTTGGTCCGAGACCTGTAACTGGCTTTGGCTCCGCGGTATGCGGCATGGGCCAGCCGCGTGACAGGCGATCCTGAGTGACCACTACAAACTTTAAACGGCAATCATGTGCAGACATGTGTACAGCACAGTGAGGTATTGCATATGCTAACGAAATATACCCTTGACACGAGAGCAGCACATGCAAATCCGACTGACGGTGGCGCGGGTGTCGTGTTGCATAGAGGATAACAAACTGTCATTGTCTATCGGCGATCCTACGGCAAACCGAACTCCGCCGGTGGTCTACCCTTGCGCAGCCGAGCATGTCCGCACCACGACCGACACTATCCTCTTCCTCGCCGCTGCTCCCTCTCATCAACAGCCCAGAACTCAGTAACCCTAAATACCTCCAACGTATAGCGCGCACACTCTCCGGCGACGTCCTGCAGAGCATGGCTTTCGTGTTCTGAGATCCTACTTTTGCCTCACCCAATCCCATGGAGCGTGGAGCTGCAGTTCAGACGGACCCCTCGACCGTTTCCATCAGAGGCAATCAAAAGTGACGCAATCAAACACGACCCGGCCGCAGTACTGTGCTGGCTCTTTGGGTTACGTACGTGAAGCGTTTGCAGTTTATTGGCATGTCCTGCGGAGACCGATGCGCAGATAACGAGCGTTCAAGGCGCAGGGACCTTCTCGAGGGGGCACATGGTGGAAACCGCGGTGTGCGTGGATGGCTGACCAGTAGCACAGAGCCTCCCAGATTACTCCAGTCACAACGGCGTTTCGGCCTCAAGGGCCGGTCACTGTGATGCTCCGCAATGTTATTCGCTTTCTGATTGTCAGTCTCCTCTCCATCTCTCCTAATATAACATACACCTGCATCTTCACCCATCGATGGCGAGCTCCGCTAATACAGTCGTCCCCTGGACAGCAGAATCCGAAACGGATTATGTCAAGACCCCGATCGTTATAAATCTCATCTCACCTCTCTTCCCTTGAGTCCTAGTCTGTCTCTACCCGCTTCTGGGGCTCGAACTGCTCCACGACATTTATCTTCACTACCTCGCCGACCCGATGCCCGTCTGAGTTGCATTTTCCGCAGTCCCCCTGCTCCCACAAAGAAGGGAGGCTCGTACGCCTGTATCCCTGATGGCACCGGCGCTGCAGTTGCCATTCCCCAACTACTCCTCTCATCGCTGGTCTGGACCCGCCTGGTCGCGTCGCTGTCCTCTAGATGCACGCCGCTATGGTGAGTGCCCAGTTACATGCACCCCACGCCGCCCATGTGTGCCTCCTATCTAGCTGAGCAGGTGTTCAGCGCGTGGTTCCTAACGTTCACTTAACCTCCACTCTCGCCCGAAAGTCACCCGGTTCCTGAGGAATGTGCGGCATACCGAGTGTTACGCTCTCCTTCCCGGATATCACCACTTACAGCCGCATGCCACCGATGCGTTGTGAGAGGCAAACATCGCAGACCTGGAGCTATACATCATAGCCTCTTGGCCTCCATAGCCTCCTGGCCTGTCGGAGCAGGGTGCCATCTCGCGCAGATACTGCGCAGTCGGAGTCCTTTTGAGTACCGAAAGATAGTTCTTGCGCGAACACAAGGAAAAAGCCCAGATTCTCGCCGTGAGCATTCGCCTCTGCACATATGTCCATGACCTACCTCTGATAAGGTCTCGTGAGTTCCGACTCTTGGCTGATCTCAACGAGGAAAGAGCGACAGAGTCTGTTAGCTGTTCGTTGATTCATTTCATTGAGCGCATCACCGTAAGGCGCACTCGACCTGACGCCTGCCGATGGCAGCCAAACCCTGCGATATCGTTGATGTCAAATCTCAGGGCCTTTACCCTCTGTTCACCGACTCTCGCTGACAATGCAGCGCTCACGACAGTATCGAAGGCACTGATTGTGGCAGAGGGCTACCACCAAGGGCAGGTCACCCCGACGGCTCCTCGGACAATCACTAACGGTCCCACTTTCTTTATAACGTGCATTCAACCCGACCGCACACCGACCATTGTATCGAGGACAAGTGCATCATGGGGAAGACACGAGCAGAGCCTGGCACCTCCGACACGGAGCCAAAGTGCGGTGGTGCCACACGTCCTTCGATCGGGTGGGTGGGCTGTGTATGTACCTGGCCACGGCATGAACCAGGGGACCTCATAATAAATTGAGTAGCTTGAGTGGGCCACTGATGGTAGCAACTCGAGGTAAGCAGTGGATGCCAACGACGGATATCGATGAGCCGTCACTGTGGTTCTGCCGGCCGTGTCCGTTTTCGCACCTCCGCTTCAAGGTCAGGGTACAGCCAGTTCTCCGTCCCCCATTCCTCGACCGCGCCCTGCAGCTATTCAGACAGCGTGCCCGCCCGCACGTAAGCGCAGACCGTGAAAGGGGGCCCGGCACAGCCATGCCCCCCGCTCCGGCCCGTGCCCTGGCTGTTGACTGCGCCTTCAGCTGTCTCTTTCGTGATGGCAAGTTACTTCGCAGTCAGGCCTCGAGAGTCTGTGCTGATTAAGTGGCGCTGCGTTCTTGCCAATTGTAGAGGCGCAGCTCCACCTTCGATGTTGCTCACACACTCCAGCATCAATGGACATCAGGCTCACCATGTAACCGCTTCCTGCTACGACACGGACAGGACCCCGTGATGGTGGAGTGCCTTCTGGCACATGTCGTGGAATAAACGCAAAGTGCCACTGAAATGGTCGACTCGGTTCTTGTTTTGCTTTTGAATAGAAAAGGATGAGCTGCGCCTCTCTTCACCATGCTGGACACCTTTTGAGAACGCGAATGCAACTGCCAAGATTAGGTGTGCGCTGCTACTTCGTAGTCATTATGGTCACCCCAAACTTCGAGACCTGAGCGCCGATTTCAAGGGATAACGCTTTTCAACCGCGTGAGACGGGAAGCGGCCGTCCACACCTCAGCCACTCCGCAATACGTACGGAATGCAGTCAAGTACCTTTGGCGCATTGGTATCAACCTGGAGAACTACCTGCTCGATGTTCCATCTCGACTCCAAAATCGGGTGTGCTTGTGGCGGTCAGGAGGCCAAATTTCCAGTATTCAGCGTCAACCGCTTGCGCGGCTAACTGGGACCGGTCATCTGCGCAGCTAGCTCCTGCTGAAGCCGTGGTTCAGCGACAGCTGAGCTTCTCAGACAGGTCCGCTCAGTGCAGGTCCCAGAGTTCAGCCGAGAGTGACCTCACGGTTTGGTGGACGTAGGCATAGCTCCGACGGTCTCGAAGAGCACTTGGCAGATGCACGTCCCCGACTAGGCGTACTAGTTCTGATACTTGCTTTTCGCCGTTGAACTGCGGGTTACGCTAGCCACGAAGCCATCTGGAAATTGGGTCGCAACATGACATCCTAATGCGATGCGGACGATTCGAATCGGATCCGACCACAGGTGGCAGGGGCACTCGCCACCAGATCGTGTGAGACACATACCCCGGCATCAGATGCCAGTAGACACTGTGGCAGTTGTTTAGACGTCAGCACAACCAGCCTCGCGCACAACAGACTCCCACTGCGTGTGCTCAAACCGTCGCCCACCAACGGTGACTTCTCCACATCCGCGTACTTCACTGCTGCTCAATCTGATGCCAGCTACTCCGCCGAAGCCGAAGTTTACCGACGCTACAGCTCAGAGCCAGCCACAGTTCTTGAGGCATGTTCCAGCCCGGCGCTAAATCAATGCTCGTACTAGCATGCACTAGCCCGCGGCCGTCGTGCATGTCGCCGTGGTACGGCCTAACCACAGCCAGACCTGGCAGCCACATGCCACAGCACATGGGCACTCATCTGATGGTCTGTCTCGTCAGCCACTTGTCAGTACGTCATAGCAAGGTGAAGGTGAGAATCTCCACTGTATACACCAAAGACGTACAGAGGCACCATGAGTTGCAATCGACGTGCGCCGTTCTGTTCAACATTCGGTGCTCTGGCAAACAACAATCCGTTCGACTGCACGCGTGTAAGCCACTTTTTACCGAGGAGCGCTTTCCGATCACACAGCCTCTATCTCCAATGCAAACCATTGTGACCCCTAAGCTGGAGACCAGTAGGCAGAAGCAGCCGAGAACGCAGATGATAACGAACCTGAACTTCAGTTATCAGAAATGCGGAGCAGGGAGGAAGCAGGCACTATCACATATCGCACCGTAGGTGGTACACGGAGCCAGTTGCAAGGGTCGGCCGAATATGTCACGTGACCGAACGCGTGTGCTGAGTGGACTCGAAGGGTGGAGACCCCGCACGGTCGCGAGTCGCATGCGTCACACTGGGCTACCGCTTGTGCTAGTGGACTCGGCCTCATCTCACACCATAGTCACCCACACGCACCCAAATATCGCGGCATCATTGCGACCACTCACCCCCTCCTCTCTTATACCACAACACACCCCACCATTTCTTGATCGACTCCCTTTCACCCCACACCGTCCGGCAGAGATGGACATCTATCTCGCCTCGGACGGCGGCATCGTCAAGGTCGAACACGCCTTGAGCGACTATGACTCGTGAGTCCCCCTACCCACTATTGGCCACCCATCGTTACCAACAACAATCACCGAGCGGGCCAGCTCCACCCCGGTCACCCGCTTTAAGCAGAAGCATCCCGCGCTGACCACCAGTCTGGAAGGGGTGTACGCCGACGTCTCCGCCGCCACCGGCGTCGTTAGCGGCAACATCCTCCTCTTCACCGAGGACGGACGCGAGCTCAAGCAGGAGGTGCTCGAGGAGCTTTGGGAGAGAGGTGGAGGTGCATCCTCATCCGTACGTCGTCGGCGCCGATCGTCCTACAGCCTCTTACACCACTCGCAGCACACGGAGATCGTGTACCTGTTCAACCGCGAGACGTTCTTCAGCGAGCCCGAACGCTGGGCCGCTGAGTTACGGGAGGAGGTCGTCCTCCCGCCGCCGTTGCTATGTGAGTGAAGTGCCGGGAGCGGGCAGGAACCGAAGGGGTATGGAGGCGCATGTGCGCACGTCTCATGAAGGTCCCCGCTGGCCCCGCTCGGCTGAATGAATGAGGCTTGTGAGGCCTGTGCTGACAGGGCAGTGTCGGGGGACATCGAATTGGCGCAAGCCCAGTCGCCCTTTGTGTCCGCGTATGACCATCTCTGCCACCTCCAGTCCTTATTCAAGGCGCAAGCCCATGCCCTCCGCATCGCCTACGCCAACCTCTCATTCCACCTCGGCCCGATCGTTGAAGCATTCCGAGAATTCACCGGACGCGTAGACGATGAGCTCGACGCACACGACCAACTCCTCAAGGGGTATGACGTCGACATGGCGATGCTACCGAAGGTGACCGTGCACGAGAGCCTCTATCGCCGCCGAGATAAGGACACAGATGACAAGAGCCGCAAGTCCCTACTCGATTGGATCCACACGAAGAAGATGGAGCAAGTCCGAGATCTGTGCCAGTACGCGCACAGTGAGTGCTAGCTGGGATTACTACAGAGCCGTAAGCTGACTGTCAGCCGACCAAGTGACACGATATAACAATGTCGCATCGGAGATGGACGAGCTCGCCCTGCAATCGGACGCCGATCTGCAACAGGCAGAGCACAGGATACACGGCGTCGAGACCGAGTTCGCCGAGGCGCTCGGGCGGATAGAGCTCGCCATGCAGCAGGTCGAGGCTCTAATGCAGGCTGATTCACGTGAGTCTCGATATACTCAAACAAACTAACCTTCAGTCGACTTCCGGCAAAACCTCCGAGAACTGGACCAGGCCATGCGAGAAGACCTGGCGAGCATGACGTCGATCAAGGTGAGCTTACGAGCTGTCGGGTTAGCTGACCTAAGAACGACTTCACGCTTGAGCTCCATCAGCATCTTCGCAGCATCGCCGACTACCAAGTTCGAATCACAAAGTTTAGCCGGCCGATGACGGACCTCGACAATGATCTGCGGCAGAAGAGCGCTTTTCCGCATCTCGAGCGACTGCACAACCTGCCGTTTGCCTACGCCGCCAATGTGGTTGAGATCGTCCGACGAAAGGAGTTCTCACATTCTCTCGTGGAGTGGGCAAGCCGTATCGGTCATGCCGTGAACACGTATCTCGATGAGGAGGCGAAGCGACGTCAGCGACACAAGACGGAGAACCAGCTCCCGTGGGAGATTCCGGCGCTCGAGGAGAGCCAGCTGCCCCGTATCAATATGTCGATCAACGGGGCGGAGGCGCTCACTTCCGTCGGTCTGGGGAAGGGTGATATCGAGCAGCTGGTTGCGTCTATAAAGGAGCTGCAGGACGACCCGGAATTCATGAGCCTCGACCCTACAGAGAACCCGATCCCGGTGCTCTCGAACCGGCTAGCTGAGCTGCTCCCCTCTCTTGATCACCTTAACGAAGATTTGAACCAAGCACTCGACTTGGCTGTCATCAATGCTGCCCAGCGAGAGACCCCAGGCGAAACAGAGAAGCTGCGCGCCCAGAACGCGGACTACGAAGCGAGGATTGCAGAGCTCGAGCGAGAACATCTGGAGAGGATGCAGGAGCTGGAGGAGTCCAAGGAGCAGGAGATCAAAACCCTGAACGCCCGCCAGGCCGAGCTCAAGGATGAAGTCGCTCGGCTTCGAAACGACCTCAGCGACGAAGCTGTGCAGAAGCAGAAGCTCATGGACCAGCTTGAGGAGAAGACCCGTGACCACGAGGATCGCATGCGCGAGCTTGAGGAGCACTCTGAGCTCGTCTCCGCTCTGCAGGCGGATATGGTGCAGGAGAAGGACCGTGCGACCGACTTAGGCGTCCGTCTGCAGGAGGCACTCCTCGACGTTGACGGCCTCCGATCAGCCGAAACGACTCTTATCGTCCAGATGAAGGATATGCAGGACGAGCGGACACGCATCCTCACTGACCTCGGAGAGGCGCAGCTCCTGGCCCAGAACTACGAGTCGGAGCTTGCGGGTGCCAAGGTCGAGCTCGAGGCGACTGCCGCTCAACTCGTGCAAGCCCAGAAGGACCGCGACAAGGCGATCAAGGAGAAGAGTGCGGAGGCAGAGCGTCTCATGCGCGACCAGATTGCGGAGGCTGATGGTGACCGCGCTGTCCTCGAGCACCAGAATCTGACGCTTACGAAGGAGCTCGAGGAGGTCCGCAAGGAAATGGATGAGAAGCTGAACAGCGTCAAGAACGCCTCCATTCGTCGAGAGGATGGCCTGAAGGCAGAGCTCAAGCTGGCGAAGGCGCAACTTCGTGATGTGCAGCGCCGCGAGGCTCTGCTCGCCAGCGAGCTTGCTGTCGCCAAGGACAGCTCGACGCAGCTTACTCAGAAGGATGCTCACCAGGCTGAGCTTTTGAAGGAGTCGGTGCAGCTTTGCGGCAAATACCACGAGGCGTGCTACCGACTCATGGGAGCGATCTCGGCTTCGACGACGATTTCTGGAAGTCTATCGTTGCCGCAGCGAGCAAATTCGCCACCGCCGCCCTCGATCCTGTCCATTGGCTCAAACGAACTGAAGGACAGCGCCTTCCTCGTTCGCTCGTTAGAGAAGGCGTCCGCATTCGAGCTCGAGTCGTTCGCCGATGCCGTCCTCAAGACCATCAATCTCGCGCGCCGCTTGTCCAAATCGTGTAAGCAGTATCGCGACCTGTCGCGCAACAAGATCACGATCTCGAGCTTCGGCAAGGGCGATCTCGTGCTCTTCCTCCCAACGCGGAATGCGGCCGTCAACGCCTGGGCAGCCTTCAACGTCAGTGCGCCTCACCACTTCCTCCACGTCACGGACCAGATCCGCCAGCAGCTTCAGGGCAAGGATTACTACCTCGCGCGCATCACGGGCACGGACGAGGCGATCGTCAACGGCGATTCGCCGAGCACGAACCCGTTCGGTCTCGCTGAGGGACTGCGCTACTACAGTCACCACGTTGAGGAGTGGATCCCTACGGTTATCCGTACGCGGCGCTCGACCAGCGGCCCGGCAGGACAGACTGCGCAGGCGAGCCACCCTCCGCACCCCGAGCGAGCTCTCACAGCGCCGACCGCGGTTCGCGCGAAGCAGCCAGCGAACATCATCTCGAGGGACCGGGAGCGTACGTCCCCAACGAGCATTTCGCCCAAGGCCGCCGCTCCCTCGCCGAAGGAGTCTTCTCCGGAAGCGACATCTCCCCACTCTGCGTCACCCGTAGCCGCTTCACCTAAGCAGGCTTCGAAGTCACCTCCGCCTCCTAAGGACTCACCAAAGGGCACGCCCAAGGAGTCCCCAAAAGGGTCGAAAGCGGGCTCGCGCCGCGCCTCGCCAGAGCGAAGCGAGCGTCGGGAGAAGAGATCCTCGCGGCCCTCTTCTCGAACGCCCACGCCAACCACTTCTGTGAACCAGCCGCCGGCGCCTGTCCCGGCGGCTTCGGAGTCTGACCGTGCGTCTCCGCACTCGGCCCACTCGGCGGACCACTCGGCAGGCGCACACTCGACGGACGACAGCCCGCCGAGCGAGCTTGCGGCCGCGGAGCCGCTGAAAAAGTCGGCTGCCGCAATCGGATCCGCGTCGCACTCGGCCCACGCATCGCCCGCCAAGCCGTCCACGCCGACATTCGCGAAGGGGATCCACCCCCGTCCCGAGGAGTCGGACGTGAACATCGCCGGCAGCCCGCCCCCGCCTCCTTCGTCGCCAACCAGTCCTATGTCGCCAGTAGCGCGCCGTCCGCGCGGCTCGCTCTCCTCCCCCCCGCCCGGCGCCCGGCGGAGCGGGCCGCCCCTCGTCCGTGGCGTCCAGTGCCTCGTCACACCCGCGCGGCCTGCCGATTCCGAGCGGCGGCGCCAAGGCCTCTCCAGCGGCCGCAGTCACGACGAGCGCGGAGAACAGCCCAAACCAGAACTCGCTCCCCAAGGCACTCGTACACCGGACGATCGGCAAGCGGCCCTCGATCCCCAGCATGGACATCGAGAACCCGTTCCGGCCCTCGCCGCTCGGTCCCTCCACTAGCGCTACGAAGAGCGGCTCGCCTGGCCAGGGCGGGTTCCTCTCTGGTCTATCGCTGAGTCGGAAGCGCGCGAGTGCGTCGGGCGAGACGGCTGTGGACATGTTAAAGCGACTCGACAGCGCGGGCTCGTAAGAGAAGGAAGGAAGGAAGGACGATCACCAAACCATTCAAATTCACAATGTAGTCTAGAACCACTCACAGTTGTCACGATGTCCAAGTATGTTCAGCAGTGTGCCATGCAAATTACATATACAGTTCTACAGATTGCACCTCTGCACTCTATCTCCGTCTCTACTCGCTTGACATGTGAATTTTGAGCTCAAAGCTCGCGGACATACTCGACTAACTGGCCGTCGCGCCCGATAAGCACGCCGCCGGTGAAGTCGGGTTCTTCGTTCTCGTCGGAGACCTCGTCGTCGTCCTCAGTCGGCTCGGTCGCTGTCGTGTTGCCCTCTGCCTCTGATGCAACGCCGGCGTTTGATTCTGGTTGCGCCGTAGGATCAGACGCGGAGTCGGGGCAAGGGGCAGCCTTAGGCTTGCGCTTCTTCTTTCCCTTTCTCTTCTTCTTCTTTGTCTTAGGCTTCCCCTCACCCTCTACTTGTCCTGCCGCTCCCTCCTTCCCTGCGCCAGCGGAATCAGCCATCAAGGAGACATCGGGGTTCTGTTCCGCGGCCGCAGCGACAGCACGCTCGGTCGCTATCCGGAGTGCCTTCTGGGTCTGGTCGTTAGCTGCAGCGAAGGGACAAGCTTACGCTTTCGAAGCTCTCTTGGAGCTCCGCCCAGCGGTCCAGGAACTTGGCATAGGTTGCGTTCAGTGGGGTCTCCAGAACTGCTTGTTAGCTCACGGACCATCGGGAAGCTGGTAAGGAAACGGGTGGGAGAGGGGAGGGAGAGAGTGCAATGGTAAGCAGATGCACAGCTGCGTTTGGCGCTGACTCAGCTGGGGAAGTGATGCAGCTGTCAACCACGAGGTGGACCCGTGGAAGGGAAGAGGTAGTTTATCAGGAAGCATGTGAGCAATACTCACGAGCACCAGCTAGCTCGACGAGGAGCTCTGCCCGCTCGGCCGCCGATATAGCCTCGCGCGGCTCGAGGTCGAAGAGGCCGCAGAGCTCCTCCGGCTTGCGAGATGAGAGATCGACGCCCGCCGCCGTTCCCATCGGTTCGAGGAGACGCGCTATGTCCTGTCTGTCAGCTGCATGTTTCGTGCCAGCAGCAATACGATTTGTCGTCGAACTCACCACCTCGAACGTCTCGCCCCACGCCCCCGGGTCCGTCCACGGCGCGAGGGGCACCCCTGCCCTTGCCATCTCGGAGTGCCACTCGCTCTCGTATAACCCGAGCTCGGGGAAGGCGGTGAAGTCGCTGCGTTCTGACGGGTGTTTCACGAAATCTGCTATGTCAGCTCAAGAAGACTCTGATATCAGCTCACATCTAGCACCGCCGCCGCCAGACTCCCATGCTTCATCGAGGCACTCCGCAATACGATCAGCCAGCTCGGCACGGTGTACCGTTTCGCTTTCGCCTGGCGCTGGTGTCGAGTTTCCGCGCGCAGCATCCGCAATCCTGATTGTCAGCTACAGCTTGCCAAACAAAAGCTGGAACATACACAAAGTGCTTGATTTCGCGCGTTGGAGCTATCTCGCCGCCTGCCACAGGGAAGGAGAGCGTGCACAGCGCCACATCTGTGAGCTGGTCACCGACGACATTGGGTACAAGCGCGAAGAAGGTGCCGCACCCGACCCAGTCGGGCAGCGCAGCGAGAGCAGCATTCGGTTCCTGCCCCTGGAGGTAATAGGAGAGGAAAGAGCGGCGGCTTGCGCTCTCCAGAGCTACGTGCGCGCGGTAGTACAGCTCCGCGTTGCCCACTGGCTCTGGTCGAGGTAAAGCGTCGGGATCCGTAACCTCGGGCTCTTCTTCTGCCTCATCGTCGGACAGGACTTGGTCCGCGAGCAACGTTGCGGAGCTAGCGTTGCTCAACGCAGGCGAGGAAGGTGTTGGCGGCGTCTCCTCCTCTGGTGGGGGCGGGGGCGGTGTATCGAGCACCGGCACCGTTCTCGCGTCCCGCTCCATGCGCTTGTTGTCCTTCTTGATGCGCTCGCCGAGCTTCTTCATATCACGTCCGTCCACAGTGACTTGCTCCTGATGGTCAGTTTTAGCAAGGGCTTCGCTTAACTTACAGTTGCGGAGACGAAGCTAGCTAGCACAGGGTGATTCGGGAGGGGGATTGGCGGCACTGACGGCGTGGCGGGAGGGCGCAGGTCCTGCAATGACTTGCCCGCAACCTGCGCCGCGTGCAACGAAGCAAGATAGCTGGGGTCCGCAAGGCATGCCCTCCACACAAAGTGCTGCAGGTACTGGACCTGCCGGAGCGAGAGGCACAGTGCGCGCCGGCCACATGCGAACGTGACTGCCGTTAGTACCATCAGCGCGGTGACTCACCTATCGTTGCGTGAATGCCAGAGGCACCTTTCTCACGCAGTGGGTGTGACGGAGAGGCGAGGGCATCTCGGTGCATCAGTGCTCCAAGGGCACTGCGCTGAGCGTTAGCCAATGCGCCGGATGTAGGGAGCTCACCTCCAAAGAGCCCTCCGGCATGGACTGATACCAGAACAGCACATCCGACCAGCGGTACCATGCCTCCGTCGTCATGATCATGGCGGGGCCGCTCATCTGAGCAGCTTCGGGTGACTTTCAGCTATCGCTGTAGGTCTTGCAGTCCTGCGGAGTTGAAAGAGGAAGACCAGGAGCACCTTCACAGCATCAGAGTGCGCCTTCCCCCGCAGGTGCTGATTGTTCGGACGTCAGTCCACTCAACAGTGTGGGGTCTCCACATCTATCACGTGACAGCTCGCACGGAAGGGTCGCCGAGCGGCAACGTCCTTTGGGTCAATGGACGCCTTCCCAGGGTCGCGCCTGCCAGGTTTGGTGGCCGGCCGGAGGCTTGAAGGCCGCGATTCGAAATCTGCAATGTCCAAATCTCGAGCTGATCACCTGCTACCTGACCGCCACTCCGTGCTGATATCGTCACAGACTCAGCTGCAGCATCGTGGCATCGCACCATTCACCATGTCGCCGCCGATATCTCTTGCCCGACCTGCGCGCTCGACCTGCTCTCGCCTGCACTCGACCATCTCGAGCGGCACCACACACGCACCCCGCCATGTTCCCATCATCCGTTCCGCCCCCCAACTCCGCCGGTGGAGGAAGGAGGCGCGCTCCCGGGGGCTTGAGGTGGGCCTTGTCCCGACAGTGAGTACTGGCTGCTCCCCAACGATGGCGGCGGTGGTGGTGGTGAGATCAGTGGGGTCGAAATTCTTCCCCAGAGCGGACCAGATGGTCTCCGCCCCATCGCTGTGTCGCTCTTCTCCGACGAAAACAAATTTCTTGGCGACGGACGGCCGTCGCCCGGATTGCGTCAGCAACGCCGACACCAGAGGTGGTGTCGGAGATCGGACAACACTGGGCTAGCCTACCATACTCGCTCACTTGCATGCTGCTGCGAGCATGCGGTGCGGCGAGCTTGGCTTGCGTGGTCGGCAATGCACGCTCATCTCAGCCCGCATATCCCGGCTCCGGCCATCCCCAGCCTCCGCAATGGTAGCCGCAATGTGCCGCCGTCGTTCTCAGCTGTTGTCGTCCAGGAAACTTAGCTTACATCAGATGGGAGCTCTGCACGAGGGCCACCTCTCGCTCGTGCGCACTTCGCTGAAGCGCCACCCATTGACGGTCATGTCGCTGTTCGTGAACCCGATGCAGTTCGCGCCGCACGAGGACTTGAACGCCTACCCTCGGACAATGGACCGTGACATCGAGCTGCTGAAGGGTCTCCTGCCGGGAGGACCGCGGGCACCAATCTCGGGTCTGGGAATCAGCGAGAACGACGGGTGGCGACCGATGCCTCGCCACCTTGAGAGCCACGAGAGCCCGCTCGTCGTGTTCGCCCCGACAGTTGATGGAATGTACCCCCTGCGCGGGGAGCTGCAGAACATGCAGCAGCAGAAGGGTGCTGTCGTCCAGCTCAGGGGATGGGGAGAGGTCATGGAGGGAGCTTCCAGGCGTGAGTACCGGTATTAAAGGTGCTGCAGTGATCTGGTCCCACGCAGCCCGCGAGGGCGGGCAGACTAGGTCGCAGTACCAGCTAAGACACCCCGCGCTTGAGCTAACGACAGCGCAATTCTTCACCGGCGTCGCGACAGTCTGCACCAAGCTCTTCAACGCCGTGGAGCCCGACCACGCCTACTTCGGCCAGAAGGACATCCAGCAGGCCCTGATCCTGAAGACGCTCCAGACCGACCTGCTCTCCGCTCACCCGCTCCCGGAGAACCTGCACATCCTCCCGACGGCCCGTGACCCGGCAACCGGACTCGCGCTTTCGTCTCGCAACGCCTACCTCTCGGCTGAGGAGATGGAGGTTGCGCCGACGCTGCACGCCGCTCTTCAGGCGGCTCGTAACGCCTGGGTCTCGGGTGCCAGCGGAGCGGCCATGGTCGAGGCGGCCAACAGGCACGTGCAGGACATCAAGCTCGCCAACCCCGATGCGGAGCTGAGGCTCGACTACGTCGAGGTCTTTGACCCGGACACGTTTGAGCCGATCCGCGGCGAACCCCAGCCTGGCCAGAAGCTCGTCGTCGCCGGCGCGCTCTGGGTCGGCCGTACGCGGTTGATCGACAACATCCTGCTGGGCTGGGACGCGGACCCGGTCGCCGCTTGAGCGATCGCGAGCGCCCAGCCTTCATTCGATCCACCCTGCTGCCCGGCGCAGCGCCCAGCCTCAGCCTCATAGACACTTTTCTGCAATGCATTTTCATATAGATGGGTTATCACTACTTCTTCGCTCCTTCCGCAAACCACCTCCTGATCTCGTCTCCAAACAACTTCAGGCCCTTGTCTATTGTCTCCTCTGATCCTGCGAATGTGGCTCTGAACGCGGCGAGTTTCTCATCGTTCCTCTCTCCCGGCACGCTCTCCACGACGAAGAGTCGCGCAGGCATGACGAGCACCCCAGCGTCCATGAGACTCTCGGCGAGCTCGTCGATGAGTTCGCGCGTGTTGCTGCCGTCGTACCGGGGATGTTTCGAAAGATCAACACTGAGCCACTGGAACATACCTCCGCGCGCGGGGACGGTCGAGATGATATCCTGGGGCACGTGTCTGTAAAAGGCATCGAGGAAGAAGTCCCTCTTCGCCTCGTATGACAGGCGGAGGGCGTGGAGCCATCTCAACCAGCCCGCCAGGCCCCAGCCGCCCTGCTCTGGCGCCGCCCCTCCCGCGGCCGCAGCAATGGCGCTCGGTTCGGCGAGATACGACGCGAGCAGGGCTTGCGTCATGTTGTTCGGCGTCTGCGTCGTGACTTCGCCAATGCGCCAGAGACGCTCAACGAATTGCTGGCTCGCGCTCGCCCACCCCAGCCGAATACCTGGGCCGAAGACCTTGGAGAACGAGTCGAGGCGCACGACGCGCCCGTCCACGTCGCGCTTTAGGTAGGACTCGACGCCGGCGTGCGCCTTGAATGCCTCTGCTACGGCGCGGGCGTCGTCCTTTTCTGGAGTCGAGGGGAGGGGTGGCAGAGAGTCCCGCGCCTTGGCCAGATTCTCGGAGCGTTTGGAGGCGTCGGAAGTGTACTCGGCGTACTGGAGGGGGAAGTAGGGGTCGTCCTCGATACTGATCCTCAGCTAGAGTTACGTGACAATTGAAGCTAGGATGCACTTACATGACGAGGTCGTGCTTCTGCGCCACGGCGTAGACTGCGTCCATCCTCTCGGGCGTCGAGACGCATCCGGTCGGGTTCTGGCCGCAAGGCGTCGTGAGCAGGACATGCGGCTTCTTGCCCTTCTTCGTGTCCCACTCGCTCAGGATCTTGTCAAGGGCTTCGGGGACGATGCCCTCGCTGTCGAGCGGTACGGGGGCGAAGGTGGCTCCCTTGGCACGACCAGCGTTCACGCTCGCGGGGAACTCAAACTCCTCTGCGAGCACAATATCCCCGTCCTCGACGAGCAGCGTCATCGCCTTGGACACGCCGTCCGTATTCCCCAGCGTCGCCGTGACTGCCGATTCGCTGTGGGGGACGCCGTGCAGGAGCTCGTTCAGCGCGATGAGCCGGTCCACGAGCTGAGGGTACGACTTTGTCAGTCCGTACTGCAGCACGGTCCGCAGGTCCATCAGACCTGCTGGTCCGGGCCCATCGCCCGACTTGTCGAGGTGGATTGCGGCCGCGGGGCCGGCCATGGCGCTCTGAACATCGCTCAGACTCGAGAAGGAGGGCAAGGTGAAGTGCGCATGCTGCAGGGGAAAGAAGTTGGCTGGCAGTTAGCAGGGTCCAGGTGACGAAACTGACGATCCGGAAGTCCTGTTGTCAGCTCATCACGCGCCATTCAGCTTACCTCCTGCCAAGGACGTCAGACCAGGCTTGCTGTCCGCCAGCGCGCCGTATGCCTTCATCGCACTCGGGGCCTGGTTCAGCACCCGCTTGTTAATGTGGTGCGCCATATCCCTTGGCTGCGGCCTCGTTGCCTTCCCCGCATCACCTGTTGTTGAGGAGGCCATTCTGCGAGCGTTTGCGGAGTATGTGCAGATTGAAGAAGGGAGGACTCGAAGCGAGTTCCGCATCAGTTGCGCTCGAGTTGCGGGAGTAGTGGGTCAGTGGGCAATGGACGCGTTACGTTGTTAATCAGGGAGGGTGTTCTGCCTGACGATCGAGGAACACGAGGTGGACGAGGAAGACACGGCGACAACGCCGATGGCGGCAGGACTCGTACTGATGACGACAGATAGCCACGTGCGGCGATAAGATTATGTAACCGTGCGATAACGACTTCGCACCAATCTCTTCGACAAGCGCAACTTGCAGTCGGGCGGCACACTACTCTACGGCTCATTCGTATGCCGATGACAGAGTTGGTTCAGCTTTTGGCGAACGACATTGCAAATGTTAGAACCTGTGTATTCCGGAATCAGCAAACATTCCTCTGCCTCTGAAGGCTGCAAAGCGTCATTGGCGCAAGGGTGACACAGGCGTGATCTACGATTCTATGCATGTGTAATGTGGCGTTCTGGGTCTAATTGTCGTCCACCTTGTTCGGGCTGTATGTGGGTGCTTCTTGGCTGGTCGAGACCGCGCCTCCGCCATTGGCGTCGTTCGGGGTCGGCCCGTTTCCCGAATCAACAGCCGCTGGTCCCTCACTCGCAGCGGCAGGTTGCGCATTACTCGGCACCTTCCTCAGATGCCGACTGGGCAGGAGCCGGTGTAACCTTCCGAGTGCCGTCGCAGTACTTGGCCTCCCACTGCTTGGCTCCAAAGCGCTCATAGAAGCCTTTCATGGAAACCCAATCGATGAAGACCCCATCCGCTTCACGCTCGGCCAAGTCACGGAAAGCGTAAGCGACCATACCGACGCCGGCACCTGTACCACGCCCGGCCTTGGCAACTCCAACGCACGCGATCGAACCGCAGTTCTTGCCCAGCGTGCTCGGCCACACGAGCTGGTCAAGTAGCGGGCACGGCGGGAGGGCAGCGAATGTCGCGCCGATGATGGTGCCGCCCTTAACAGCCAGGATGATGTCCTCGTACTTGCCAGCTGACATCATCTTGGGGAACATGTCTGGCCAGCCCTTCTGTCAGCTTCCCACGGCACATGCTAGCTGCAAGAGCGATTAATGATAGAAACTCACGGTGAATGAGTCGAACTCGGTAAACTCCATGCGCATGAGCGCCTCGCGATCGGCTGGGCGAGCGTGCCGGAACTCGACGCCGTGCTTCCTTGCCTCCGAGGTGAAAGGGTCGTAGTTGACATCGTTCGGCAAGGGCGAGTAGAGGTCGATCGCGTCGGGTTCACCAATTCTCCAGCCTCGCTTGCCGAACCAGTCCTTCGCGGGCTGTAGGTACTCGATGTCTGGCAGGCCGGGGAATATCCGCGGGAACGTCGAGCCAAGCTGTAGTGTGCCGTCTGTGTTCGGTGGAAGCGAGTTGCGCACCTCCTCCTCCAAGTAGGACACCGCAGCATTATGCAGAGCCGAGCCAATGCCCTTACCCTGCTGATCGGGCGACACCACCAAAGCACCCAGGCTGCCCTTCACTTTCGTGTCTGGGTTGGTAGAAGCTGTTACCTTGACCAGGTACGCAACCGCAAAGCCCAGCGGAGCTCCATGAGGCTGGTTCTCATCGCCGCTACCGCTGTCCCCCGCTTGGCTCCGAGCAACCGACGAGGAAGGCCGATCGTCCGATTCACGGGCCGAGTTTGGCGGACTGGGATGCAGGCGTTTGCTCCGGATCGCCAGCGTAAGCGACAAATACTTTGGCGTTGTCCGTGTTCAGGATTTGGTGGAACTTGGAGGGCGGGATGGAGTAGGCGTCATGGTGTCGCCCGAGTGTCGCCTGCCAAAGGGCATGGAGGTTGTCGGACGGGGCGTCCCTGGGGTACGTTGTGACCCTGTGGGACGTCATGAAGCACTGGGAGTTAGACCAAGTGGATGATCAGCTGGATCGATGAGGTGGATGTGCTGATGAGAGAAGGGGACTAGGAAGGGGATGGCATCTTGAACGAGGGGAGGGGGGAAGGGGAAGAAGACAAAGATGAGTTTAGCAGACGACCGAGGGATGGTGACGCCGAAGATCCCGAGCTGGGTAGTGGACCGTGTAGGGAAGGGAAGGGGCACGGCCTGGAACGCAGCCCAGGGAGGAACAGCCTGATCTCGTCCTGACACAGTGCCCAGCCAAAGCAGACCTGGCACAGCCGGCGCCGGCCCGGAATCTCTTTGCGGCCTGGGAGAGAGTGGGTAGTGAGCGGGAGCAAATGCGGCGCGCCACGCGACCAAAGTCGGCGGCGCGTTGGCAGATGGGCCATCGGTCGAGAGCGCGCTGGCGGCACCGCTGGCCGCTGTCGATGGACGCTCGCTGCTGAAACGCTGGCGATTTCCGTCAACAATTTCCGGTCTCTCTTTCTTTTCCTGCCCATTCGATACCCACACCTCCCCACCATGCCTCCCCCCACCGCCTCCCTCAACCCCAAGGCGCCCCACCCCAAGACGGGCGGCAACGACCGGGCTGAGGACCACGTCGGCGGAAAGCCCGACCAGAAGAAGTACAACGATGAGCAGGACGCCCTCACCAAGGAGATCGCTCAGGTCAAGACCAAGCTTGTGAGTACCCCGGCAGCTGTAGGTTTTCCCAGTAAAAGCTAACGTACAGGACGCTGTCCGCTCCCGTATCGACCTCAGCCGGGCGCCCAAGTCGGACGACCGCCGGTCGCAGCTCAAGGCTGAGATGGACGGCCTTCGCGGCGAGCAGGGCAAGTTCAAGGACGAGCGGAACAAGCTGTTCACGGAGATGCGCAAGCTGCAGGACAATCTGAACAAGAAGATCAAGGACGTCAACGCCCAGCGCCAGAAGACCGGCTTCAAGAACGCCTCCGAGGTCCAGCAGCGTATCAAGTGAGCTAGGAGGGTGGCATGATAAGCTAACTATAACAGGCAGCTCGAGTCACAGGTTGAGTCTGGCTCGATGAAGCTTGTCGACGAGAAGCGGGCGCTCCAGGAGATCTCCCAGCTCCGCCGTGCCCAGAAGACGATGGAGAACTCTGCGTCGTCGGACGAGGCTATCGCTGCCGACAAGGCGCGAATCGACGAGCTCAAGGCTAAGCTCGATGACCCCGAGGCGAAGAAGGTCAGCGACCGCTTCGACTCGCTCAAGAAGGAGATGGACGCGCTTCGTGCCGAGGGCGACAAGGCGTACCAGGAGCGTAACAAGCTGTTTGACGAGCGCCGCGCCCTCGAGAAGCAGATGGTGAGTTTCTTGCCAAGCGGTGGAACGTATAGCTAACATTCAGGACGAGCTCTACGGCAAGAAGCGCGCCTCGGCTCAGGCGTACAACGAGGCCAAGGACGCCTACTACGCCAAGGTGCAGGCTATCCGACAGGCGCGCCAGGAGAAGTTCAAGGCGGAGAAACAGAGGTTGCAGTGGTCCATCGGCTTCATCGAGTCCTGCCCTATGCGCCGGGCCTGGTTCTGCTTCCGCAGCAGCGAGCGCTCATAGTACGAGAGCGTCGATTGCGTCGTGTTGTTCTTCGCGTCTGCATGTTAGCTCACAAGCGCCGCATTAAGCTGCAACCGTAGATCGGGAGAGGGATGACTGCTGGCAGCAGAGGGAAGGCGGTAACTCACGACTCCGGCCCATGTCGATGGATTGTTGTTGCCAACATTTCGGTCCGATCAAGTCAGCGATAATCTCTGGGCAGGTCAGCCTGACACGATGGAGAACTCTGCGTCGTCGGACGAGGCTATCGCTGCCGACAAGGCGCGAATCGACGAGCTCAAGGCTAAGCTCGATGACCCCGAGGCGAAGAAGGTCAGCGACCGCTTCGACTCGCTCAAGAAGGAGATGGACGCGCTTCGTGCCGAGGGCGACAAGGCGTACCAGGAGCGTAACAAGCTGTTTGACGAGCGCCGCGCCCTCGAGAAGCAGATGGTGAGTTTCTTGCCAAGCGGTGGAACGTATAGCTAACATTCAGGACGAGCTCTACGGCAAGAAGCGCGCCTCGGCTCAGGCGTACAACGAGGCCAAGGACGCCTACTACGCCAAGGTGCAGGCTATCCGACAGGCGCGCCAGGAGAAGTTCAAGGCGGAGAAAGCTAAGGAGGACGCCGCCCGCCGGGACGAGGAGATTGCCCAGATGCGCGAGGACGCCAAGGTGCCCGCGTACACGAGCGAGATCGAGGACTGCAAGCTGCTCATCAACTACCTGACGGGCAAGAGCGAGGACACGCAGACCACCGCGGAGAAGAAGGCCGGCTCGGGCATTGCGGGCGTCAAGGAGCTCGAGGTGCGCAAGGTCGAGGCCGACTTTGCCGGCATGCGCCTGAAGAAGAAGGACGAGGAGCTCGAGGGCTTTTTCGGCGGATCGGGCAAGGGCAAGAAGAAGGGCGGACGCAAGGGCCAGGCCTCTGCCAACGGCTCGGGAACCGCGACCCCGACGACGCCCTCCAACGACGCCGTCAACCTCCCCCTCGGCATGCGGGCCGCGACGACGTTGCCCGCACCGTCTCCGACCTCGAGACCAAGATGGCCTGGTTCGAGGCCAACAGCGCCGCCCAGACCCAGAAGGAGATTGAGCGCGTCGAGAAGCTCGTCGCCAAGATGCAGAAGAAGAACGGCGACGCCGGCGCCGACGCCGACGCCGAGGGCGACAAGGACGCCGAGGAGAAGAAGGACGAGCCCGCCGCCGCGGCCACTGAGGCGTAAAAATGTGTAATCTGCACAGATACAGATAGCCATACACACTGACCCCCTTCATACCTTGTCACTTCGTACCACGGGAGCATGCACAACACATAAAATGGACGTGGAGCAGGCAAAGTGATGGTGACTTTAAACGTTCAGAGTACTGACGATGTGCTCTCACGCTTGCAGAGACTGCGCTTACTAAGGGTACCGGGAGCGAGGAGTCACTCCGTCGTAAGCCACAGGTGTGCGATCTCGTAGTGAGGGTGCAAGTCTGACACAAGCTCATATCTTATCACAGCTACGGCTGATGCGATTGAGCTTGATACCACTTGCCAAGACTGGCAGGTGGATTAAGACCTCCCATCAGTGCGGGGCGTTCCTTCAGCCGAAGCGCCGAACCTTCAGCGGCCAGCGGCGTGCCTGTCAGTCTCACCTTCGCGTTCCGAAGGAGAGAAGTCTGTGCTAAATGTGACACCTTCCTTAGCACGACCGTCGTTTCGGCTATTCCGAAGCCGACGCCGGTACGCCGAGCATGCATGCGTCCGCTGAGCTTTAAGCATGCCATCCGTAGATGTAACTTCATCTGTTGCTTGTCTGCCGCCTGTGCTAGAGCATGATCACTCCCTGCCCCTCGTTCACGTTTCGCCGCCTCGCCTCGCTGTGCGGAAAGTGAGTCGTCCCTCCCACCTGCGCTGCCCCCCTGTCTCCAACCACCTTTGGCGACTGTCTTCCCCGGATCGTACTCGCCTTCAACATCGAGCTGTGCACTTGGCGAAAGCTGACGACAGACACTCCGGTCTCTCCGGCCACGCACAAGCGCACACCTCCCGCCACGCCAAGCCTCACCGGCGCCATGCTCTGCCCAAGACTGAGCTTGTGATGCTGAACGAGGGCCAGCTGAGGATGCGCATTGCGAGAGCGGCGGCGTTGCCCAACAGCGTCTATGCCCCAGCCCACCGGGCGTCCCAGCTTTGACCTGTCTGTGATCCATTCCCTCACGCAATTCAGAAAACATCAGAAGCCACAAGGAGTGAAGAAGGAAAGCCAAGAAAGATGGCCCCGTTATAAACAGAGCAGAGACAGCTGATACTCGTACATGCTTCCCCTTCTATGTCTGTATCGGTACACTCCATGCAATTCTAGACTCTTCTTGGCTCGCTGCGCGGGGCGTGCTGCGCTTACACACGGAACGTAACCACGTCGAGCTTGGCGGTCGAATGTCCTGCGGCCGCGAACCCAGTTCCTGTCTGTCAGCTATCGGACCTACACGGTTGGCACAGCTTTGTCTTCCCTGCCAGTTCAGGCCGACGTCTGTCGCTGCGCACCGGACCACACTCACCCTCCTTGCCCAGCGGGATCGCCCTCTCGATGCTAGCCTCGCAGACGGGACACGTGTTACCGCCCTTCTGCGCCCTCTCGCAGCACGCATTGCAGATGACATGGCCGCAGATGGCCTCGCGCTTCTCCTTGGCGTCCTTTTTCTTCTTCTTCTTCTTTGGCTCTTCGCCGTCGGCTTTCTCCTCAGCCTTCTCGACCTTGCTCGATGTCAGGAGCATGGCGCCTGTCGCGTTGTTGACCTCTCGGAGGCAGGATGGGCAGCCGGGTTTCGACTCGGAGCTCGAACCGGAAGATGATGACGGCGCCTTGGAAGACGGGTAGGAGAAAACGACCGGGAGGAGCGACTTGCGGCTTATCGGGTGCGCTTGTCCGACGTGACAGAGCGTCTGCAGCTTGACGGCCTTCAAAGGGCCGAGGGGCGCCTCGGGTGTGTTGTCGGGAAGCCAGAAGGCGGCGATCTTGGCTTTGCGCCCGTCGCTCTCCTCTGCCTCGATCGCCGCCAGTGCGGCATCCTCCGCTTCCCGCGCCAACCGCTCGACCTCGGCCTCGAGATCCTTCTCGCCGTCCTTCTCCGCCCCATTCGCTCCGTCAGACTTGGGCGCGCCGATCCTCACCCGTCCACCGAGTCCCATCCCCCGCTCAAAGTTTGCTCGCACACGTTCCCGCGCCTTCTCCCGAGCCTCGAAACGCTTGCGCTCGTCTTCCCTCTCCCACGCGTCGAGTTCCGCCTTCTGCCGCTCGATGCCAGCCTTCTGCGCGAGCAGGTCTGCGTAGCAGCATTCCCGGCAGAAGACGTGCGCCTCGGGACACGCAACGGCGTCGGTCACCTGAGACAGGCAGAGGTTGCAGTGGTCCATCGGCTTCATCGAGTCCTGCCCTATGCGCCGGGCCTGGTTCTGCTTCCGCAGCAGCGAGCGCTCATAGTACGAGAGCGTCGATTGCGTCGTGTTGTTCTTCGCGTCTGCATGTTAGCTCACAAGCGCCGCATTAAGCTGCAACCGTAGATCGGGAGAGGGATGACTGCTGGCAGCAGAGGGAAGGCGGTAACTCACGACTCCGGCCCATGTCGATGGATTGTTGTTGCCAACATTTCGGTCCGATCAAGTCAGCGATAATCTCTGGGCAGGTCAGCCTGACACTGGCACTTCTGGGTAGAGCAAAGGTAAGGAAGTGTAGTAACACGTGGTCGGCATTAGGATTCTGCAAAGTGGAGTATAGCCAGGGTCAGGCTCACCCCGCGTCCCTGCTCGTCCCTTGGCTCGATCGTGCGATTGTCCACCGTGGCCAGGTCGACTTTTGTTCGAGCGCGTAGCAGTCCTTCCAACAACAACAATCACCATGGTCCACACCGCTACGGCTACCGCGCCCGTCAACATCGCTTGCATCAAGTGAGTCGCGTGTTCCCCTTAGCTCTGCACCTTGGGTGACCCGCCTTGCTTCTTTCGGCCTTCCTTTGTCTCCAAGACTCGAGCACTGTTGAGGGCTAGCGTACAGTCCCTTGCTAGCAAAGCTTTCTACTTGGTCACCTGCTAACAACAGGTACTGGGGCAAGCGGGACACGAAGCTGATCCTGCCGACCAACTCGTCGCTCTCGGTGACGCTGGACCAGGACCATCTGCGCTCGACGACGAGCTCGGCGTGCGATGCCTCCTTCGAGGCCGGCGATCGTCTCTGGCTGAACGGCAAGGAGGAGGACGTCAAGGAGGGCGGCCGTCTCGCGACCTGCATTCGCGAGCTCCGCGGCTGGAGGAAGGAGATGGAGGACAAGGACTCGAAGCTCGAGAAGGTAAGCTGAAGGTGTGCGAAGGTGAAGCTAACGCCAGCTCTCGGCCATGCCCCTCCGTATCGCGTCTTACAACAACTTCCCCACCGCTGCCGGTCTCGCCTCGTCTGCCTCCGGTCTCGCCGCGCTCGTCGCCTCGCTCGCGCAGCTCTACTCCCTTCCCCAGTCGGCTTCGGAGCTCTCCCGCATTGCCCGCCAGGGCTCCGGCTCTGCGTGCCGTTCGCTCTTTGGCGGTTTCGTCGCCTGGCGCGAGGGCCAGGCCGCCGACGGCTCTGACTCGCTCGCTGTTGAGGTCGCGCCCCAGTCTCACTGGCCCGAGATGCACGCTCTGATCTGTGTCGTCTCCGACGCCAAGAAGGGCACCTCCTCCACGGCCGGCATGCAGGCTACGGTCGCGACCTCGCCTCTCCTCCAGGAACGCCTCAAGGTCGTGCCCGGGCGCATGGACACGATCGAGAAGGCGATCAAGGCGAAGGACTTCGACGCCTTCGCCGACGTCACGATGCGCGACAGCAACCAGTTCCACGCCGTGTGCCTCGACACGCAGCCGCCCATCTTCTACCTGAATGACGTGAGCCGGGGCGTCATCGCGCTCGTCGAGGAGCTCAACCGCGCCCACAAGGAGGAGACCGGCCACCTCCTCGCCGCGTACACCTTTGATGCGGGACCCAACGCCGTCATCTACGCCCCTGAGGAGAACATGCCCGTCGTCATTGAGGCCGTCAACCGCTTCTTCCCCCAGGAGCTTGCCGCCAAGGAGCCGTTCGAGGTCAAGAAGGCCGAGCTCCCCAAGGGCTTCAATGAGAGCGCGGTCAGGACCTGGGACAAGGGAAGCGTCAAGCAGCTCATCCACACGCGCGTCGGCGACGGCCCCCGCAGGCTCGACGAGAGCGAGAGCCTCCTCAAGGCCGACGGCACCCCCAAGACCCTCGCTTAAACGCTTACTTACGTCTTCCCTTGATCCACACATAGAACGCTTGTTTAGAAAATGCATAATCGGGTTTGAGTTATAGATGTGTCTCCGGTGGCTTAGTCCGCGGCTTCGACCTCGGCGGTCGCACGCCGCGCCCACGCAATGCCCTCCCAGTTCTCCTTGACCCAGGGCGCGAGCAGAGCAGCCCGCTGCAGATCCTGCATTCCGTCGCCGCCCTCTAGCGTCGCCGCGATTCCGCGCTCGCGGTCCGCCTCGGCGTCTTCCTCAACCGTGCCGCCACGGCCCTGCAGGAGGGGCGTGGCGGCCTCGACCTTGCCGCTCGCAATGTAGGCCAGAGCGAGACGGTTACGACCAGCGGCAGACTGAGGTGCAGCAGCAGCCGCTCGCTCAAGCACGGCAAGCGCATCCTCCGTCTTGCCCTGCACGAGCGCGTGCGCAAAGAGGACGATGTCAGCGAGACCGGCAGGGTCCTGCGCCACCCTGCGCTGGGCGGGAACACTGTCGAGTTCCGCGACCGCGGCGTCGATGAGGTCCGTGTCATCCGATGTGAGGCCGGCGGCGCCCAGAGTCGCGATAACCTTGACGCTGGCGTCCTCGTGTTCCAGGCTGTGGTCAGCTTCACTCATCCGGCAGCTACTCACCATTCGAGGAGGTGCGTCTTGGCAGCCTCGCGGGCATCTTCGCCTCCGACGGCCCAGAGCGTGCGCGCAAGCAGTACAGTGAGCTCGTCCGCGAGCGCAGAGTCGTTTTTCGCCGCCTCGAGCGCGTCCTGGAAGCTTGCCAGGCAGGCGTCGACGTCGCCGAGCCAGAAGTGCGCGAGCGCACTGCCCAGCCGCGCCTGAGGGATCAGGCGCACGACACGCTCATCGCCCGAACCGCCCGCCAGCTCCAGGAAGTTGGTGAATGCCTCCAGTGCGCCATCGTAGGCCCCGGCAGCGAGGCGCACACGACCCAAGTTCGCAAGCGCAATCGTGTACTCAGCTTCGATCTCGGCCGACTCGGCAGCCTCGAACTCCGCCTCCAGCAGCGATGTTGCCTTCTCCAGCGCAGTGACCGCGACGTCGGCCATGCCGAGACGCTCGCAGACAAGGGCGTATAGGTGCTGCGCTGCAGCGCTGCTGGGGCGGGCACCGGTGTACCGCTTGAGAGCGAAGGCAGGCTGGTGCAACGTCTTGGTGTCGCGGGGGCCGTACAGGAAGGGACCGAAGGCGCTGAGTGCGAGGGCGAGATCTGCCTCGAGCAGCGAACCTTGCGACAGGGTGAACGAGTGCGCGAACAAGTTCGCAGCCGTTTCGTGCTGTCCGTCGCGCTGCGCCAGGGTCGCCTGTCCAAACCACGCACGGGCGTACTCAGGATCCATGATCTGCGCCTTCAGGAAGCACTGGTTTGCCAGCTCGCGGTCGTCCAGCTCCAGGTAGAGATAGCCGAGGTTGGTCCACACGACAGGGTCCTTGGCGTAGCATTCGAGCGACACGACGAACGCGTGCTGAGCGAGCTGCTTGCCCGCCTCGGAACAGATGACACCCAGCGCGTTCCACAGGCGCTCGTCCGAGGCGTCGCGCTCCAGAGCCAGGCGCACAGCTGCGACCGCCGCCTTCACAGCAGCAGCCTTCTCCTCGCCGTCGCTCTTCAGCGCGAAGGCATGCAGCGCGCAACCGAGATCGTACAGCGCTGCGTCGGCAGAGTGCTCATTCTTCAGCAGGTGGGCCCGGAACGCTAAGAAGAAAACGGCAGCCTTGGCCGTGTAGCCAGTCGAAGGCGGAGATTGGAGCAGGTTGCGCGCGTGACCGAGGTTGTTAACGGCGGAGCGGCGGTCCTCATCGTCCGCGTCCAGCACCTCGAGTACAGGGTGCAGGACCCTGGCGTTCGACTCGATGTCCGCTGAGGTGACCTCCGTCTCCGCCAGCTTAAGTGCGGCATCACCAATGAGCTTCCACGCCCAGGCGCGGTGCGCACCTGTCTTGACGACAGCGAGCGCGTACCCGATAGCCTCGTGGAAGCTGCTGCGGGAGCGCTCGTGGAAGCCCTGCGATGCGGCCTGCAGGCCGAGAGCAAGCGTTGCGTCAGCCAGCAAGGCCGTCACGCCAATTTCGTTGCCTCCCGTCTGAGCGTCGACTTCCTTGAAAGAATCGATCGCTTGGACATACTGGCCCAGTTGCATGTACACCTCGCCGATGTGGTAGCGAGCCATCCAAGCCTCGGGGTCGAGCTCAAGCGCTCGGTTGAGCGCCTTCAGGCCAGCGATATGGCGACCGCACTTGACGTAAGCCCAGCCCAGCATGCGCCACATGCTAGCGTCCTCAGGCTGAGCGCGGAGAGCAATGTTGTATGCGTCGACGGCTTGCGGGTACTTCTTGTAGTGCTGGATGTCAGTTCCACTTCCTGCGAATGAACTCACCATCTCAGTAGAGCCGAGAGCCTTCCAAGCCCATCCATTCTTAGGCGCGAAGCGACCAGCGGCGTTCATGACCTGGCCCCCAGCAACACCCTCCACACCGCCTTCGCCCTCCATGACTCGAGTGGCGATGGCGCGGACAAGAGACCACTCGTCCTCCTCAGCGTAACCGAAGGCAAGGCGCTTGGCCGCCTCAGTCTCAGTCGCATCGAGCTCAAACGCCTTTTGGAAGCATCGGAGCGAACGCTCGTGGTCGGGTGGGCTCTGCTCCGCGTAGCAAATGCCCAGAGCAGTGTAGGATGACGCGTAAGAGTCATCAGCACGGAGTGAAGCCATGAACCAATCCTCAGCTTGCTGACGGCTCTCAGGCGTGTTGATCATCCACTCGGTTCGTCCGAGGCGCCACCAGGCACGAGCACGCGGGTACTTCTCGTCGTCCGTGTTCTCTTGCTCCTTGCGCGTGTCGCGGATCTCCACAACCTTCTCGAGCACGTCGCGGCCCTCCTCCAGCTTGCCTTCGTTGACGAGACACCAGCCGAGCTCTTCCTGAGCAGCGACCATCTGCTTCTCATCACCTCCGAGATCGAGCAGCGTCTGATACTCAGCGCGGGCCTTCTCCCACTTTTCAGCCGTCTCGTAGATCTGACCGAGAGCAAAGTGCGCCTCATAGTCGTTGGGTTCCGCTTCCAGGACCCCAGTGAGGAGTCTCTGGGCGCGCTGATGGTGCTTAGGAGGGTAGTAGGGAACGAGAGCCACGCCGAGGGCAGCGTCAAGAGACAACAGGGTGGCCAGCAGCTTGATTCCTCGCTGAGACTCAGTGTCGCGCACGAGCTTGCGGCCAGCCTCGGCGTAGGAGATAGCATTCGCCCAGTCCTCGTCGATAATAGCGACTCGGGCCATAACGCGGTGCGCCCAGATGTTCTTCTTCAGGCCAGACTTCAGGAGCTTGGTCATGGAGCTGATGAGTTCCTCCCGCTCTTCCTCGTCAATATCTTCGGAAAGTTCGCCCTCGCGCTGGGCCAGCCGACGGAGACGACGACGTTCACGAGCATTAGGGCCCTTGTTCTTCTTGGGACGGCGGTACCTGACCTTCTTGTCACTGTCGTCACTCTTGACCGTGGACAGTTCCGATCCGCCGTCTTCCTCTGGTGCGGGAAGAGGCAGCCTGAACAGACGGCAATAATCATCAATGAAGTCGGTCAAAGCAGCCTGAGGGAAGGTCTTGGCGTATTTGTGAAGGAGCTCGTGGTCGTAGACTGCGATCAGTCGAGAGTAACAAGCAAACACTCACAGATGGTAGGCTCATCCCGGCCGTTCAATCTCCAGTTCCAAGCTTCCTCAGCAGCCCCTCCGACACCCAGAAGAATGAACCCATCTGCAAGATCATTGGCACGCTTGAGGACCTCCTCCTTGCTGAGACGCTCAGTCACCGGAGCGCGGAAAAGAGGTTGGACGTCATCTTGAGACTGGGCTGAGGTTGCTTTCGGCTTGGCCGGGAGCTTGGCATCGGATTTCTTTGAATCGGTCTTCGAGTGCTTCTCACTGCGTGAGGGAGTCACGAGCTTGCGCCAGTGGTCGAATTCTTCCATCTCGACCTCGCGGCGGATATCCTCGCTGACGTTCGGATGGCTCGCGACATCGCGCAGAAGGGATATCTTCTGATGGCCGAGGGGACCGCCGAGAACCTCTCCGTTGACCTTCTGACGCTCGTGATGCTCCGAAATAGCTCCAATTCTCTGACGGGCAACCTTCACCTTCGCCTCGACTGTTGTCTGTATTTCGTTCTGCACACGCAGCAGGAGGTAGAGGGTGAGCTCTAGGGAGCCCGCGAGATAGTGAACGTGGGGGAGCGGCTTGGGGATCGCCGGAGATGACTTTCCGTTACCGGGGTACGTAGGAGCTGTGAGCGGAACATAGCCTCCTTCGGGCACGGCCGCGGACTGGATCAGGGGAACGACTGGCGAAGACGGAACGAGCAGTTGGAGGGTGTCCCAAGCCTTGCAATAAGCGCGCGGTAAGCGTGGGTGACCTACCTTAGAATCGGGACCGTGTTCAGCGTAGAGGTCCAGCAGCTCCTGCAGAGCCGCCTGCAGCTTGTCACCATCACGCCTGAGGTTAGAAGTATCACACTGCAACACTCACGCATCATATGCCGCCTGGACGCTCTGCTCCAGAAGCTTGCCTAGCGCTTCCCATTTTTCATGCTTCACGTAGAACTTTTTCAAACCCTGTGACGCAAGCGGGTGACCGGGTGACAACTTGAGAGCATGGAGGTAAGACTGAAGTCAGCGCAATGGACATCAGCCCACGATCGCACCTTCTCGGCTTCGTCGAAGCGCTCTAAGTGCGACAGTGCCAGAGCACGGTAAGCCAAGCTATCAGTCAGTGAAGAACTTGCACAAGAATTCAAAGCACGCACACGTTGGGCGCATCTGGGCTGTCCTCGGGGAGAGACTTGAGGAGGTTTGTTGCTTCGTAGAGGGCGCCCTCTGGCTCGCTGTCCTGGAGCTTGGTGCGGATGGACTTGAGCGCCGCTTTGGTAGACATGGCGACGGAGCAGACGATTCTGGTCTGTCTGCTGCAACTCCTTTCCGACCTGGGTATCGATGGGTGAGAGAGAGAGGGAGGGAGTGTGTCGGAGGAAGACACAACAGAGATGACGCCAGTGCCGACGCTCACTGTGCAGGGGGGGGGTTGACTTTGAGGTGGAGGCTTCGAGCTGGTTTGGGTTGTGCCTGAGTGCCACGAGGTTTGCACGCCTGAGATGCCCACGGGCGCGCAAGGAACGCCCCGGTCCGACTCGTGATCTCGGTTCCCTGAATTTCCCCCCAGCATGCCCAGCACGCCCAGCGCGCGCAGCAGGCAGCAGCAGCTGAGGCAGAGAGGCCAGCCAGGGTGACCAGGTGAACATGGACCCGTTCCTCGTTACCGCGCGACACTGGGCCAACAACCAACCCGTCCCATTTCACCATCCCCTCCCCCCAGTGTAACTCATCCTCCCTCAACCCCCACAACACACACACACACAGCGATAACACGATATCACGACACAGCTCGACGTCGCCGCACACACCGAGTGAGTCTTGTCCTTCCCATCGCCCCGCACTGTCCGGCACTTCCCTCTCTATCCCTGCTCGCTTCCGAATCCAAAGCGCCATCCCATGAAAAGAGAAGATCTTCAACCCCGCATGCTGCCCCGGATTTTATTCCTTTCCTTCCCAGTCCTTCTCCCCTCTTTTGTCCGAAGCATACCTCGTCCTCGCCACCATTGTCACCGCCGTCCCAAACGTCTCGGCACGCATTCCCCTCCTCGCCGCCCACACACGTTCCCCCCTCCCCGTTCCCCACACCGCGTCGCGACCGATCTTGAAACCTAAATTAACTCCGCCAGCGCCAGCAGATTAGTCGACTTCACATCGCACACTCGCCGGGGCCATGGCCAACTCACAGCGGGGACTCGGCCTCAACCTCGGCGTGCCCGCCGGGGCGCCGAAGAACGCCAACCCGCAGCTGACAGTGCCCTCCGCAATCGGTGTGACCCCTGCATCCCCGACAGAACCGGCTGGTCCATCGTCCACAGCGGGTCCGAGCAAGACTTCGCCCCGCCAAGGTCTGCAACCCTTACAGACGCAATTCGACTCGGACCATTATGACCAACGAGGGCATTCTATTCCCCCGCCGCCCAGCCCTCGACGGCACAGAGTGAACCGTGTTAGAGGTGGAACCGGCGGCGGAATATCGACAAGCAAGTCCTGGGCCGATCTGACGGCCATGGGAATGGCGATCGGTTCGTCGCGATCACCGAGCGTTAAAGAAGACCGCCGTGCGGTGAGCGAGCACCATCGTGTCTTCTCACATGGAGATCTCACGGACGAGCCTTGGGATGAAGCTCCGTACGACAACAGGTGAGCAATATCCTTCCCGCGCGGGACGTCGGTGTCTCGGCATCGCGCCGAACCCATGTGGACAGTCGTAGGAGACTTGGATTTCGTTGACATCAGCGCGCGCTTCTACTATCGTATGCACTCTCGCGCTGCATCCCCGGTACGGTCAACAATCAGCGTCAGCCCGACGACGGGCTCCCGGAGGTCACCGTCACCATCCCAGTCACAGGCGCCCCTCGGCACGTCCCCAATTCATGTTCGCCGTAATCTCTCGGTTCCACCAGGAGGTGTGGGTGGTGGTGAATCAAGTCAGTCCAGCCCGACTTCTGCGACTCGGCTATCCCCCAATACTCGCTTCCTTCAACAGCACCTGCCCTACCTTCCCCAACTCAACCTCTCTTGCCGCCACTCCCGAGCACGACATTGCTGATCCAATGGCGGCGGCTTCTGTGCCTCCACAGCACATGGTTATCCTGACGCCGACGACACAGGAGTGGAGAGAGCTGAAGGAGATGGGAAGGCTGGGTGGCAAGGAGATTGAAGACTCTCACGACAGCGACAGCTCAAGTTCGAGTGCGCCGTCACCGTCAACCGAGGCGCCGCAACGAACACCGCCGGAAACAGACGGATCTCCTCAGCTGCGTCCAGTGTTTTCGTCGATCGTCATTGCGCCTAGCCCGGCTCAGCCCCAGCGTTCCCCGAAACCTGAAGAGGGCATGAAGGGGGCTTGGGTTAACCTGGACAAGAGCACGGACCTCACCAGCACGGCCAGCAACCATGGCGGGCTGTTAACTCCTGACGACGATGACGATATTACGCTGGCTGTGCAGCCTACGACAGTGCGACGGTTCAACAGCATCGGCCGAAGAGACTCTCTAGTTGACGTGCAGCGTCCCGCTGCGATCAACATTCCTCGTACGAAAACGAAGCGCGAAATCGAGCGCGAGCGTCTGCTGCGCTTAGTGGACGAGGAGATTGCAGGCTCGCCACCGTCAGAGCCTAAGGGTCATTCATGGGGCGTGCAAGAAATAGGAACTGGTGGCGGTTTGTCGCGCGCCGACTCGCGGGGGTCCCAGCGTTCTCGCCGAAGCTTGGACAGCCCTGGGCTCGCAGAGGTTCCGCCCGAGCAGCAACCGCCCAGCGAGATCGAACAAATTTCACAGCCTCTTCTTCCTCCAGCCTCATGTTACCAGAGCGACACACTGCCGACGAAGCCGTCTCCGCTCCACGCCGATCCAGTCACACGGTCGGCCATTGCCACCCCGTTATCTGCCACGACTCCACAAGGTACCGCGTCACCCGCTACATCCGATGAGTCGCCGCCGCTGAGCAGTGCTCCTCCCGAGACTGAGCAAGAACGCTTCGAGTCCATTCGGAACTACTCGCGGTCTTTCTCGACGCGTAAATCGCTGAGCCGACCTGCAAGCGCCGCTCCCTCCCGACGCAACTCGGCAGAGCACTCGCCTCCTCGCTCTCCTCGGCGCCGCGAGCGGGACACTCCACGGGTTTCGCTTGTTGCCGGTCGCATCGTCCGACCATTGGCATTCCCTCCTCTAACGCCGATGACGCAGGTCTCGAGTGTGGACTCTAAAGATTCGAAAGACGGCGGCGAACAGGGTGAGGCTGCCAGGGAAGTCAAGGAGGACACAAGCAACGCCTCCAAGTCTCCGCCCGTGCGCCAGGGCACTTTGTCGAGTTTCTCTGCCTTCCGCTCGCCCGCGCCCGGACACCACTCCAGTGCATTCCCTCCGATACCAAGATTCGACAGCTTCACGTCCAACGTTAGTCACGCCTCTAGCATCGGCGCCCCGAGCTCGACTGGATCGCCTCACAGCGAGGTCGTGGGAGCCGGGGGCCACGGCATCGATGACTATGTCATACTCAAGGAGGCCGGAAAGGGAGCGTACGGTCTCGTCATGCGTGCCAAGGTGAAGGGCAGCAATGGACAGCCGGTCGGCGTAGGTTACCTGCACTTAACTCGTAACTGACCAACAGGACGAGCTCATCATCAAGTACGTCATCAAGTCGCGAATCCTGGCCGACTGCTGGAAGAAGCACAAGCAGCTCGGACCGATTCCGGTAGAAAGTGAGTGGTATCTTGCAACTTTGCTCAGCTGACTATCAGTCCACGTGATGGACCAGCTCCGGCATCTCATCTACCACCCGCCGATCGAGCCTCACCCGTGGGACCCGCACCGCACGGCCTCAAACAAAGGCAGCCAAGAACAGTTGGCCTCGAATGGTGACCCGGAAAGACCCGCGACCCCATTGCGCTCCGACAGCGCGAGCTCGAACCCGACCCAGCGTTACATCTCGGGGGAGATGAAACAGTCTCCCGAGAGGGGCCACCCCAACGTGTGCAAGCTGCTGGACTTCTTCGAGGACCGCGAGTTCTACTATCTCGTGATGCCCCGGTACGGTACCGGCGTCGACCTTTTCGACTACGTGGAGTCGCATCCCTCGGGTTTGCCGGCATTCGAAGTGCGCTCCTTCATCGGGCAACTGACGGATGCCGTGCGCTTCCTGCACGCGAACGGCATTGTGCACCGCGACATCAAGGACGAGAACGTGATCCTGGACGGAACCGGCAAGTGCCAGCTGATCGACTTTGGCAGCGCTGCGCATTGGCGCCCAGGCAAGCGCTGGGACACCTTCAGCGGAACGCTGCATTACGCCTCGCCGGAGATCCTGCGTGGCGAGATGTACGGCGGCAAGGAGCAGGACGTGTGGGCGCTCGGCACGGTGGCATACGTGCTGCTCGTGGGCGAGACGCCGTTCACGGAGCTGCCGGATGAGGTCTTCGAGGGTCTTGTGCCCGGAAGCGGGGCACAGGCTGGTCTCGATGCCAGATGCGGCGGAGAGCACGCAAAGGAGGGTCTCGAGGCGGATGGAGGCGGCTCGCTCGAGGACGCAGCCGACTTTGTCCGCTGCTGTCTCGCACAGGATCTCGTCAACCGACCCACAGCCGAGCAACTCCTGAAGCATCGCTACCTCGCCGGCGCAGGGGGATGGACCGGCTTCCGCGGCTGGATGGGCAAGAGCCCCACCGCGCCGGCATCTTCTGCTGTGCCCGCCATTCCGGTGCCGAGCGTGAAGGTGGACGGCACGAAGGCGTGAGCTGTGCCGAGTGCGCAGGTGTGAACGAGAAGTCAGCAGTATCTTGTGTTTTGTTATTATCTTTTCTCTGATATCAGGCGGAGCGCGAGCGTGAGCAGTAGAGCATATTCTCTGTAGAGATAGACCATGTCATGAACCCATCAACGCATCAACAACGTACATTGCGTCCGCAGTTGGTGATCAGCACGATCAGCGATCAGCAAGTGTGCATGGGACGTGCACCTCATTACCTATTCATTTGCCCATTCCTTAACCCAGTCCCTAATCAGTCCTTATGGATAGACAGCAGGACGGACGGTCGCGTATCTCGCCAAGCTCGGTTAGATCTGATATCTTCCCGGATGCTGATTGGACCGAAGGCGGGAATGTGCGACGCTCCGGAACGTTTCACCCGAGGAGGAATGCTGATGAGGCTGGAAGGAGGGAAGATGGAGCGAGGCCGACCGGAGGCTGGGCTGGGAGGTGGAATGTATCATGGCTGAGAATGCCGGGCCGAAGCATGATGCAGAGGGCAGTGTACTGGTGCGGAGACAAGGGGGCTCGGATGCAACCTGCCATTACGGCGAGGCTCGGTGCATCGCCGAGGTGGCAGTTGGACGTCCCGATGGCAATGGCGCATGCACAGCGGATACTGACACCGCTGGACCCGTTGTGCTTTGCCGTGACTCTTGTCGGTGCATTATCTCAATCACCTGTTGGCCTAGCTAACACCAGTGGCCCAACAGTGCCCCTTCGTCATTGTCCCGATCCAATACATCACGAAACACACAAAACCCCGCCTGAGACTGACTAACACACTCCCTTCAATCTGACGACAGCTCCCACGCCCCCCATGCACTGAACCTCCCCATCAGACTCTATAACACCCCCAAAGCTCACCATGCCCCCCTCACGACCCCAAGCAGCAATGAGAATCCACCGACCCCATCGGCGCCGACAGGACCCCGTCATCCCTCCGGCCCCTCCGAAGAGGGAAGACGTCGAGCGTTCTCGCCTCCTAGCCCAGTTGGAGAGGGAGAAACGCCGTGTGGCATCTCTCGACGCAGACTTCCGCTCCATCGGCAAGAGACAGGAGGAGATCCGTCGTCGTGCTCGGCCGACATTGCCGCTGTCGTGGCTCCCCCCTGCTCCAGCCACGCATGAGGCGTGTGGTCACACCGCAGATGGCGTCAACGGCACCACCACCAACGGGGACCCCGAGAATGTCGTCAACGGTGCCAATGGAAGCAACACTGAGCAGCGCGCGCCAGTGAGGAGCAACAGCACCGCGATCAGAAGTAACAGCATCACACGGCGGGATCAAGACCTCGACGCGCACACGCAACTCGCCCTCGCGAGACTTGACGAGACGGCAGCCCAGAGACGTATCGAGCGAGCCGAGAGGCTGATCAAGATCCAGACTGTTGAGGGGTTGTTGGCGAGGCTAGTCCCGGAGGGTGGAGAGGAGGGATACGACCAGGGGAGTGAGCCGAGCGAGTCTGTTCTTACGGCATAGGCGTTGAGCGGTCTGTAGGCAAGCGAGTGTGTGGCATGACGGAGAGGGCATTGTGCACTGATGGATACTGACCGACGTCCTCGGACTCAAGCCCAGATTGGAATCCGAAACCCTGCCAACCGTGACATCTGAGACGGGGTCCATGATTACTGACAAAGCCGCACCGCCGCACTCCGAGCATCTCGAAGACAACCAACTCGCCATTGTCCCTCACCACCATCGCAACATGCTTGCAGCATGCTTATAATCTCCCACCAGCAGTCATCGCGTTGCACGCCCCAGTACGACTTGACGTCTCCCATTTTCACGAGCCAGGCGCTCAGGATAAGCCGGCTTATCCCCATCCCTACCTTGAAACTTCAATCCTTGAAGGACCGACATGAGGATCGCACTCGCAGCATACCTCGCCCTCGCTACCGCGGCCGCGGCTGCGCCGATCCGCGTCCCCTGCGACGCACTTCCCTCTTCCACTTCAGCAACTCCTGCGATCACGAGTGTGAGGGCCCCGCCACGCGAGCACGGGCCGGTCCTGTATCGCCGTGATGAGGGCGGTGACGGGGGTAACGGCGACAATGGTGAGAATGGCGACAATGGTGAGAACAATGGCGAGAACAGCGGCGACAACAACGGCGACAACAACGGCGACAACAACGGCGACAACGATGGCAACGATGGCGGCGATGGAGGTGGCGACCTGGGTGAAGGCGAGGGGGACAATGGTGGCGGAGAAGGAGAAGGCGGCCAGGGGAACGCCGGTGGCAGCGGCAAAGGAGAGGACCACGGCGGCGAAGGCGACCACAATGGCGACAACGGCGGCGACAACGGGGGAGACAGTGGCGAAAAGCCGGAGGAGAACGCCGATTCCGGCAGCGGTGGAGAAGGGGAAGTCGCGGCCGAGAACTCCGAGGGACACGACAACCCCGAGGGCGGCGAGCAACCCGCCGAGGGAGAGGGTGACAAGCAAGGCGACGGCAACGGCGTGGGCGGGAATGGAGGAGACAAGGGTGGAGAAGGCGAGGAAGGCGGTGGCAATCACGAGGGGGAGAACACCGACGACGGTGGTGAAGGCAAGGAGGGGGGCAAAGGCGGAGGTGAGGGCAATGGTGAACCGGCTCCTGATGGCAACCACGGCGACGGCCAGGAGCAAGGCGACAACCCCGCCGACGGCAACAATGGCCAGGAGAACCAGGGAAACGGTGGAGGAGAAAGCCACGACGAGAAGAAGGAGAACGCCGACGGCGGTGAACAGAAGGAAGGCAACAAGAAAGAGGAGAACATCATCGGCTACGGCGCCTTCGCTGAGGTTCCTGCCGACAACGCACCACCTCCGCAAGGTGCCAACGACGCCGTCGCCCTGGATGCCAATGAGAGCGCCATCGCCGATAAGGCGGCGGGAGTTGCCCCGGCCACTGGCGCTGCAGGAGCTGTCGCAGGTGCGGGGGCCGCTGGTGCTGCTGTAGGTGCCACAGCTGCTGGGGCTGCTGGCACCACCAACGGCACGGGAGCCGCTTACGGTGGAACGACTGGGCCGTGGGCAGCTACCGCCGTCCCCGCCACAGCAGGTGGCACTGCTGGTGCGGCTGCTGCTGGCGCCGCTGCCGGTGGCACCACCGGAAGCGCCCCTCAAGCTGCTGCTCCCAATGGTAACGCCACTACCCCGGGATCTGCCTTGGCGGCCGCCGGAGCTGCAGCTGCTGCGGGCGCTGGCCCAGCCGGAGGGGTCGCGGGCGCTGTCGGAGCTGGCCCCGCCGGTCAAGCTGCCCTTGGGGCTACCCCCGCCGCCGGAAAGGCTGCCGCCGAGAACGTCGCTGCTGGAACTCTTGCGGGTGCCGGCGCTGCAGGCGCTGCCGTCGGTGTTCCTGCAAATGCTGCCGCCATGGGTGCTGCCGCTGCCGGTATCAGTGCAGTTAAGGGAGCTACCGCCACGACCGCCGCCGCTGAGGGCAGCACAACCTCCGCCGCTGATGCGTTGAAGGCGAGCCAGACCATGACAATCACGGAGGCATACGACAAAGTCTTCGATCCGAACCTCGACCCGAACTCGATGGACCAGAAGTTATGGACCTGGTGGGACGGCTACCTGGGCATGAGCGACGACGTAGGGTTCGACAAGTTCGACGTGGTCAACGAGTCACAGCTGTCACTCTACCGCCAGATTGACAGCAAGCCCGAGCGGTTCGAGTGGAGGGGCCCCATGGCCAGCCGTCAGTACCGGCGCGAGCGGTTCCTTGCCACAAAGCACAAACTGGAGCAGTTCATCGGCACGGAGGCCGGGAAGAATACCGAGGCTGATAAGCAGTGGCAGCAGCAGGCTCTGGAGCAGAAGCAAAGGCTCATCGACAACGAGGTTCAGAAGAAGGCGAACGCAGCGGCGGGCGTCACGACGACGCCTGTAGGCTTGCAGGCTACTACGACGGCCAAGGCGAAGACACCGGCGACTTGGTCAAAATCGAAGAACGACGCAGTCATGGTTGCGCACCCGACGCAGACCGGGAAGACGACCGAGGAGAGGAATAAGGAGTTTGATGCCTGGTACAGCAACTACCTGCTCACCGAGTCCAAAGCCTCTCCCAAGACCGCCCAAGCCAAAGGGGCTACAGGCGTTGCCGCGGTATCCACGATCCCCACTCCTATCCCGATCTCTACTATTGCATACAACGGTCCCCCCGACCCGGCTGGGGAGATCAAGACCATCTGGGCCCTACCTTCCGCCACCACGGATGACGCGAAGAAGCAGCAGGCGAAGGAGAACATCAAAAACATCCTCGGCGCCATCAAGGCAGGCGTCAAGGACCGTCGTGACATCGCTCAGCCGACCGCGGCCGTCAACGCTCCTCCCGCACCCGCCGAACCAGCCTCGTCCGAGGGGGACCTGACAATGCTCAAGCTGATGGAAATGGTTAGTGCCGTCATCGCAGCGGCGGCGCGCAAGGATCCCAGCATAGTGCCGGACCCGCACACGCTGCGCCGTCGCAGCACGTGGGTGCTCGACTTTGTGCCCGAGGGCCCGTCCAGTGGAAACTGGGACGACCTGAACCGCTGGATCGAACGGTGCCAGGAATGGCGCACCGCGGCGCGCGACGAGCAGGACAGGTACGCCAAGATGGGCTTCCAGATGACGGACCCGCCGCTGATTCCGGCCGGAGGGGACTGGAACACGATCGTCCGCTGGGTCGAGAGCGCAAAGGCGTGGCGCTCCGAGTGGACGTACAAAGCTGTGTGGTGGGAGAACCATCGTGTTGATCTGCAGGCGTTCGAGGACAAGGTCCGCGGGTGGTTCAAGTCGGTGTTCGGGTCCACTGGGAAAGAGGTCAAGTGGCAGTAGGGCGCTCTCTGGTAGAGCTGGATGCATGTGGTGCCAGTGTCGTAAGCGAAGTGCATGTAGAATTCTGAATAATGAGCGATCCGCCACAATCACAATGGTCGGCTTGCTCACCGACGACGTCCTCTTGGCTGGGAGCTCAGAGCTTATGCTCAGCTCCCGGGGACGACCGAGCCTTCCCCGTAACCAGAGGGGTTGTGTGGAGCCAGTGAGTGAAACAAGACATCGACCTTGGTCTCTCACAGACACCCAGAGGGGTAAACCTTAATATCGGTACCACCACCCGTGCATGATCACACACGCTGAAGCTAACTTTCGACGTCGCCAGGTGCGGAACGTTCGTCGCGAGATGTCATGTGCAGATGGGCTCGACGTTTTGGGTATTCACAGTGACGGAGACGAATGCCCCCCTCTTGACAACTCCTCATCCCTCACTCCCAGCATGCTGACCTCCTCGTTGTTCACGCTGGGTGGGTATCGACGACGATCGCAGCGCTGACCTTAGTCCTCTCCACGGCCCTCGCCTCAGCCACTCTCGTCCGACGGCAATTCGGCGACCACCTCGGGCACAACGGCAACGTGACCTGGCCAATTCAGACGATTCCCTACGAGGAGGACGTGCCCGCCAACTGCTCGACGCCTTGCAATTCCTGGAAAGAAGCGACGCGGAAGGGCGCCTGCGCCATCCCGTTGCCCAGCAGTCTTCCCCCCGCTGCACAGACCAGCGCACTGCCTGATGGCAGCAAGCTCGCCGCTTGCCCGATATGGACGATGCGAAACGAGGACGTCTGCGCTGTGCTGGACGTTCAGGCTCAGTGTCTTCTGTGCGCGTTCCCAGAGCTGAACGAAACGGCACCGGAGTACGTTGCTTCGTATGGAGGTGTGGTGAAGGATTGTCAGGAGCAGGGGTTCAGGTTGCCGGTAGGTGTCACTTGGCCGTGGTGGGAAGGCCCGGCGCGAAAGATGATGGAAGAGCAATGCTGACTGCCACAGGAGTCGGTACCGGGGATCAACATGCAAGACCCCACATCTGGTGCGGGAGAACAGACAGCAGAGGCAAACGCCGGTACACCTTGGGACCAGGTTTATAACCCGCCGCCCGCGAACACTCCCGCCGTTGCTGCAGCTCAATCTCCCAGTAGCTCGAGCGCAGCCGCTCCATCCGCCACCACAACGTCGGGAGCGGCACGGCTCTGGTCTCACCACGTTTTGGCTCTGGGGCTGACGGCGCTCTCCATAGTGGCTATCGTGTAAGCAGGCCGGACCTGCGGAACAGAGACGTCTGGTTCTATGTACAATGCATGGGAAACAGGAAGTACAATCAACTGTCATGCTACACTCTGTCGCTACAAACACTGGCTGCTCTGCAGCTTTTACATCTTGAAGAGGAAGCCGAGGTCCTCGACGGTGAGCTTGCCGAGGGCGGCATCGGGGTCGCGGCTGAGGGCGGCGTCCGTCATGGCGAGCTTCTTCGCTTGCAGCTTGACGATCTGGTCCTCGATCGAATCCTCGACGACGAACTTCGTGATCGTCACCGCGCGCTTCTGACCGAGACGATGGATACGGTCTGGGATCAGCTGAATCACCGAGTAACAGCTCAAGACACTTACCTCCAGCCTGGTTCTCAACGGAAGGGTTCCACTGACTGTCAGTTCACGTCGCTCCATCGGGTAACTCACCCAAGAGTCCATCATGAACACGCGCGATGCCTCGGTCAGGTTGAGCGCGACACCACCCGCCTTGAGTGAAATGAGGAACACAGTGACCTGCGTGTTCTTCATGAAGTGCTGAATAGTCGCGTCACGCTGTTGGGGCGTCATGCCACCTTCAAGTCGGCAGATCTGGCGGTTAGTGATGCGAACGCCCCCTAACCTACGTTGAAGCCAGCACGCTGCAGGCGGAACGCAATGATGTCCAGGAACGACACGAATTGGGAGCTGGAGTTAGCTTGAGACTTATGATGCGTGAGCTCACAAGACGAGCGACTTGATGGTGCAGTCCTGCTTGCGGAGCTTCTCGAGCTCGTCGACAAGCGCCTCGAGCTTCGACGACGAACGCCACTTGTCAACGTCGAGGCGCGACAGGATACCCTGGCGAGCGCGCTTCGCATTCGTCTCGGAGAGGTCGATAGCCTCCTGCTCAAGGTCAATCGAGATCTCGATGTGGCACACAGGACACTCGGGCTGAATGATTAGCTTCCTCACGGAGACAGGAAGCTTACGTTGTGACCTCGGAGTTGCTGCATCTCAAGGTACTGCTTGATGCACTCGCGGTCGAAGACGTGATGGCACTGGGAGACGATAGCATCCTCGGCCGAGTCGTTGCAGATACGGCAGATACTGCCCTCGGTGGTTGGCTGCGCGAGCGAGCTCGTCTGCGACTTGAGCACGAGGTCGGGGTGGCACGCCATCTGACGCATTCTTGTGATGAGCGAGAAAATGTTGGAGTAGTCTAGTGTCAGCTTGTAGCGCAGACCAGGCCAGCTTACTGTTCAAAACAGTTCCAGCCTCAACGTAGGTGTTGAACTCGCGCTTCGCATTGGTAAAGAGACTCATGTACAGTTCCTTCTCGGCAGGCGAGAAGTAGTCACGGCGAATGACGAGGGTGCGCGGAGGAAGACCAAGGTCGTCGGCACGCTCAATCTTCGTTCGACTGAGAGTTAGCAGGCAATGACTAGGACAAAACTCACCGGAGCATCATGCGGTCGAGCAGAATCTTGAGCTTCTTGAAGGCAGTGTGGCCGGGGTTGCCCGGTTCGATACCGTAGCGGACGATGGGGGTGAGAATCTCCGAGTTCCAGAACGAGACATGGTCCATCGGCTTGTGTCCGCAGTCATCGCAGTGACGCCTGTCACCGAACTTCCAGTGAAGCGACTTGCACGAGCACTTCTTGCAGTAATAGAAACTGACGTCAGCACCAAGACCACTCGGGCAAGCTCACCTGAAGGGATCGGCTCCGAGGAAGCGGACGAGCGAGTACAACTCTCCGACACGGTTTTGCAGCGGAGTACCCGAGAGACACCAGCGGTACTTGGCCTTGAGCGCGAAGGCAGCCTTGGCAGCGTTTGTCGTGCGCTCCTTGATGTTGTGCGCCTCATCGAGGATGACGCGGAACCACTCGAACGCGTGCATCGGGCTCGGCTCCGTAATCATGAGGTTGCCGCGCTTGAAGCCGCGCTGCTGCCTGCGGAAGGATGCCTCGAGCGTACCGTACGAGCACAGCACAACGTCATACTTCTTCAGGTCGATCTTGCTGCGCGAGTTGCCGTGCCACAGGCAGACAGAGAAACCCTCGGCGTGCGTCTCGATTTCGTTCTTCCACTGCATGAGCGCAACGACTGGCGCGACGACGAGCGACGGCTTGCGACGAGGCTCCGAGAGGAGGAGCGCAATGGTCTGGATACTGCGAGTTAGGAAGCAACATGACAGGTTGACTCACGTTTTACCCATTCCCATCTCGTCAGCCAGCATACCTCCCTTCCAAGGACCTTCCTCTTGCTTCTTCATCCAGTACAAACTCTCCTTCTGGAAAGGCAGCAGCGTCAGCTTCAATGACGGGTGTGCCTCCATGGGGACCGGCTTGACAGGCTCAAGGTTGGCCTCGAGATCACCCCAAGCGTCCTTAAGTTCGGGATGGTGCTGATATCAGTTGCGCTCTCAGAAAGACCAACTTACCCTCTGCAGGCGGATCTGGTTCTTCTCGCCCTGCGTCAGCTTGCGCCCAAGCTCGGCAGCAAGCTTGCGCTCCATCTTCTTGATCTCTGCCTTCTCGGCGTTCTCCTCGTCCTTCTCGCGGCGGCTCTTCCTCTTCTTCCCCTTCCATGCTTCAGGGAGATCCTCGCTCTCGCCGCCGTCCAGGCGTCTTCCCTTGGACGCCTTAGCCTTGCCTTTGCCCTTCTTCTTCGGAGCTGGCGAGTCAGACAAATCGGAGAGGAAGTCCGACTCCTCGGCCTCGGACTCGGATCCGTCCCAGATCTTGTCGGCTAAGGGAGTGCTAGTCCCACTGGCGCCGGGGGTAGGCAGCGCCGACGAGGAAGACGAACCGTTCATGCGACGCTCGGCGGCGCGCAGGATCGCAGCGCGGTTGACGGAGGAAGGCGCAGGCTTGACGTCTTCCTCACTAAGAACGAAGTCACTACCCTCGTCATCGTCGTCGTCGCTGCTGCTGATCGAGATCGCCTTCGCTTTGCCCTTGCCCTTACCGCGGGCGGCGGTCTTGGCCAGAGGCTGATCTTCCTCGGACTCAGATTCGGGCTCCGCCTTGACTTTCAGGGGGCGTCCGCGACCGCGACGCGCGGGTGGGGGAGGTGTGAGGATGTCTTCCTTGTCATCATCGTCGTCGTTCAAAAGTAAAACATCGTCGTCGACGGGCTCGCTCTTCACGGAGGCGCGGCGCGAAGGGCGAGTCGGCAGGCTGACATGATCGAGGACCTGACGCTTGTTGGATCGAGTGGAGACGGAGGAGGAGGCTGAGGTCAGAACAAACAAAGGAGGGGTGACTCACCTCTGCGTTTGCCGCGGACGGGCTTAACGTCCTCTTCGTCAGACATGCTGAGTGGTGTCGGTACCTGGTTACCAGAGGAGGGTGTGGATTCCTCGGAGGGGGCCGAGAGTGCTTTCTTCTCGCTCGGAGTCGGGAGCGGGTTGCCGCGCGTGGTCCGCGAGGACCGTCGTGTTCCTACCATCGGGAGTGTGGTGTGTGGGGGGTGGCGAGGGGGATGGGGTGTTTCCAGAACGCGAAAGGGCGTCGCTGCTGCCCAACGTGGTGTCCCCCGCGTCCTGGGCGACAGTCATATATTTTCGGTGGAGGCCCGGTTGACTGGACTTGCATGGACTGATCCATGCGCGCGTTCTTTGGCCGTTCAAAGTTGCCGTTTCAGGGCCCAGCACGCGAAACCCAGGTGCCGATCACCGATCAATCTCCTCCCTGCCCAGCCAGCCAGCGCAGACTGGCCACCGTACGACCGCCAGACCCACTACTGCGGGGGCGACGGAGACGTCCGCAACGGCCGCGAAAAGTCTATCACGTTGTGCATCAATCTCACAACAGGTACAAATAATACTAGTGGTTATATGCAAGGTATCTCTAATCGTTGCGTAAGATTTCGTAGAATGGGTAGTGCGTTGGTATAGTGTAGGTGTGCTGCCTTCCGGGTAACAAAGAGGAAGAGGAAGACAAGAGTAAATCAGTTAGTAGTACCTGCGGGGTCAGTGGGCTGGTCGGGGGCGGGCAGGCAACCATAAAGCCTGGCTACTCACTCGATCTCGAGCTGCAATGTCAGCTATTTGCAATGAAGAGGGCAAGCTACTCACGTACTGCAGCGCGACGTCGCGCGGGGAAAGAACGTTAAGACCGATCGGGTTGAACGTTGACTCGTTAAATGATCGAATAATGGCCTCAGCACGTCGAAGCTCCTGATCGTCAGCTCGAAGATTGGCCAGCGGTCAGCTACCCACCTTCTCGAAGTGACTCGTGTGCCACATCAGACTAGTCCACCACGTCGCAATCGCAAGCAGATTGTCCATGACAGCCCCGCTGACAGAGTACGCCTCGCGCAGGGGCACGTTGATCTCCTCGATGAACGCAGTGAACTTGGCAGGGCTAATGCGCGACTCAAGCTCGAGCGGGAAGGTCGTCGAGAACCTGGGTATGTTAGCTACGAACGCCAGGGGGCTAAGCTAGACGTACTGGCAGATGTCGCCGAGGTGCCAGTCGCGCTCAATGCGAACAATCTCCTTGGGCAGGTCGCGCCCGATCATGCCCGTCTGCGGCTGGCCGTAATACGTCGAATTCGGCACGCCGGCCTGGGGCACGCTGGACCGCGGCTCGCTGTCGTCAGCTCAATCGCGGGCCTACTAGCTCACCCTTGTCCACCGCGCCATCCAGCAAGGTCACCCTGGACTTTCTCCTCCCATCTCGTCAGCTTCTTCGGCGGCTGCTCCTCGAGCCACGGCTCGTGGAACGCCTCCGGCTTCGCGCTGCCGTTCAGCGAGCCAAACTTGTCCTGCTGTGATGGCGTAGCGGGGGACGTTGGCCGCGAGCGCGGCGCGGCGGAGAGCGACGACGGAGGCCGCGGCGACAACGACTTGCGCTCAAACGCCTGCGGCGGCGACGCGGAAGGTGGGCTGTAGTACGCTGTTCCTGTACCACCGTTCTGAGCGTTCTGGGTTACTGTCGCGATCGCCGGACGCATGAACGGGTGGTTAGCGGGTGGGGACGCCATTTTGTTGTTCTTGGCGGAGTCGGCGAAGGATGAAGAGTGAGAAGATGTGTAGGCTGTGGAAGGGAGGGGCGGGAAGGGGGCGGTGGGCGTTTGTCACTCGATGCACGGATGTTCACCGGGCCATGCAGTCGTTTTCGGCGTCGCGAGAATGCCGGAAGGAGGGTGTAGTGAGGTGCGATGGGTTGGGTGGAGAGTGAGCAAGTGAGAATTCATCGCCGAGCAGCGAGCGCACACAGAGCAACAATAGCGGCGGCGGATGCCAGGGTGGGAGGGTCGGAAGGCGGTCAAAGCGGCACGCCAGCTGGGTCGGCAGCCAGGCACGGGAGCTGGTAGGCGTCGCGGGACCGTAGACGGACGGTTCAATGGATGAGATCCCGTCTCTCCGAGCATTCAGATGCAGAGTGCGCTGTTCCGCCGCATGGTCGGCTGCGCTTGTCTAAATGTCTCAGCTCGCTATGCAACCGCACCAGAACGCGATCAGAACATCTCGCTCGATCTTTGCAGACAAAGTCATTCACTCAACTTTCGCGGCAGGTGCCTGGCACATCCAGGAAAACTTCCTGGATCGCCGTTGCCTGGCCATCAGCCCTGCCTGCAAGAAGGAGACTTCGCTCGTGATACAAGCCGGCACTGTCTAGACTATAGACTAGAAAACTGAGAGACGTGAAGGAAGCAAAAGTCACTGCCGTTGCAACTGCTTCTATGTGGTCAGCGAGAATAAGATCTTCCCCCGGCCTGGTGGAGGATCATCGCTCCTTGCTCTGCTCATCTCAAACCCTGCCTCCCAGCTTCCAGAGGACCTTGCCGCTGGGAGCGGGAGACGAATATCCGCTCTACAGATGCCCCGCGCATGGCGGCCGAAAGGTCATCAACGATATGACGACCGTCACTGTGGAGATCTTCTTGTGCGGGGCTACGGAGCACTTTCAGGGGCCAGTGTCCGCTCGCCGACGGCCAAGCCGACCTCCACTCTGCATGTCGCGCCATCGCACCAGGAAATGAATCAGCAATAACAAGATAGCATCACCGGAGGTTACAACATGGGGCCCGGGCCGAGAACGGCGGAAGAGACAGATTAGGCGTTGAGGAGCTTCTCGATCTTGGGCGCGATGCTCGCGGGCGTCGTCGTGGAGCCGAAGCGGTCGACGAGCTTGCCGTTCTTGTCGACGAGGAACTTGGTGAAGTTCCTGCAATGTCAGCTGGGGCTTCTTCCATTGAGCGGAAGCGGACGTACCACTTGATCGAGGTCGTGCCAGCGACACCGCCGGCGCCGGGAGCGTTCTGCGACTTGAGCCACGCGAACACCTCGTTCATGTCAGGACCGTTGACCTTGCTCTGCGATGTCAGCTTCGACTAACCCACAGAAGCTCACCTTCTTAGCAAGAGGGAAGGTGACACCATGGTTGACCTGTCATGTCAGTTTGCGTGTTAACGGAGAAACGGACCTGGCAGAACTCAGCGATCTGCTCGTCGTTGCCGGGCTCCTGGCCGTTGAACTCGTTCGAGGGGAAACCGATGACCTCGAAGCCGCGGTCGTGGTAGTCCTTGTACAGCTTCTCAAGGCCAGTGTACTGCTGTCAGCTTGCGTGAGAACGCTTCTCGTCGTACCTGGGGGGTGAAACCACTGAGGATTGTCAGCTTCTGATATATCAGGAGGCCGCCAGCTGCACTTACCACTTGGAAGCGGTGTTAACAATCAGAACGACCTTGCCCTTGAGCGTCGACTGGAAGGTTAGCTTGACGTCCTCGGAAACAGAAGAAGCTCACAAAGTCGAGGTACTTGTCCTGGCCGGGGAGCTGAGCCTTGAGGTCGTAGAACGACTTGTTCCCGGCGTCGGCGGGGAGGTTCTCGTATCCGAGCTTGGACTTGATAGCGCCGAACATGTCTGGAGAAGAGGATGCCTTGGATGATATGGAGAGATGTCTGGAAAAGGTGGCGAGACGGCGACTCATTAAGTAGTTTAGCTGTTTCGAGGAAGCCGCAGCATGCGAGCGAACCAAATCTAGGGCGAGCTATCAGCGGGTGGCGTTTATCGTCATAGCCGTGCTGGCCGTGCCTGACCGACCCATGTCGGCCGGGCCAAGTGTCCGTCTCACGTCCGTATCCAGCAAGAAAAGTGAATCAGATCAGTCAGCTCGTGAGAGAATGCTGACAGATGCCAGATCCGTGGCGGTGGACAGATGTGCTTTGTGTCTTGTAGTCTCGATGCATACATTGATAAAGTATACAGGTAGTGCAAAAATATGATCTAAACGCTGAACCCTCTAAACTGAAACTGTGGTGATGAAATAGCTGGCCGTGGCTCCGGCCAAATTTTATGGTTTTCGCGGCCCAGCGTTGACAGCGGTCGTCGACACGTCTAACGGTCTATCCGTCTAGTCGAACGTGATCTTCGTGGCCTTGGGCGCGTTCGTCGTGTCCTTGTAGAACGCGCCGTAGCTTCCGTGCTCCTTCTTCTTGATCGTGGACGGGAAGCGGTCCATCTCCTTCGGCACCTCGGCGCCAGCGTCACGGAGAACACGCATGAACTCGCCCGCGAGCGATCGCTCGTGGTTCTCGCCCGTGAAGAACGTGACAGCCTTTCCGGTCTTGCCGGCACGGCCTGTTCGTCCACAGCGGTGGACGAAGTCCTCAGTCGTGAGCGGGAAGGTGACGTTGATGACGAGGGCGACATCGGGAATGTCGAGACCACGGGCGGCGACGTCGGTAGCGACAAGAACGTTGACGCTGCCGTCCTTGAAGGCGTCGAGAGCCTTGAAGCGGTCGTTCTGGTTCATGTCACCGTGGAGGGCACCAACCTTGTAGCCGGCGCGGCGGATGGTGTACTCAAGACGCTGGGCCTCCTTCTTGTAGAGACCGAAGACGAGAACACGGGCACCGGGGTTCGACTTGAGGTGGTTACGGAGGTGCCACGTGAGACGGCCGTCCTTGTCGCGGGGGTTGTCGAGGACCTCGACGACCTGCTCAATGCGCTTGTTGGCCGAGAGCTCGTCAGAGCCGACAGTGACCTTAACGGGCTCAGTGAGGAACGACGACGCGAGGCGGCGGACGGACTCGGGCCAGGTGGCCGAGAACATCACGGTCTGGCGGCCGCCGTCGTGCTTGGGGCAGTGGGCGATGATGCGACGGATGTCGTTCTCGAAACCGGCGTCGAGCATGCGGTCAGCCTCGTCAAGGACAAGGTACTTGATGCCCGAGAGGTCAAGGTCGCCCGAGTCGGCGAGGTCGAGGGTTCGTCCCGGGGTACCGACGACGATGCGGGTGTTGGGAGCCTTGATCTTGGCAATCTGCTCTCCCTTGGGAACACCACCGAAAAGCGAGACAGCCTCGATGTTGAGCTGCTTGCCGAGCTTGACGAGGGTGTCGAACGACTGCTGGGCAAGCTCACGGGTAGGCGCAAGCACCAGCATGGCGAGCTTGCCCTTGCCCTTCTTGCCGGCGGGCGGGAGCTGGCTCAGCAGCTGCATACCGGGCACACCGAACGAGAGGGTCTTTCCGGAACCAGTCTCGGCGATACCGACGACGTCGCGCTTGGCCATGAGAGCGGGCCACGAAACGGACTGGATGGGAGTCGGCTTCGTGAACGACGACAGGAACTGGCTAATCGCGGGGTTGACAACGAGCGAGGCCATGTCGAGGTACGGCGGGTAGAGGGCGGGCTCGAGGGTGATGTTCTGCTCCTTGAGGAAAGCGTTGTCGGCAGCGGTGAACTCGCGGGTGGGGGCAGCCGGGGTGGCCTCGGCGGCCTCGGCAGCGGCGGCAGCAGCCTTGAGCTTCTTGAGCTGCTTCTTCGAGAGGGCGGGAGCCTCCTGGCCCTCGGCGGGGGTCTCGATGATGGTCTCGGCGGGGGTGGCAGGCGACTCCTCCTTCGTCTTCTTGGACTTCTTGGGCTCCTCGCCATCGTCCTCAGCCTTGCGCTTCTTGTCCTTCTTCTCTTTCTTGTCCTTCTTGTCCTTCTTCTCCTTCTTCTCGGGGGCGGGGGCGTCCTCGCCGGCAGCCTCGGCAGCAGCAGCAGCCTTGGCAGCCTTACGAGCACGCTTCTCCTCCTTGAGCTTGCGGCGCTCTTCCTTGCTGATCTTCTCTTCCACCGACATGTTGTGTGATTGGTGTGATGAATACAAGCGGACGAGCCGTGTGGAGGCGCATCATGTAGTGTGCGACCGTCCTTGAAACTTTTGGTGCCTGGCACGTGACTTGGCTGGGCGGTGGCGAAGATCGCCGGGTAGTCTGGGGAACCACTCCCCTCTATCCCCACCCCTCCTGCCGCTCCATGCCGCTCAAAGTGCACTTGCATGGCAAAACTCAGCAGATCGCAAGTGACTGGTAGGTAGAGGTGAACGTGCAGGGTGGGGACCCGCAATCACGGCAGCAATCTATCATATCTCACCGCGGGACCCATCTAGTTGTACGAAGGACTGCACGCCCGTGCCTGTGTAGCAAAGGTCTCCACGAACCGTTTCTAGAAATCGCGAACTCCCCAGCAAGCAGGCACTGGGCGGTCATCTGCAGCCCGTCTGTGGCACATGTGCAGTAGTTGTTGATTGTCCGAAACCCAGGGGTACATTTTGGCTGGTTGTCAAATGAGTCTATGAAACTAGCTTCACCAGCGCCGGCTTCCGCCGGCGCATTGGGAGAGTCACGTGAATTGGTCGCTACGGTGAGAAATGTCGGCCAATCAGAACACGAATCGAAAGTACATCCTCTATAATAGGTTACCTGTTAATATTGGGGTATGAGAAATACGATAAGGAAACCGACAAGCCGGAGTGTGGATGGTGTGCGGTAGTGTGTGTCTATGTGTACAGTTGCTAGAGGCCCTCTGGGGCTGCAAGACAAGGTGCGAGCGCGGCGTGTGGCATCCGCGTGCTCGCCCATTGGGCCAGAGGCCGCTTAAATGCTCATGATGCTCATGAAGCGGAACTCCTGTCCACCGCTTGGGTCGTCGGTCTCCTCGAGCAGGCGGCACGTGAGCGTGTGGTCGCCCGGCGGGATGTTCCAGATCTGCTTCGTCGAGCCCGTGTTGTAAGGGTTGGTCCAGTATCCCTTGAGGACGATGGAAAGGGCATTGTTGTTCTCCTGATCGTCGACCCAGCACTTGACGTTGCCGAGACCAAAGTCCTTGCTCGAGAGGTAATACAGGATGAGCTTGCCCTGCGTCGTGGAGAACTTGAACTTGACGCGCGAGCCCGGCGTCTTGCTGACGAGGTACTTCTTCTCGGGCGAGGAGGACCACTCGTACCAGCCCTCATTCTCGATAGGGGCCAACGGGTGACGCTCGCTGCTCGTCGAGGCGCAGAACGGCGTGAGCTTCGGCGCGTGCGTGCCGTGCGCGTACTTGTCCATGAGGCGTTGAGGCGGCAGAGGGTCCTTGGGGTAAAGCTTGTCGACGTCGGTCGTTCCCTCGGCCTCCTCGAGCTCGTCCATCTCGCACAGCTGAGAGTCGATGTATGCGACCATCATCTCGCCGGAAACCTTGTGAAGCGGGCGGCCAAAATGGCGGATGTCGACGTTGTCGAGAGTATCCTTGTTCTTGTCCAACCGGTGGTTCATGGTAGCGAACCAGTCCGCAACGGTGTCAGGGTGCTCGAACATGTACGGCAGCATCGCGTTACGGCTCGAGAGCACCGGCGTGTCGTAGTAGCTGGTTGTGCCGCCGTTCAGGTCTCCGCCCATGGCGATGTTGTCGAACTTGAACGCGAACACGTTGAACACGAGGACCGCCGTGTGGTCGCGCTCAAGCATGGAGCGCAGCAGAAGCTCAAACGTCTCGATCATGGTGATGTGAAGCGGGTCGTTGATGGCGTTCTCGAGAATAACCAGGTCGGCGTCTTCCGGAACATGAAGGTGCGAGCAGTATGCGAAGTAGTCGGATCCGCGGGCAGGGACGGCTCCGTTGATGAAGGTATTGTGACCGTCGTTCGGGCCCGCCTCGCCAGACGCTCGCACGCTATGCAGGATGGAGCCCTTGGCCGACGGGAAGGTCGCGTTCAGGTGGTCAAACAGGATGCGGTGCATGTTGAACTCGCTGAGCACCTCACCCGTGGGATCTCTAAGCCCGTGACCCGTCGAGACCGAACCGCCGAGGACACCCATCGACCATGGCTCACCACGGCGCATCTTGGCCAGAGCGCGGCGCAGGCGATGATTCGTTCCCGAGTACATGATGCCGCGCGTCATCGCGTCACGTCTGAGACATTGTCAGTATCCAGATTACACGAAAGTCAGAAGATAAGAGCTCTCCAGGCACATGTGTTTAGCTCGCAGCTCTGCGTAGGGGCAGGCGTGCACACAAAGTGTGCGCCCCCGCGGGTCCGCCCGTAGCTGCACACGCAAACTTTGTCCACGGTGATCAACCGCTTTTCGAGCATGCTTAGCGCGTTGTAATGACGCCGTCCGGCCCGTCGGAAACGTGCTTCGGTCGCGACGCGCAGCAGCGTGTCGCAGCGGGAAGAGCGGCCCCATCATCGTGCCCGTTCACTAGTACTCACCCCCACTTCTCGCAAAGAGCCTTGCCCGTCTCTCCGGCGTCGCAAACATGGCACGAACGCGGTGCTTTCGGTGCCGGCGGGGGCGGCGGCGGTGCGGCCTCGGTCTTCTCAGCCTCGGCGATGACCTCCTGGATATCGTTCACGTTCGCTCCGTGCTTCGGTCCGTCGCCGTGCTTGACGTTGGTCTCGGCCGCAAAGTCGTAGTCGGCAAACCGGCCGAGAGCGCTCTGGGCGCGGTGTTCGGTGACATACTGGGAGAGGGCAGTGTCGAGGTCGAGCCCACGGATGGTGAAGAGGTATAAGGGGACGGCGAGGAGGACGACGTTGAGGGCGAGGGAGAGCCGGAGCCACGTCCGCCTGCGCTCCATCTTGAGAATGTGATAAGGAGTGTGGGGTAGTTGGGATGGAGAAGAGGGGAGGAGAGATGGAGGAAGGGAAAAGAGTTGCCTGACGGGCCGGCCGGAGGCTGCAGTGCACGTCGGTGGCTCGGGTGGTTGAGGTTTGATAAATGGAGATCTTGCCTAGGATCGGCACGCGCGAAGCAGCCAGCATATCTTCAGCACGGCTTCACGGCAGCATGGCAGCAGCCAGGCAGTATGCGCAGGGAGCAGCGAGTCCCTAATCCCAAAATGCTGGGGCCTCTGCCTCCAGGCAAGTCTAGGCCAGCCAGCCCAGGCGGGCAGCATGCAGGAATGCGAGGAGCACAGGGAGCAAAAGGTCGGCCAGAGGGCCGTAAATGAATCGCGTGAATAGGGAGGCGGCTTGAAACGGCGTCGAAACTTGCGCAGCGTAACCCTGAAGTGACCCTGGTCCAGCTCTATTCCAGCCAAGCAGCACGTTCAGCGTCCAGCGTTGCTCCGCTGCGCACGTTAGCGCCTTCTGCCGGTGCTGAACGTGTTGCGCGCAAGCTTGTGCGCTTGTTCTTGTTCGCTTCGGCTGTGCACCACTGCAGCCTTGCATTTTTTCACTTTGGGGTGAACATGGATTCTGAGGGACGTTGCTCGGTCATAAGCCTGCACGCTTTTTGCGCCAACTTTGGGACATGGGACAGCAGACCGACGCAAACACGGGAGCGGGAGTACGTACGTATGTGCAACTACTGCAATCGAGCAAAACGTCCATGGCCCAAAAAGTCGTTCGCTGGCCTTAAGCTCTGCAGGGTCAGGGAAGCCAGATGATGGCCTGAACCAGGCACCTGTCCCAGCAGTATTCGACACCAGACGCACCAGACGCATTGTCAGTGAGGACACACGGTGCCATGCATGCTAGTGGCGCAATGGTTCAACAATGCTTGCTTGGAACTGTGATGAGCCTCCCTCGCTGCTGTCCAAACACTCAACGTAGTCACTGGGGACATCTTGGGCACAGTGTGAGACTGCAGAACAGTCGTAACGAGGATGTGGAGGGATCGTGGTCCCGCAGAGCCCATCTGCCCTGGGCTCCTTCGGCGTCATCCTTATCTTCGGGCTCTCCCACACGCAATCAAGTGGCTGCGCACCATCCGACCCACTCCGGCCATTGTCCAAAAACCTTGCGTCTCCGATCACTTTGGCACCATGCCCCTTGTCCCCTCGTCTGCTCTCCTTGTGGATGGTCGTCTGACGTGCATCTCCACACTAGACATAGCACGCGATGCAATGAGAGGGCACGCGAAGCACGAGCCACAAGTCACGAGAGTGGCTCTTCGTGCCTTCATCACCAAGCGCTGCGTGCACCCTACGGTGTACGGCATAATTCCCTTCTGCGCGGCCATGCGGGCATGACAAACGCAGGATATCGTCTCTTGGGCGTAGGGCTCGGGACCATCACGTCAGCTTGTGGTACCTATCACAGTGTCACGTCCAGGCATGCATCAGCTCGCGGCGCGCTCTGCTTGTTCCTCGAAACAATCGAGCCGACTGAAAGCAGATGTGTATAAATTTCAGCTTCAAGGACGCACACATTTGGGGCCCTGCGCTTCTGCTCCTGGGGTCATTCCGGAGCGCCGGAGCAGTGCTTGGTATGCTTGGATAAGCGTATCTGAGCCAGCGTTGACAGAAGAGCAAGGGGCCCTCACAAAGTTATGTCGGTGACCCGGGGACTGACAACTTGCAATTACTCTGGGAGGACCCCGCTTCTGGAACTGGCAGCGGAGCAGCAAGTGTGGTAGTTGAAGATAGTGCCGTTCCCTCTCACCATCTCACTCTTGGGCAGTGGAACCAAACAGCCATTAGGCGGCGTTCAGTCGTATGCGTGATCATCGAGCAGATAAAGGGGGAGCTCGATGCCCAGTATCGTGAAATGAGTGCCCCTCCCTCCATCCTCGACCAGGAGTGGGGACGGAGGGGTCCAGATGGTCATATGCGGCTCACCAGAGCGAGCGTCGCACGCGCACGTCCGTTGTTATTGAATTGCGGCGGATCGTCAATCTGTGCCTCTTCATGTGTGCTTGTCTCAGCATCACCTTCCAGTGCCATCAACTTGGCGGGAGTCTGTGAGACATGAGACAACGCACACAGATCGCCACGCCTGGCCAAAGTCGGGGCACCATGAACCGTTCGTTACTGCTCGCCTCTCAATCAACCACACAGCCGCACACAGAACTAAGGGCAGGCACATGTTCAGCTCCGACTCGCGACTCAAAGTGTCTTCGCGAAGCTCAAGGCCGATTCAATTGCTCATCCAACACAACTCCAATCCACCCGCTCTTCTCCATCGCCCGGCCCCGCCTTCCCTGTCCATGCCACACATCGGTGCCTCTGATTCACGAGCACGTTCACATGCTCAACCTTCCAACTCTCAACTCTACTCTCCTTCTTTCACACGTTGCTACACCCTCCTTTCATTAAAGTCACTCACTTTGATCCAGCATCGTGCCATATCCCCATCGCGTACGAGCTCCCTCGGCCCAAACCAATGTTGGTACGCTAAACGGAGGTCAGTCTGGAGAGCAGGCCATTCGGCGTAGTCGGTGCGACGCAAGCGGCACAACCGAGCTGAGCATGCCCTCGGGTCGATAGTCAGGTTGCCTCGAACGTAAGGGGACAAGGGGCACCATTGCTGCGCGCGTTTCAAGACTCTCGACGCCCGATGGCTTCGATTCCTCGGCACTCGGCGACCGCTCGGAGAAGCAAAGGCGTGCCGGCGGTCTCGGGCCGCACTACGGGATCAACGGTGCTGCGGGCGGGAGTCGGTACGTATTTGCGCCTTAGTGTGATGGACAGATCGACTGAGAGGTGTTGTCAGCCTCGGATCCTCGGACTTGCTGCATGGGCGGTCTCGATTCAGTCTTGAGATCTGCCTCGGCGTTTCGACACTGACGTCGGAGACCGTCGGAGATGCGCGACGTGCACGGACATGGCTCACACGCCCGGGACGCCCCAAGCAGCCTCGCAGCGCCGCTCACCAGCAGCAACAGCCGCAGGAGTGCAAGTTGAATCAAGGTGCGTACATGAATATAACTATGTTCGTTATGCGTAAAGCGCGGCGCTCGGCCGCGCGACAGTATGGAAACAGTGCCGCTGGGGCGTGTAATGTCTACAGGATGTGCAAGAAGTCCTCCTACCTCTCTCCTTCGCTCTATATCTCGACATCTCAACGTCTAGTGGTCCTCGCTAGTGGTCGCCCCTATGCAACGGTGCGAGGTGCTGCCACTTAGGGTCGTTCTCGTACTTGTCCTCGACGACCTTGCGCGCCTCAGCGTACCAGTCCGTCTCCATCAGCCTCTCGATGCGCTTCAGCTGGCCCTCCTTCCTCATCCAGTCGGGGATGAAGCGGCCGATCTGCGTCGTGGCCGCGCGCTGCATCGCCTGGCTCAGGCCGTCGAGGTCGTCGTGGCGTACGTGGTACACGTATGGTTCGGGCGTGAAGCGGAGCGCGTCCTGCTGCGTACGCCAGTGCTGCCTGTTGTCCGGGTCGTCGGCGCGCCAGTCCTCGATAATGTTGATGAAGGGTACACCCATGCAGAGGCCCCAGTACGGCGACGGGGAGAGCTTCGGGTTTCCTATTCCCACGAGCATCTTGGAGCGCGCCAGCGTCTTCGTGTACTCGGCCTGAGGCATGCGGCCTAGGCTCACGATGCCCTCGGGCAGCTCCTCCGTCGTCCCGTCCGCGTCGCGCTCGCGACCAGCAGTCGAGACAAGCTTAAACGGAACCTCCTCTCCACCGACCCGGGCGGGCCGAACGCTGTCGCGAGCTTGTCCCAGGATGCCCTTGAACCCGTTCTCCTCCGTGAAGTACTTCGGCTCCTTGGCGAGGATGAGGCCGCAGTGCTCGCGCTCGTCGTAGACCTCGTACTCGAGGCAACGGTCTTCGATGCTGTATCCGATGAACTGGTTGCCGGCGCCGTTCCAAGTGATCTTGCTGTAGTCCTCAGGCGAAAGAGTCCATTGCCCGCCGAGGTCCGTGACGGGGTTCTCCCAGAAGTGCAGCACGAACGACTTCCAGTACGGGATGCCCTCCGGATACAGGTGCGACTGAATGCAAGCCTTGCGGCCGACCTGCCATGTGCCATCGGCGTCGGCCTCGTGCGCCTCGAGCTCAGCGTAGTTCGTGTCGTTGCGTGCGATGCAGTGAGCGAACTCATTGGGCTCCCAGATCACCGCCTGCACCATGCTCGGGATCTTCTGGTACACAAGCAACGTGTCCATGTGCCCGCTCGTGAAGAGGAACGTGTAGTTCAGCTCGCGGATCCCGTTCAGCATCGAGCGCGCCCTGTGTGTCAGCTGAAATGCGCATCGTAAACGTAAAGCGGACCGTGTGCCGTGGGTATTCCCGTGGGTGACTCACCAGACATCTTCACCTCCCACTCCGCCGACCTCGCCACCACGGAAGTGCTGGCTGACGCCAATGACGACCTTCTCCTGGTTTGTGCAATTGGCCCACTCGACACACTCGATGAGCCGGTCGAGCTCGCCCCAGTTACGGTCGCGAGTCGGCGAGCCGTGCGTTGCCGGGTACATCGTCTGAAGCAGCCCTTTGAGCACACGGATCTCGTTCGCTTTGGCCTTGTCACCTGGCCGCATGTCGTGAAATGGCTTCATGACCTTCCCGCTCTGTTCGCGAAGGAAATCTGATGTCGACGCCCTCGCCTTGGGATGAGACACGAAGCCGGTAAGAAACAGGATCACGCCCAGGAGAATGAGGATCGGCACACGGCGCGCATGACTGGGGTCAGCTGGAAACCATGGGGCGGAGAGACAGGTGGATGTGGCTTACGGACGGACCAGCCGGGGGATCGCCGTGATCGCCGTGTAGTCTCGACAACCTGAAGAAGATCTAGGACTGCCCGCCGAGGTGAAGCACGTTCTGCACCACCTGTCTCATGCAGCTTACTCACAGCCAATATCTCCACCCCCGCCAGCCGAGGGGAAGCTTCTCCCGACCAGCCTCAAGGTCACTGCGGAGCAGCGGCTCGCGATCCGGATCCTCAAAGGACGCCGAGCCCGCCATGTCGCTGTTGTTGCCGGCGGGTTGTTGTTATCTTCGCAGTGGAAATTCGAAGCGCCCTGTCGGCCCTGAGGAGGAAAGCGTCGTGCGTCGTAGAAAGGAGTCGTGAAGGCGTGACCAGTGACCTTGTGGAAGGCCTGCCGGAGTAATGTTACAAGAAAGTGAAAGAGTGTCTAGATGAACGATGGAGAGACGTCGAGAAGTGCGATGCGATGAGGTGTGAAGCGACAGCCAGTCGGGTCAGTCAGACCGTCCAGAGCAACGGCAGGAGTTAGTGCTGATCCTGACGCAACTCACTTGGCCTGGCGTGCATCGCTTTGATCTCCCGGGATACGGCGGTTTCGGCGTGCTGCGCAAGGAGCGTCACATGGAGTGCCTAGGGTTGCTGCGTTAATGAGGCGCTGCGGCGTTTAGCCAAGCAACGTGCAGCACGGTCCAGGTGTGTTTTAGCGTCTTGACGACGGCGCTATGTGACCCTTCTAGGCTGTCGCCATCGCTCGTCAACTTCCGATAGCTTCTTTGCATCATTCCTCTGCGCCTTCTCTCGCTGCCGAGCTCCCCCTCTGTATCTTATGTAGCAGTACGAAAACTCTTGAGTAAGGAACGGCGACGCATGGATACAGTGTGAAGAAGGCGGTGGTAAGCAGGCGTAACTGACCGTTGGGGAGCGGGGACAGAGCCGAGCCAGATGTGCAAGAGGAAGTACGGCATCGGAGGCTCGAAGATAAGGAAGGTTCTTGCAGTGGGAGTCACTCAATGGTGATCGGGAGCGGTGCAAGGGCAGTGATTCCCGCACTGAGCTGCTTTCCTTGCCGTCTATTGCGATTCCTGCAGTAGTTCCATCTCTCCTGCATGGATCCTGTAAGGAATGCAAGGCTTCCGCGGTGACACGGTGCAGAAATTGAACGCATGTCGTCGAAACGTCGTGCAGCGTGGAGGGCACACCAAAGACGAACCGTTACGAAACACGCTAGACTAAGGACTTCGGGAGTCTGCCGTCGCCTTCTGTGCCTGGTTTCAGCATCTTCCTCTGCCCTCATGCCTGACGATGCCGCCCATGTGCCCTGCGAAGCCCTGGGGCAGCTGCCCCGTCATTTTAGGGATGCCGCTTCCTTACGGTGTGGCTTGGACTACCCTTCGACGCGATGCGCGTTGTGAGATGCATGGTGCGTCACCATGCGCACAGTGACACTTGAGCTGTAGACCTGGCTTCCGTTGCAGGGCGCTGAGCAGGATATGCTTAACTCAAGTTCCAGGAAGCTACTCTACGACTGGAGACCCTCAGAGTCCGAGCGGCATTCCATTCTGGGTGCTCTCGAAGCCTGACATGGCTTGGAATGTGGGGATAAATACAGAGGTGTAGGCTAGCAAAGCCTGGCGCAGGCTAAGCACAAGCCACAAAGCACTAGCCGCAGCTGCCTAGACAGTGTTCCGGGAAGAACGTGGGTCGCAGAGCAGACAGTGCATTCAGAGATCCTTGGTCAGTGTAGACACGGCGAACACGTGAGGACATTGCACAGCAGCGAGAGAGCAGGAGAAGCAAGGCCTTCATGGAAGGCCAACTTCCTCATATGGCTGCCCGGCATCTGCGCGAGACAAGATTACCAGACGAAACGATCACATTTCGGGGTGAGATCTAGGCATTGGAAAGAGTCAAAGATGAGGGAGTCTCGCAATCTACCATAGGTGCAAGTCGGCGCCGTCGGAGCTCAAGGCAGGCAGCGCTTGAGTAAACATGGGCGAGAAGCAAAGGAGAAGGTTCGCAGCGGCAGGGGAACCTATGCATTAAAGCTCGGCGCCCTCAGTCGTAAACTGCCTCCATGTCTGCACTCACATTTGCTGATGACGTTGATTTCTAGATGGGCCTTCACATCAGAGTATGAGCACCGGTCTTGTGACGTGCGCATAGCTTGCCAAGCACTGTTCTGCCTCCCCAAATAAGTTCCTCCGTACGTCGGTTATGACCATTCGTCTGTGGCAATGGATGTGCCGTCCACGACTGGCACTCCGACGCATTCAACCGTCTTGTGAGAGACGCAAAGGAATTTTCACCAATTTCATGTCTCCACTCATGTTCGCAGTGCCGACGGTAACGAGATCGACAGTCACAAGCTTTCAGTCCCCGATATCAGCAGAACACTCTTGTGGTGAGCTCATTAAAGCTGCTTGAAGAATCCCGCGCTTGGAACTTCCTCGACTCGACCTCTCGTTTCTTAAGCAGCGAAAGAATCTCGGCTCGGCTCGTGCTGGGATGGTTGTCTCTCCATCGATGACTGCCCAGTGGCTCAGCCCATTTACCTTGTCCCCGACGCCTTGCACACGTGGTCTCTACTTGTTACTGCGAGGCAGGCAAGTGGCAAGGTGATATTAGATGAGCCGACTTGCGAAGGTCTAGGGTAGCTTAAGCTGTCAGAGAACGAAAGCGCTGAAGAGACGTTCACTTATCGCCCCATTGAGGCCCAGCCCCTTGAGAATGCGCCCGCCGCGAGGACAGCGCCGGGTGCCCCCTTCCTGCCAACAGATGCGCTCCAAGTGCGCTATGGTAGGCATGAAAAGTAGTGCATGAACCCAACGTAACTGGACAACCCATGATCTCTAACACCTTACTTGCGAGCAAGGGCAGCGGCGAGCACCTCGGGCTGCTCGCGCTGCAGGCCGCCGTCGCTCTGCCTCGCCGAAAGGGGGCAGACGCTCATCTCCGTCCAACCCTCCCACACACGCTCAACGCCCTCCAGACTGGACGGGTCGTCGATCGCCAGAAGCCAGATGGCATCGTAGCCGCCGGCTGCTTGTCAGCTCTGATTCTGTACTCTCGTAGCTGTCAACTCACCTCCCGGAACACCACCGCCGAGGACACCAGGCAGCTTGGAGCACTCGTCTAGCAGGCGCGTCTGCTCCTTCGGCTCGATTGGAACACCAGATGCAAGGCTCATGTCGCGCATACCCTTGCGCACGCCCTCGATCGCGCCGCGGATATGCTTCAGCTGGGCGTTGATCGGGCTGAAGTCATCGAGCTGTCTGTCAGTTGTATCCATCATTCCTAACTCACATTAGCGACCTCCTGGCCAATAGCAGCCTGGAGCGTCTCGGTGTATCCGGGCTCGTTCTCGAGCTGCGCGAGGCCGCGAAGCGCCTCCTCGAGCGCCTTGTTCGCGGCGTCCTGGACGGTCCACATGCGCAGCGCCTCCTCGCTCTTCTCCTTGCGCCACTTGAGCACCTGGCCGACAAAGGACGGCGTGTCCGTGCCGGCGTCGACGTCGGCGAGCATCAACCGCAGCCCACGGGGCAGACGGAACGGCCGCGTCTCCTGGTCCCACATGCCCGAGACGATGTCGAGGAGAGATGCAGTGCCCGTGAACATGGGCTCGAGCACCGACGGCGAGAACCGGCGGTACACGTGCGTTCCGTATACGGCGGAGGCGACGTCGAAGCCGCTGCCGACCTTGCCCTGCGCAGCACAGTGGGCTGCCTGCGCCAGAGCGTGGATAGTGTCCTGACCCGTGGGCAGAACGGCAAGGCCAAGGTGGAGCAGAAGCGCAGCGACAAGCGACGTAACGAGCGCAGCGCTAGAGCCGAGACCAGTCTTGTTCGTCTTGCCCAGCGGTCGCGGGAGCGGGGTGAAGCGCTCCAGCTTGTCGAGCGACGACACCTTCAGCGGGAGCCCCGCGGCGGCGAGCTAAGGTCAGCCAAGGTCTGAAGGGGAGAGACATGGAGATACAGTGGACGCACCTGCTCGCGCTGAGAGTAAAAGTCGTTGTCGGCGAACACAACAATGTCGAGACCCTTCTCGAGAACAGCTGACAGCTCGCTGGCACGCCCCTCGCGCTCGAGCCTCTGCGCCGCGTACTCGAGTGTCGTCTGGAGAGTCGTTTGGACGAACTTGTTGCGCTCGTCTCCCGCGGCCTGCAGATCGAGCTTCCCGTTGGCGACCTTGGCGGCGTACTTCCAGACGCTGGCGTCGGCGGGGAACTGGCCGGCACGCACGCTGACGATTCCAGCCTGTCCGGGGGCGACGGAGCAGTAGAACCGTGACGACGTAGCAACGACGAGACCGGTGTACAGCCTGTCCAGGACAAGGTATCCGCCAGCAAGCAGCACCTTGCCCGGAGCCGAGACTATCGTCTGCTCGCCCGTCGTTGTTGGTGTCGTCCCCGCGCTCATTGTCTGTTGTGGTGGTGATCGGGCGAGAAAGTCGAGGTGGAGGTCGGCTCATGGCACGATCTGGCTCGCGTACTCGTGCCTGGGCCGGACGCGAGCGGAGTCCGGGGTTACTCCGTGCTGATCGATAACGGCCTTCGCCGATCAGTCCAAGCCACCAAGTTGGATAGCCCAGCGCAGCCTCAGCCCTATCTTAGCAGGCGAAGGTAGTCAAACAGCAATGCATCTAAAACAACATTAAGCACGGTGAATGCACATGAGCGTCAAGCATGCTGTACAGGGAGAGCTGTGTACATGGTGAGAGAAAGAAGAGGGCCTGCCGCTGTGTTCTACGAGTTGGATGGAATTGCTGGTGATCCGCGACCTCTATGCAACTCGTTACACCTTTCCTCAGCCATACTCTTCGACTGCGTGTGGAGATCGCGGTCCGGTTGTGCATGCCAGACTCTCACGTAGGTGGACGAAAATGTAGAGTCGGCCCAAAATTTCGTCTTCATCGGACTTTAGCGGGATTTCGACAATCGCCGAAAAGCGTCCGCCGCCACATTGGAGTGATTCAGGGTCCACGCTGGGTGCGGCTCGCTCTGCCTGGTTTCGACGGTTGGAAGGCAGCATCGAGTGTCCATCCGTCAAGGTCAACCCCACATCTCAAAAATGGTGCGTAGCGACGACGACGGCAGCGGCATGCCCGGAGAGGACTGAGCTGACGACCAGGCGCCTACTCAGAAGGTTAGTCGGAATCTCGATCGAATCGATGTCGCGCGCGCAGAGTCTTGAAATGTCGGATGTTGGAAGTTGGAAGGATTTTGGAGGGCGAAGTGCTGGAGGATTGAGGACGACAGACGACGACGAGGGTGCTGCGGACATGCTGGGACGACGAATGCTGGAGAAAGAGCGAGAGAAGAGCGTGCGAGGACGGGGTGTGGGCTTGGAAAGGATGGACCGGAAGTGGACGTGGACAGAGTCGGGGCAAGGGGAATGTTGAGCGCCGACTGCTCAGGCGGCGTCACCTGCTCGTTCTCTTTGTCCTGCGCTGGCTGCGTGCGTTTGGGGGCACGCGTGGAGCGTTCGGAGCCTGGAATCAGACGACATGCGCGCGACATCGACCGGGACATCGAATTTCTTGGACAGCATTGCTGACCCCTTAGACCCGCAAGCAGCGTTCGGCGCTTCAGGACGTCGTCACCCGCGAGTACACCATCAACATCCACAAGCGTACTCACGACCTCTCCTTCAAGAAGAGTGCGTATTAGAATGGGAGCAGGCGGCCGCGCAAGATTACGTCTGGAAACAGCTGTTGATCCTTCGCTCCGACCTCTCGCTGGTTTTTCAATTGCGTTCGCTAACCATTCACAGAGGCCCCCAAGTCGGTCAAGGCCGTCAAGGAGTTCGCCGAGAAGGCCATGGGCGTCAAGGACGTCCGCATCTCGCCCGGCCTCAACCAGGCCCTCTGGTCGCGTGGTGTCCGTTCGCCTCCCCGCCGCATCCGTGTCCGTCTCGAGCGTAAGCGTAACGACGACGAGGGTGCCAAGGAGAAGCTCTACGTTGTCGCCTCGGTCGTTGAGGGCGTCACCTCCTTCAAGGGCCTCGAGACCGTTGTTGTCGAGGGCGACGAGTAAACGTTGGGATTCTGTTGGGAGACTTGACGGGGGTGATATAGGCTGTAGCCCAGCGTCATGACATTCCATTCAGCCGTGTACCTGTTACCCGTGCAGCAATAGACTGCTGCCGTTTCTATGATGATAGAGTCTCGCTGCTGGCGGAGTTTTGCTGCAATGCTGCATGTTGAGAGAGAGCCGTGTGTTTGGTTCGGGCGTGCTTGTGCAGTGAGCGGTGGGCGGTGAGCGCCATGCTGTCAGTGTAACCAGCAGGTCTGCGTTAAAATTGGAGTTCTTGAGACCGCACGCCGCGGGCTGGCCGCAGAAGGACGGAGAGATTAGCCGCCGCCTCCACTCACCGCCGGTCTGCCCAGCACGTCCAGCCGGGCCTATGGCGCCTATGACGATGGCGCCGATCGTGAGACCGACGGTCTTCCTCGCTATATCTATCGTGTTCGCATCGTCTATCGTCTATCCACATCTTCTCAAACTCACGCACACACACACACACCTTTGCGCATACTTCTCATCCGCTAACAAGTCAACGCACAGCGGCTGTATCTCCCTTCGCCATCGTCAACACCACCACTTCCACCCTCGCCACTTCAACAACAATGCCTGCCGTCACCATCGTCGGCGCCACGGGCCTGACGGGCTCGCAGGCGCTGTCCTTCCTCCTCGCGTCTCCGCAGAACTTCTTCGTCAAGGCGATTACGCGCCGTGCCGCTCCGCAGCCGACGTCGCCTCCCGCGGCCCCGGGGGCCAAGTATGAGAACGACGTCGTGCACGATCTCTGGACGGTGGAGAAGGTTGTGAACGAGGGAGATGTCTATGTTTCCTGCTTGGGAACGACGCGTGCGCAGGCCGGAGGAGCGGACAAGCAGGTCCTCATTGACCGTGACTTGAACATCTCGCTCGCCGATAAGGCCAAGGCTCAGGGAGCCCAGACTGTGAGTAGTCCTTTCCCTTCGCTACACACCAGCACATTGTAGCCAGAGGAACGCAGGAAGGAGTGGCAGCTGTCGATCTTACTTGCACTGTAGCTGACGTCCAGATGATCCTCGTCTCCTCGACCGGCGCCAACTCCAAATCCTGGTTCGCGTACCCGCGCATGAAGGGCGAGCTGGAGGACCACGTCGTCGGACTCAACTTCCCCAACACGATCATCATCCGCCCCGGCGTGCTGCTCCACGACGGTAACCGGCCCGACCAGCGTACCGCCGAGAGCGTCATGGTCACTGCGATCCGGGGGCTGCGCTCCATCGGTGTCCCTACAACGAGCCTCGGCGTTGAGACCAAGACCGTCGGAGAAGCCATTGCCCAGCTTGCCGCGAAGCCGCCAGCGGGCGTCAGTTACCTGTACGACGCGGACCTGGAGAAGCTCGCGAAGGAGTACAGGGACGGCGTCAGTGCCAAGCTCTAGGTGGGCGGTTAGAGAGAACGGAGGTGTAGTGCGGTTGAGTGCCAGTGTAGAGACAATGTGCGAGAGAAGCACACTAGGGTATCCCATGCATATGCTTTTGAATCTAAGATCCTCCTGTCCGTCTGTTCTACAGTTTGAGAAACATTTTATACAAGTGTGGGTCAGCTATGAAGGAAACAAGCTTGCACACGGTGCGCAGTGCGCACTCTGCGGACGGCTTCGGTGCGCCCGCGCTTCGCTTTGCGTCGGGCGCTTAGTCGACGCGAATGCTCGAGTACAGCCTGCGCACGCCGAAGAACGTCGTGACGAAGCCAATACTACCACCGACGAGGAACGTGAGCAGCGAGAACAGGAACAGGTACCCAAAATAGAGCACGAGGCTCGTGAAGGAGCCGATGCTGAGGCGCGACGCAAAGTACCAGATACCGTAGAGGAAGACCCAGACGGCGCTGCCGCCGCCGACGAGGAACGAGCGCCAGTGCCACCTGTACTCCTCGGCGCAGAGGACGAAGTACGTCACAAGGAAGGTCACGGTGGCGGTCGTCAGGACGAAGACGAGGAACGTCAGGAACAGGAAGCCGAACGCGTAGTACGCGTGGTTGCCGAAGAGAGACGAGAGGACGAAGTAGAGCTCGACGAATGCCGCGCCGAAGGGCAGGATGCCCGCGATGATCGCACTCTGCACCGGACGCAGGTACCACGGCTGCGGGGGGATCTGGCGCGGGATGCTGTTCACGCGTGTGCTGTTGCTGAAGCCGCCGTGCTTCATGCCGAAGAAGTAGCCCGCAACGCAGAGCGGGACGCTGATGAGGAACCACAGGAGAAGGATCGCGAGGATCGTTCCGAACGGCACGGCACCGGACGCGTGCGCGAAGACGAGCCAAATGTTCAGAACGCCGATCAGCGTGAACACGATTGCCGGGAAGACGGTCGCCGTCATGACGAGGTTTGCCTTCCACGTCTCACCGCCCAGCGTGGCGAACACGCGCGCGGAGACATAACCGCCGACACATCCGAAGAGCATCCAGCAGATGAGCAGGACGGTCGCGAGCGAGCCACGGTTGCTCGGGGACAGGAAGCCGAAGAGCGCAAAGACAAGCGTCACGGCGCACATGAGCACGAGGTGCGCTCCTGTTCCCACAGAAACAGAGAGGAGCATCGGGCGCTCCGGGCTGCGGAACACCTCGCCGTGCACGAGCTTCCAGCCATAGTCCTCCTGCACGTCCTCGGCGAGGTCGATCGCGTTGTACCGGTGAATGTCCTTCGAGATAGTGCGGAAGAGGACCATGGTGACCATGAAGCACAGGAAGCCCGCAATCACAAGCGAGTTGATAAGCGAGAACCAGTGGATCTTGGGGAAATACACGTGCAGGTAGCTGTCCCAGCGGACACCCCAGGCCTTGTCGCTCTCGCGGAACTTGACCGAGTATGTGTAGTAGAACTCATTGTCTGCGTCCTCGTTGAGCGCGAGGCGGTCGACCTCAGATCGGTAGCAGTTCGGGCTGTCCTCGCCGGCGACCATCGAGTCAACGGACCGCGGGTGCACAACGACGCCGACGACGCGCACGTACTCGTCGCTCCGCTTGTGGTAGTCGATATAGATGTCGTAGTGGTTGTTCAGGAAGGTCTTCTGTGATCCGCCCGTGTACGTGATGACCTCACCGAGCGCGAAGCCCTGCGCGTCGAGGAAGATCTCCTGTGTCTGCGGGTCGCGCATCATTTCCGCACTCGGAAGGCCATCAATGATCAGGCTGACGCCATAGTCCTCCTCAATGCGCTCGTTGATGAACTTGGCGTCGTCTTTCGGCACCTTGGACTTGCAGAGCGTCGCACAGCTCTGGTCCTCGAGCATCTTGATGTTGAACGCGCTCGAAAGGATGCGGTCACCGAACAGAATGCTGCCAAGCGACTCGGCCTGCTGCACTGGTCCGCCTTGCGGCTGGCAGAAGTGGAACCGCTCATCGTAGTAGTCGAGCGAGATCAGCGATCGCAACGTCGTGTTCAGCTTGGGCGTCAGTGAGTTGACGTAGACCGGCACATCCTCTCCCGGCTTGTAGTCGTGCGGCGCGCTGCCGGGGAGGTAGAACGCGGACGCGGGTGCCGCGGCGGCGACCAGCGCGGTGACGGCGGCTAGTAAACGCATGGGGGGGGTGGGTGACGGCGTGCGTGCGCCGGAGACGAGGGGTGGTGGTGATGGGCGGAAGGGTGGTGGTGGTGAATGAATGAGCGATGGTGAGTTGGAGGAAGGGGAGTGTCCAGGGTAGTCGGTCGGTTGACCAACTATGATAAGGGGAGGTGGCTCGAATTCGTGGAAGTTAGGTTGAAGGGGATGTTGCACGTCCTAGGCAAGGCTGAGTTGTCATGTTTCAGCTGGGACTGTGAGCCTGCCACGGCGCGTCTTCCGGCCATGCGGAATGGTGCGGTGGAGGCGCAAAGGAAGGCACACGGGGTGCATACGTAAGGGCTTCGCCAGCGCCAGCCCTGGCCGTTTGCATGCATCGTACGCTGACATGTTCCAACCTCTGGAGGGACTTGACAGATAGGCGTGTCAGACTTATGAGGGGCCTACGTCTACCGCTCGCCAAAAGGTGCCTGTGGATTAGGCCCCCGTTGCACGTGCCCACTTTCAAGCCCTAGCACACGCCGACTCGACAAGGGAGTGCTGGTCGGGGACCACCGACAAGTTCCGGCGCAGGCCCGGCACGGCCGTCGAGGAACGGCGGCCATCACCATACCCGAGAAAAGTTGGGTCATGGGCTCCAGTCGATAACATTCTCCACCCTCTTATCCGGCTTTCGGCTCCTCACCTCCTTTCCCGTTTCCCCCTTACATTACCACCCTCCTCCCTCCCTCCTCCTCCTCTTCCTCCTCTCCTCTCTTCAAGCGTTCACCATGTCTGCCCCGACCAGAGTCGCCAACCCGCCCGTTGAGGTCCCGGTCCCTTTCAAGTTCGACCCCATCGAGGAGGCCATCGCCGCCATCAAGAATGGCGAGTTCGTCGCCGTCATGGACGACGAGGACCGCGAGAACGAGGCCGACCTCATCTGCTCTGCCGCCAAGGTTACTACGGAGGGAATGGCGTGGTTTGTCAAGTGGACTAGGTGAGTTGTCATCCTCGCATCCGGTGGACCGGACTTGCGGAGTCCGAAGTGTTTCGGAGTCGTGTGCCTCCTCCTCATGTCTTCCTTGCTCCTTCTGTTCACCCCCAAGAGCTCTCCGATGACTTGGAGAATACCAGGACGACCCCGCTCTATCAACAGCAATGCCCAGAGTTGATTGCTGACCAAGCAGCGGCTATGTCTGTCTCTCGACGACGCAGAAGCGTCTGACGGAGCTGAACCTTACGCCTCTACTTTCGCCTGCCGGCGCCAACGAGGACGCCAAGGGCACTGCTTACCACCTCACGATTGACGCGAACGCCGCCAAGCACCCCGTGCACACCGGCATCTCGGCGCACGACCGCGCCCTCTGCTCCCGACTCGTCGCCGAGGGTGCTCCTGCCGACGACTTCACCCGCCCCGGACACATCATGACGCTTCGCTACACCCCTGGCGGTGTCAGGAACCGTACCGGACATACGGAGGCTGCTGTTGGTGAGTAGAGGCTAGCGAGCGCAGCGAGTTGGCCGAGACAACCGCCGGGCAGGGCACAGCGAACCTTGTCGCCCAACTCGAAAAGGAACTTGAGTAGTCTCTGTGTTTGCTCTGCTTAGCCTGCGCCGAACCCGCTCTACTGCTGTGAATTCCATGAACGCTAGCTGACCTCCAGACCTGTGCTACCTCGCCGACCTGCCGCCCGCGGGCCTGCTGTGCGAGCTTGTGCACCCGACCGACCCCGCCGGATCGATGGCGCGCCGAGACGACTCGTGGAAGTTTGCGCGCGAGTGGGGCCTCAAGGTCATCTCGATCGCGGACCTGCAGGCGTACCTCAACTCGGAGAAGGGCGCCAAGGTCCCGACGGCTTAAGCTGTGAGGCTAATGGCCTAGCCGTGGGACTTAGAGTGCCGACGACGATTAGAGACGGCTGCGCTCGCATTGCCCCAGTCACGGAGATGAACGAGGCATCCCTGGCAACCCCACGACACACTGCCCACGACGAACGAAAGAGAAGGAGAAACTTAGAAACGTCTTGTATCCAACGACAACACAGCATACCCCCACCACTCCCGCGGAGAGAGGAGAGAGAGCGGAAGGAAGCAGCAAGCTAGGACCGAAACGAGCGAAACGAGGATGAGGGCTCCAGCATATATCCGTATCATTCGCATCTGCATGGAAACTGGCATTCTTGAACACGAAGTGCGAAGCGCGCGGCGCGTAGCGCTGAGTGGACTCTGAACTGAACACTGACTTTCACTTCACCCCCAGAAATCACATACCGAAAACCCCGGCACTCAGCTACTCAGACAGCTCAGCAAACTCGACATGGCAATCTGGCCCAGTGACTGATAGTACTGATAGCCGAACGCGGTACAGCGGCGCGGCGCCGTGCGGTGCGGTGTGGGACGACTGACACACGCCTGGGACGGCTGACTCAGACGTGCAGGAAATACACCGCTACGCGCGCATAAGCGCGGCAGACTCGCTAATCGGGCGAGGCTCCGATTCGCCGGGAATGTTGGAGCCCCATGCGCCCTGTGTTGTGAGGCGTTTTCGGTGGTTAGCGAATGGCGCCGGACCACGATTTCTCGGCCTCGCGGACCCTTGTGTTCAGTTGGCCAGCTCTGCAGCTCATGCTTTGCTTCCCCGGTGGCTGTTCGGTGAGCTCACATGTCGCCGGTCATTTCCGCCCGGCCTTCACCCATGGACGCCGCCTCGCCCTTCGGGCTCGACGGCTCGGCGTTCCAGTGCCATGCAATACATGAGATGTGCCTATTTGAATGAAATTTGGGTTGGGGGGTCTATCTACTCGGCATCCTGCTCGCGGGGCTGGCGGGGCTTGCGGCGGTCACCTCCCGTCTTCTCGCCCTCGCCCTCAGCGTTAGGCGCATCGCGCCTGCGGCTGGCATAGTCGCGGCCAAAGGTGCGCTGTCCGTCCTCCCCCCTCGGTCCATTGTTGCGGGGGCGGAACGACCTGTTGCGGGCCTGGACGCCCTGCTCGCGCTGCTGCGCCAGCCGGTCGAGGGACGGGGGCATGTTGTAGCCGAGGCTCTGGGCCTCCTCGACGACGAGGCGCCAGCGCTTGTCGTCCGTACGGACGCACTTGAACGCGAGCTCGAGGTAGACGCTGCGCGGGGGCGTGACGCCCTGCGCCTTCATCTTCTCGAGGAAGAAGAAGGCGTCCTCGAACGGCACCTGCGTCAGGCAGAGGTGGATCAGCGCCTCGTACGTCTCGGCGTTGGGCTTGAGGCCGGCCGACGTCAGCTCGTTCAGCACTGTGTCGCCCAGCACGCGGTGGCCGGCCTTCTCGCAGGCACGGATCACGAGGTTGAACGTGTCCACGTCGGGCTTGACGCCGAGCGACTCGGCGGCGAGCTGCGTGGCGCGCGCACGCTGCAGGTCGCCAATGTTCACCGACGCGGCGATCACGGCGTTCAGCGCCGCAACGTCCACGGGCTCGTTGTTCTGGGCCATGTCCTCGAGCTCGTAGAAGGCCTGGTCGACGACGTGCTCAGAGTCGAGCACCTTGACCAGCGGCTGGACAGTGCGGAGCAGGGGCACGACGCCCGCAGCGCGCATCTTGCCCGGAAGGCGGAGGGCCTCGGGCACACGGCCCTCGTTGCACATAGCCTCGAGGACTGGCGCAAAGTGGTGCTCCTGCGGCTTGACCTTGATGTTTGCGAGCTCGCCGAGGGCGGCGGTCGCAATGTCGGTGCGGCCCTCGCGACCGGCCACGGCGAGGATGGCGAGCAGCAGTCCCTCGTCGGGAGCGTAGGCGTGGTTCTCGACGACGCGATTCCAGGCCGCCTCCACACCCTCGAGGTACTGCGCGTCCGCCGAGGCGGTCAGGATCTGCACCCAGTTCTGGGTCGGGAGGTTCAGGCCAGAGTGCATGGACTCGGCGCGCTGGGCGAACTGCAGGGCGAGCCGCGGCTGGCCCCACATGCACGCAAAGTAGATCAGCTGGTTCAGCACATGGCGGCCGGGGAACTGGTTGCCCTGCATCGTCTCGCCGACGAGGAGAAGCTGCTGCTCGAACGAGCTGCCCGCGGCTCGCGAGAGCGCGTGCAGGCCGCCCGTCGTCGGCGTGTACCCGCGCTTCTCCATGTAGTGGAGCACCGAGGGGAGGATTTCCGGGTAGTCGACAGCAATCCACAGCAACTCCTCGAACGCTCCGGCGCCGAGATCGATCTTGCCCGCCTCCGCATCCCGCAGCGCCGCCTTCGTGATCTCAATCGCGAGATCGTTGCCACGGCGGTCCTTTCCGTACTGCTTCGCCGCGCTGAGAATCTCCATATACGCTCGCGCGGACGGCTTCTGTCCCTCCGCCTTGAACTTGGCGAGCTGGCGCAGCAGCTTTGGCAGCTCGGATGGCGGCGCCCGGTTACGGTTCGTGCGAGGCTGGGTCGAGCCTTCGCCGTCTGCATGTTAGCTATGAATGGGTGTTGTCCATTGAAAAGAGCTAGACAAGACTCACCCTGCACACGCGTGCCGCTGAAGTCGGGTCCGGCGGAGGAAGGAGCAGTTTCCGTCGAGAGGGCGCGGATGCCGAGGGCGCGCGGCGCCGCCGGAACGGACCGGCGCACAAGAGGCTGCACGAGGAGGTGAGCCCGCTGCGCCATTTTCAGGTAGTCGGCTGTCGGTCGAGTCGGCGAGTCGCGTCGAACGGTCCAACCTCTGTGTTGTAGTAGTAGAGGGCTCAAAGTTCGGAGACACCGGAGCAAGTCTACGGAGGTGCACCCATCGCCTGACCTGGAAAATCCCAGCCCAGGAACATGAAAATCAACGGAAGCTTTTTTCAACCATCACTACCTGCTCACCAGAAGTGGAGGTCGAGTCTGGGGAAGCACATTGTGTCAACAAATCTCTCATCTAGCTTCGAAACTCGTATACCCAGTATGAGCGCTGACGGATACACCGAGGAGGAACGTGCGGCAGCGGTAAGCTAGATCTGACAGGTTATGAGCTGACAGCGCAGTGGGCAGCGGTACGTTCTCCGGCTTGGATTAATCGATCGCCACTCGAGCTAACCCGACAGTATTACGCCCAGCAGGGCTATGATGAGGCTACGATTGCCCAGATGATGGGAGGGTCGTACGGAGCCGGCGCTTCGTCTTCCTCTGCGGCGGGTCCGTCCACCGGAACGGTACCCGGGTACGACAAAGATGGATACAAGATCAAAACAACGATCCCGGAGTCGGCGCAGAACGCACCCCTGCTGGATGCCGACCTGTTGAAGACGACGTACATGAAGCCGATCAAGCCCGACGACCCGAAGAAGTCTGGAGGAAGCAGCAGCAGTAGCAATCCGAACAAGATCAAGTACAACACTCCCGGGAAGCGAGAAACCGTTGTGCGCAAGGGTAGCGGACGAGTGTGGGAGGACGCTACGCTGCTGGAGTGGGATCCCAGTGAGTTCATATTGCGCACCTGAACTGACTCATCAGAGTGGTACCGGTTGTTTGTCGGTGACGTGTCGAACGATGTGAGCGAGCGTACGCTGGACGAGGCGTTCAACAAGTATCCGTCGTACTGCAAGTGCAAGGTTGTGCGCGATCGTCTCAGTCAGAAGGTGAGCTAAGCGCCTTGTGCTGAGAGCTTACGGCAGGCGAAGTACGGTTTCATTGCCTTCAAGGACCCGGAGGATTTCCTGCGCGCTTGGAAGGAGATGGACGGCAAATACGTCGGCAACCGCCCGATTCGCCTCACCAAGATCAAGGAGGACAAGTACGGAACGACGTCCAAGCAGACGATCAGCGCCCGAAAGGTAGGTAGTCACTGTCCAGTCTGTGAGGAATGCTGACATCGTGCAGGCCAAGGAGCTGGACAAGCTGCGGCGCAACAGGGGCAAGCCTCTGGACGGTCGCCCGACGCCGTGGTAGACGATGCAGTTGTACAGATTAGATCATCCATAGAAGTAACCCTTAGTCCTTGCGAAATGCATGTAAGGAAGGAATTGCACAGCCACTGGGGTCTCGAGGGCCGAACCTGGACTCGCCATTCTTGTCGGCGTCGACCGCGTTCGCACAAGGCCGGTGGCCGGCGGTGATGCAAGCAGAGCGACGTACGAGGGCGGCTGGCTAGTAGAGAGTGGTGCCATCGCCATCGGCCGTGTCGCACCCAGTATGACGAAAGCGGTGAGGACAGAGACGCTGACGTGTAAAACGAGGAGAGCCAAGGTACGGGTGGGGTGGAGGGTGATAACGGGTCAATCAAGACGCGAGTCGAGGCTGGCTGGGCAGGTGGCCACATGGCCACTCTGGTCCCTGAACCGTAAGTGTCTCTGCTGGCTGCTCCGAGTTTGCCGCCACCAACGAGCCTAACCAGGCGGACCTGACACGGCGCTCATTCCCCGCCGCCGTACGACCTCAGATGTGTTATTGTCAACTCACCTGATCCATCACTCCAAGACCCAAATCTACTCATCGCACCCACCACTACTACACCGACGCGCGCTGCTCTGCTGTAGCGACACCACTCGCCATCCTCGGCCCCGCCAATTTTGAAAGCAAGTCTTTCCCAACAAGCTACGCTGGCAAACACCTGGCACCACCTCGCTTGGCCCCCAATCACCTCCCCCCTCCTCCTTTAACCTTCCTACCGCCTCCCCTCCCGCCTTCTACTCTCACCATGCCCGCTACTTCCTCCTTCAAGACTCCGTCTTCGCCTGCGCGTGCGCGTTCCGTCTCCCAGCCTCTCCGCGAAGGCGTCGACGACGTCTACCGTCACATCGGGGAAGCTAATTCGCCTCGCAACTCGTTCCAGCGCTCCATCTCCTCGCACCCTACCGTTGGCGCCCATGGTCGCAGGGATTCCAACTCCGGCCCTCTCCAGGCTCCCAAGACCGGCCGCACCCGTTCAGGATCCCTCGTCACCGTTACTGAGGTCGGCGGCGACGAGCCCGACAACGTCAACGACAGGCTTGGCATTACGAACCACAACGCTGCTTGGGTCAACGCTCCTGGTGAGTACCAACGTGACATCTGCCAAGCGACTCCGCAGTTTCGCTGCGCTTATCGACGCGGCAGTTCCTTTCGACAGTAGCCACTGCAGACTCTAGAAGCAGATGATCTGCTCACTTGCTCGCGCGTTGTAAGCTGACATCAGGTGCATGGGTTATCCACCCCGTGCTTATCCTTGGTGCCAAGGTACTGATCGATGCTATCCCCGGTATGACGCAGGACGTGTCGTGGACGATTGTGAACCTCGGATACATGGCTGTGAGTGACTCCTGCTGACGTTGGGCTCGAGGTCGTCGATGACGGCGTCGCTCACTCCTCGTGTCGCCGCCGACTGACCCGCGCTAACACACGTTCTTGCGAAGCGTTGCTGACTTCCTCAGCTGTCGTTCCTCATGTTCCACCACGTCACCGGTATCCCCTTCGAGTCGAAGTGAGTGCCTCGCTGAAAGGCTGCGACGAGATCATGCTAACCTCATCACAGCATGTCGACGGGAGGAGCCTACGACGACCTGACGCTGTGGGAGCAGATTGACCAGGGTGCTCAGTATACGCCTGCGAAGAAGTGGCTCACGAGTGTGCCGATCGGACTGTGAGTAACTCATTGCTGGTTAACGGGACGGTCGCCGGGCCGCGCGCTGCGCGCTGTGATTCGGGCCTGCCCAGCCTATGCGGCCATTTGACGGCCGAAGGGTGGTGGCGCCGCTGTTCCTTGCGACGAGCTAAAGAGCTGGCATGCTGGCGCGGAGCAACGCTTCGCTTGCAGCCTCGACGTAAGGCGCGGGGAGCTAGAGCTGCTGGATCTCCATCAGTTGTGGGGCAACTAGCTCGTTCGCTTGCAGGCTCAAGGCTCGCGAGGGCGGCTCGCGGGCTCGCGCGACCGGTCCACGTCCAAAATCTACCGGTTGGTCCGATCTCCATCCAACTACGGCCCCAAGCCAACCGGACCGGACAACCGAGGCAATCGACACCAACACTGAACCAACACTGACATGCAGTTTCCTCATCTCAACGCACTACACGCGGTACGACTACACGCTGTTTGCGCTCAACTTTGCCGCGCTCATCTTCGTCCTCTTCCCGAAGCTGCCCCTGCTGCACCGCCTGCGCTTCCACTTCCTCAACTTTGATGGCGGGCCCACGCCCGCCCCGTCGCGTCCTGCCTCGCCCGGTCCGAGCAAGCAGCAATAACGCTGCGGTCCATGGGGAACGGCGTAAGTGGCTGAGAATTGAACGACTAGGCCACGGTGGAAATTCTCGTCCTTCCGATTGACAGCTCTTTAGATATCTCTCATGCACATGTGGAACTTGTGGGACGGTTCACTGCTGCTTGGTTGATGATTTTACATATAAACTTCTTTAATACTACACGCATTCTATAAGCGAAAGAAAAAACAGGATATACGGATGGACTCTGCACTTCATGGTGCAACCGGGAGTCGATGCTGAAGAGAAGGAAGAGGGAAGGAAGACGCAAGGAGAGGCAAGGATTTAGGCGATGGTACACCCATCCTTGTCCTCGCCCTTGCGCCTGCTCGCCTCCTTCTTCGCGACCATCTCGGCGTATCGGACCTGATTCTGTCAGCTACAACGAAGAGAGGTATCCAGCTGTGCCAACTAACCTCGTCGGCTTTGGTGAGCAGGCCCTTCTCCTTCCTCGCCGCGAGTGCCTTCTCGCGCGACTTCTCCTGGTCCGCAACTCGTCTAGGTGTCAACATCGGTTCTTGCGTTCGATCATGCGCGCGGAGGCGGGACGCACTTCTCGGCCTTGGTCTTGACGAAGGGCACTTTCACATTGCCTCCTGCGCGCTTCATGGCAGCCGCGGCGGCAGCGGCGCGGGCATCGAGCTGTTCTCCCGCCGACGCTTGCGTCCCTGCTGGGATCGCGGCCGGCTGCTTGGGTGGCGTCGGCTTCGAGGCAACAGAGCTCCTGGCCGAGACAGAAGGGACGGAGACGGAGGGCATCTTGCCCCCCAGGCCGAGGAGGCGCGAGCCCGCCGTCTTGGCACCTGGGCGAGTGGCGGGGACGGGGTCCGGCTTGCAGTCGTGCTCCTTCTGATGCCTGTGCGAGGGGCAGAAGTTGTGCCGACAGCTCTCGCAGCGCATCTCGACAATGAGCGACTTGGAGCACCCCCTACGCCAGCACACCTTGCCCTGCGCCTTCTTCTGCCGCAGGACCGCCTTCTTCCGCGCCGCGCCGCCTTCCATCGACTCGCACCCCGCGGCAATGTGCCGCTCGACCGCCTCGTTGGGATCCAACCGGCCGCCGGGAGGATAGGGGACGACCTCGTTGCACATTGGGCATTGGGGCGCGATGCGGTCCACCATGCTCGGCGGCAGCGGGGCGGTGCATTGGTGCACGGAGGGGAGGAAGTGGGGCTGGCAGAAGGGCAGCTTGCACGCCGGACACGAGAAGGGGAGGAAGTCGTTCAGGTTGCAGTCCGGGTGGTTGCACGTCGTGCCCAGGAAGAAGAGCTCGTCCCGGGACGAGGATGCTGATGAGTTGGACATGGCTGGTGTCGTTGTATCGATGCTGGTGGTATAGACGACGGTGATGGGTGACGGTGGGGTTGGTATGAGTCGTCGACGGTCGATGGTTGATGGTCGATGTTATTGTCGAACAAGAGTGATCGAGGAATGAATTATTGCTAGACGCAAAAGTCGATGAGGTCAGATCTCTGATTACTCACTTCAAAGCCTGGCTTCTGGATGGCCGCCGGGGAACGCGACGCGAGGATGGAAGGCACTCGATGGTCGTCGGCGCACGATGACGCGTTGTTGCTGCTTATCAAGCGCCTGCCGCCGCCGTCGTGGACAGGGACTGGCTGGCCGCGTCCGACGACAGTTGGGTGGCAAATCAACCCAGCGGAAGCAAATTTTGCTTGGCACTGGCAGCCGGCTTACTGGACCAGGGACGGGCTGCGTCACGCCGGAGGCCATGCATGGAGGTGACTGCTTTGGATGGCGACAACGTAAACCTGCAGCCCCGATCGCGTGAGAGTACGCACACGATCGGAAACGCACACAGGCACACCGAGGCTGACTCTCAGACGAGGCTCAGGCTGACAGAGCCGCCTATCTTATCTCTCTCGGTCTCCGCACGTGACTACATTCACTTTGCATCTCTTTGCTTTACTATGAAGGTTTGACTACCACAGGTTTGCTTTAGTTTGTCTTGATCTTGCCCAGAGTCGGGGTCGCCTTGGCGAGAGCGCGCTGGCGGCCGAGCTCCTTAATGCCCCAGAAGAGGGCGAACGAGCCTCCCGGGCCAAGCAGGGCAGTCGCAGCGGCGAACGGAAGCGCAGAGGCGATGAAACCGCCAATGCCAGCGCCGTACCCGAAGAGCACAGTGAAGGTGCTGAGAAGAAAGACGGCAGCCATGTCAATGGCGAAAAGAACGTGAGCACCGTGCGACAACGTCAAAGTGTCCTTGGGCTGGTCGAGGAGGAAGACCTCGCGGAGGTTGATCTGGCCGGCCGCGATACCCTTAACGAGCTCGTGGTTGCTGCGGGCCGAGGCAAAGACCAGGAGAGCAGTCAGGAGTACGGTGGGGATGTAGCGGTTGCGCGTCCACGAGAAGAGGGGCGGGAGAATAATGTTCAGCGCGAGCACGTAGAGAGGGAACGGCTGCCAGATACTGAGTGCTGGGTACGCAAACTTCTCGACCTGCATGTACAGCGTCGGGATAGCCATTCCAAGGGTGAGAGCGATGTAGGTCGACCAGATGTACTTCGCCTCGGGGACGCGGGCCTTGAGCTCTTCGATGTCACCGGCGTCGTTACCAAGGCGGCGACCAGACCATGAAATGAACGCACGCTGAAGCGGGAGCGCAAACCCGGCAGTGTATCGCTGGCCGAGGAGGACGAAGAAGCTCGCAGCGCGCGAGATCAGTCCGCTGATGCCTTTGTTTGCACGGTGAACGTTGCGGAAGCTTTCAAAGGTCGCAATCGCAACGGCAGTCATGAACAGAGGTCCAAAGGTGTTAAGCAGCACCGCGGGAGGCTTGGGCCCGTTCGCGCCCGAATCGAAAATCAAGTTGATCGTGCACAGCATCTGGTTCAAGTAGCGTCCCAGCCAGGGGTAGGACTGCATGCCGGGATGCGCGAAGCAGGCGTCGGTTGTCAGCAGGTCCTTGGCCTTGGACAGAGCAGGCCCGAAAAGAGCTGTTTGTCAGCTGGTGCTTGCATCCTCTAAGCTCACCAAGCTTAAACAACGCCGTGATCTCGACCCCGGCGAGTGCCAGGTACACGAGTGCTGCGAATGCTCCTGCGAATGCGCCCATGGTTGTTTGTATACGGAGAGTCAACAAAGGAGAAACGCAATGGCGCCGGCGCTGTTTATGAATGCACCTGTTGGACGGATACTCGTTAAGCGGGGTGACTACTAGCGCGTCGCTGGCCGGGTTGGCCCCATGACAGGCAACGTTAGTGGGAGGCTACGCGCGGCTACCGCGTTAATGAAGCGTTAGGTCAGCGCACTTGGCCGCGCCGCCCGAAGCATCGCGCGGGTCGAGGCACATGACCGGTGGGCACGGAGTTCATCAGCGCGCGGGACCCTCACTAGCCCGTTTCGGCAGGCTCGGCCAAATGATAAGATCGAACTGCTCTTCGTGGGTTCCACCTGCCCAACATTCCCTGCAGGCACTCCCGGGTTCTGATGTCTGCACGGCGGGGTTAGTACGCTGCAGATGTTCTGTGAGGTTGAGGTTACGGAAGGATCGGCGTTCCAAGTCCGTGGGCGCTACTCTATCAGGACAACACGATCGGATGTCGGCAACGTCCGAACACAGGCACGCGGTCATGGCACGCGACGATGACTCAACATGTTGACTCAACGCCTTCCTCGCACTGTGCGTCGCATTACCAAGACAGACCAGATCGTCGAACACATCCGTATTCTGCTCATCATACGACAACTCTGCACAGTACCGCTGCCTTCAACTGTGACCTCAGCAAGGATGGCACCGCCGGCGACCCCCAACTCTGCAGACTTCCCGAACCCCGTCCGCGCTTCTGCCGCGACCCTCAAGCTTCTCGAGGATCTACATGCCAAGTCTCTCGAGCAGGAGGCCGGCACTGATCTGATGACAGTCCCGAAGGAACAGTTCAAGCAGGTGCTCAGCGATAAGTTCGTCGCACTAGATCAGAACAAGTGCCAATTCGTCTACCAACTGTTGAAAGCTACAAGGGCACGGACCGTCGTTGAGGTAGCTGAAGGCCTCGTCATGCAAGCTGACCACAGGCTGGAACGTCATACGGTGTCTCGACTATCTACCTTGCGCTCGCGGTCCTCGACAATACCGGCGGAGAGGGTACCGTGATCGCGACAGAGCATGAGCCGGAGAAGGCTGCTCAGGCTCGCAAGTACTGGGCGCAATGTGAGGAAGATATTGAAAAAGTTATCGATCTGAGGGAAGGCGACCTGCTCGAGACCCTCAAGACGCTTCCCGGAGAGGTTGACCTGCTGTTGCTGGACAGTGAGTACCGGGTGCTTCAGGCAGCTCCATAACGACCTTGCAAAGATGGAGCCGTCTCTGTTGAGTAAACCTCTGCCCATGTAATCCGTCGCCTGACCGCTAACACAATGTCAGTCTGGGCGCCCATGGCCTTCCCCACACTCAAGCTTGTTGAGCCCAACTTCCGCCCGGGCTCGGTTATCATCCTCGACAACTCGATCAAGTCTGCCAAGCGTTACGAGGACCTGCTCAAGTACATTCGTGGCAACAAGGCGTACCAGTCGCTGTGTGTTCCCTACTACGCCGGCCTCGAGTTCATTACGTACAACCCGTAGTCGCGGACGAGTCGAATCTGAAGTGCTAGAGCGTGGCTGGTTGAGCGGAGAAGACGGAGCAATGTCGCTGCGGAATCGGGCTCTGTGCGCCGCCAGCCCGCAGGGGTGCTGCCTGCGGGCGTCTACAGAGGGCCCGGAGCCCCCATAACGGGCTGCGGGAATCAATAGGAATGCTCCCCAGTCGCTAACCTCTCGCATGCGCTCCGACTCCTGTTGGCTGATACTCTGCGTCCCTGAGCACCAGCAATCTCGAAGAGCTTGAAAGCCGCAAAATCGTGCTTTGACATGTTTGATAAGAGCCACACGTAATAGTTTTCAGCAAAATCATCGGATGACGGTGACGCGTGAGCTTCCGAGCAGGGGTTGATCGGTTAAGTCGATTTGAGAAGGTCCGAAAAGTTGGCAAGTTTGTCGCCTTTTGACTCCAAGGTCATTTTGGATTCAATCCACACACCCCACACCCACAATGTCGTCTGGATCCGCGCCTATCGGTGTGTCCTGCTACTCGGCTTTGAGCTAACGGACAGCCCTCCTGTCGGTCTACGACAAGACCAACCTCCTTCCCTTCGCGAAGGAGCTCAAGGCTCTCGGATTCCGCCTCCTCGGCTCCGGCGGCACGGCCAAGCTGATCCGTGAGAACGGCATCGAGATCGAGTGAGTTCGACCAGGTCCGAAGGCCTCGAACAGTAGCTGAAACCGCAGCGATGTCTCGTCTATCACCAACGCCCCCGAGATCCTCGGCGGCCGTGTCAAGACGCTCCACCCCGCTGTCCACGGTGGTATCCTCTCGCGCAACATTGACTCTGACCTGAAGGACCTTGCCGACAACAAGATTGACCAGATCTCGATCGTTGTCTGCAACCTGTACCCCTTCGTCCTCCAGACCCAGAAGCCGGACTGCACCATTGCTGGCGCTGTTGAGGAGATCGACATTGGTGGTGTCACTCTCCTCCGTGCTGCGGCCAAGAACCACGACCGGACTTCGATCGTCTGCTCCCCCGATGACTACGACGCCGTCATCAAGGAGATCAAGGCTGAGGGCCAGGTCTCCGCCGCTACCCGCCGTGGTCTTGCCCTCAAGGCCTTCGAGCAGACCACTGCCTACGACGGTGCCATCTCCGACTACTTCCGCAAGCAGTACGCTTCGGTCGACTCTGAGCCCGAGCTCAAGGCTGCCGCTGGTGTCGGATACCAGCGCCTCCCCCTCCGCTACGGTGCCAACCCCCACCAGAAGCCTGCCCAGGCTTTCGTCACCGAGGGCGAGCTGCCCATCAAGAGTAAGCTTCCCTCGTCCGACTAATAAGCTGACCCCAGTCCTCTCGGGATCGCCCGGCTACATCAACCTCCTCGACGCCCTGAACTCGTGGGCTCTCGTCAAGGAGCTCGCTGCTGGCCTCAACCTCCCCGCTGCTGCTTCGTTCAAGCACGTTTCCCCCGCCGGTGCCGCCGTCGGCGTTCCCCTCTCTGACGTCGAGGCCAAGGTCTTCGGCGTTGACGACCTGAAGGAGCTCTCCCCCCTTGCCAACGCCTACGCTCGTGCCCGTGGTGCCGACCGCATGTCGTCGTTCGGTGACTTCCTTGCCCTTTCGCACAAGGTCGACGTCCCCACCGCCAAGATCATCTCGCGTGAGGTCTCTGACGGTGTCATTGCCCCCGACTACGAGCCCGAGGCTCTTGAGATCCTCAAGAAGAAGAAGGGTGGAAAGTACTGCGTCCTCCAGATGGACGCGGACTACGTCCCTGCCGACATTGAGACTCGCCAGGTCTACGGTGTCTCGCTCCAGCAGCGCCGCAACGACGTCACCATCGACAAGTCGCTCTTCACCAACCTCGTTACCAAGGCCAAGGACCTCCCCGAGTCCGCCGTCACCGACCTGATCGTCGCCACCCTCGCGCTCAAGTACACCCAGTCCAACTCGGTGTGCTACGCGCTCAACGGTGCCGTCATCGGCCTCGGTGCCGGCCAGCAGAGCCGTATCCACTGCACCCGTCTCGCCGGCGACAAGGCGGACAACTGGTGGCTGCGCCACCACCCCCGCGTCCTCGCCCTTCCGTTCAAGAAGGGCACGAAGCGTGCCGACAAGTCGAACGCCATCGACCTCTTTGTCACTGGCGAGGCCTTCCGCGCCTCCCCCTCCGAGCGCGCCCAGTGGGAGTCGCTCTTCGAGGAGGTCCCCGAGCCCCTCTCGGAGCAGGAGCGCGAGGAGCACATGGCCAAGCTCAAGGGTGTTGCTTGTGCCTCGGACGCCTTCTTCCCCTTCCCCGACAACGTCCACCGCGCCCGCCGCTCCGGCGTCCAGTACATTGGCGCCCCCTCCGGATCCATCATGGACGAGGAGTGCGTCAAGGTCGCCGACGAGTACGGCATGACCTACGCCCACACCAACCTCCGTCTCTTCCACCACTAAGCCTCTCCCCTCCCTCTCTTAGTCTCGATCCTCCGCATTCTCTCATCATCTCATTAGCAACTCTCACCTCCCACATCTAAAAGTAAAAAGTGTTCACCCACTATCCCCGTTACAGCGGGTATCAAAATGTAGATCGCAAATGAAAACACATATGCAACCATGATTTCTGACTCGTGGCCAGTGCCGAACATGAAGGGGCAGAGTGAACGATGACGGGACCACAGAGTGGGTTTGCAGCCAAGGCACCATAAGGAGGACAGCAACGGACAGGTGCAGATTATGATAGTATGCATTTGTGAGTACAAGATCAACAGTCGAGGACGAGCGGCTTGCAAACTTAGAGCTCGTCGTGCTTCGGGTCGTCCTTGTACTCGTACTGCTTCGGGTCGCGACGGCCGATGACGTCGACGAGCTCGACCTCGAACGTGAGGTCAGCCTTGGGGGGAATGCGACCAGCGAAGCCACCCTCACCTGCAGGTTAGCTATCGAGTATCATGGGCTAGCTAGGAATGGTGCTCAGCGCCACGCTGTGCTCTTCATTGTCCTCTGAATCAGACAGAGTGCCTCGTGCCGAGATCTAAGACGGGCTGTCGTCGCTGGCACGGCAGGCTCGCACGACAACCTCACTGGGGCAGGGTGATAGTGAGAGTGGAGGTGCGGAGACGCATGATGGGGGTGACTCACCGTAGGCCATCTGGTAGGGGATGAAGAGCGTGCGCTTCTCGCCAACGCACATGTCCTTCAGGCCCTCGTCCCAGCCCTTGATCACCATGCCGGTGCCGACTGTGTGTTAGCTTGTGCGTGAAAGGCCAGCTGCCCTAACAGGTCGACTCACGCGTGAACTCGAGGGGCATGTTGCGGTCGTACGAGTTGTCGAAGACAGAGCCGTCCTTGAACTTGCCGATGTAGCTGGAGGTCAGCTGCTTAACCACTGGGTAGCTGGAAAGACCCTCTACCCGTCTACCCGTCTAACTCATCGCTGCTGGGCTCGCAGGGAACGTCTGAGCCACCAAGAGAAGGCGCAAGCCTGAAGGCTATGCCATCTGTTGGCGGAACAAGCGGACATGGCAAGCCATGACGAGAGGGGAAAGAAGGCACGACTCACTGCATGGCGAGCATGTCGTTCTGCCTCGAGCGAACAGGGCAGTCGTCCGGCTTGTGGTCGACAGTGATCTTGACGCGCGGCTCCTTGGTCTTGGGCTTCTGGGCGCCCATGACGGCGGACGCGAGCGCGAGAACAGTGACGAGGGTGCGGAGCATGATGCAGTCAGTGGGTGGGTGAGTCAGAAGTGAAAGGAAGGTGAGCTGGAAGATCTGAAAGTCGGGGAAGGTGACGAGACAAAGTTCGCCGCGATCGACGGTGCTGCGCTGGCCAACACGTCCCCGGCAAGGGACGAGCGGCCCGCTCCCAGGTTTCATGTAGTGCGTCAGCCCGCGCGTCGGTGGTGCCTGGTCAGACCTCCACCTCCAAGCGATCTCCCACGCATGCATGTCTGGCTACTCTCCCACGAAGGCAGCTCCGGAGGCATAGACGATCACGTGCGTTGCAGCCCTTGCTGACCGATGTATGATGAGCCGGATGGGCCAATCACGGCGAGGCATGTGGGAGAATACTGGCCAGCAGATCAGGGGCGGACGGGTCACTGATGCTGGCGCAGACGCTGTTGTCGGGATCTCCGCCGCCGAGAACTCGGGTGTTGTTCAAGGTGGGGGAGAGAGAAATTGGGAACAGCAACGGAAAGAACGAGAGACATAGGCGGGCCAGAAAAGAAGCTGGTGAGGCTTGGCGACTGCGAGATCAAGCCCCCGTCCGTGCGCAGAAGACGCCTCAGAAGCGACATGGAAGGCGTTTGAAAGTTCTGCATGCTGGCTCACATTCCGTTCGCAATACACAGGGCCTGTTGCTTGGACGTTCCGGGCACTTCGGGCACGCGGACACCGATGAGCACACGCATGCAACGCCTTGCGGACGTGCGCCGTAGCCTGTGGGCGTTTCCTTCGGAAGAGGCCGCTGCCTCGTTACAGAGCGCGGAGTGCAGTGGGTGAACGGATAGATTGCCCTCAAGAGGTAGCTCCTTTTCGCATTCACAGCGGTACAGGCGCGGAGCCTCCCGAAGGGAGAAATGGGAGGTAAGCTGACCGTGCGCTCGCGACGCCGCAGGGACACAGGCAGATCCTTGAGAAATGCCTCTCCTCCCCCGCGTCACATGTGGATGGCCCGAACAAGGCAAACAATAGAGGACGGGAGGAATGAGTAGCAATCTGCGTGGCGCCCACTTCGAGGCGCAGAGCGATGAAGGGGCCGGGGCCAGATGGTAATCGCCTTGGCCATGATCAATCACACTAGCCCGGGATAGCTCGCAGGTTTGTTGGGGATGGATAGAGCACCTGTGATGAGCGATCTTTGCCACCGTCAGACTGAGGGGGGCCGACGGGAACAGCGGTGCACTTGAGTGCAGCCCTAGAACAGCTGTTGACTGCTCATCTCAGCTCCAACGGAAGAGTGCATGAATGACTAGTGACCCCACCATACACCATTGAGGCGCCACTCGCTCATCGACGAAACTTTTCGGTGCACGGCCTGAACTTGATCGCCAAGCTATCTCCGCAGCAGATGAGATCCGTCAGATGGAGTGGAGATCATCATCCTCTTTGCGTGCTCACCGTGCCCGACAAGGCGAGACTTGCCGTTTGCGTCAGGACGAAGATAAGAAGTTTAATGAATCAATGCAATGATGTCCGTGTTCCCAGCACTAGTACGAAGCGATTGAGACCTTTCGTTGGTGCCATTCTTGTCCGGCGTCTGCTCGTAAGCGTCTCGCACGCTCTCGTGACCAACGTGCCTCTTGCCCTGCTGCCACGGCATGTACCTCAAAGACATCTCAGTGAAGGAGCCTCCGGCGTTCTCTGGCGGGGCATGGCGGGGACGTGGAAGCGACTTTGCCCGCTTGGCCGGGTGGCGGGGTCCCTTGAGGGCAGCAGCAGCCGGAATATCCCCAGTGAGACACTCGGTACCTGAGCTTGAGCACCTGCGCTCTCGGGCATGCTGAACACCTTGGGCAAACTGCCGCCATCTTGAAGATCCAGGTCATTGAGTGAACGTCAGCAGCTGCAGGGTGTCCGCCGGCAGATCTTTCAACTAGGGCAGGCACCTGGGAGTCAGGGGGTCCTACCAGGCGTCCCGAAGATGCACTGCCATGCGCCCAGCGACCTGAAATCGCACCTCGACCGACAAGGTTCTGGGCGCCAGTTCCGAACGTTCGTTGATCGTGGACCGCAAGCCCCGGGCCGCCCATCCTGTTTGGTCGCGGTCTGGTTGGGTACCAACGACGTCGCCGGGTGTAGGCGGCAAACGCGTATCTCGCTGGTTACGAACTCGAGCTGACGAGGTGCACAGCATCAGGCTCGTGTCGACAACGGCTGCGGCCACCCGATCTGGGAACCCTGGACAAGTGGGTCGAGGGCGCAGAGAGCTTTGGAAGTCACGAGCAACACAGGCGGCTGAGTTGCAGGACGTGTTTGACACTAACGGCTGTTGGGAACGCAGGGATGAGGGGGTCCTTGAGGAGGTGAGCAGGGTGGGATGGCTTCACATACCTCGATTGCGCCGATGCATTCCTCACCCAGTCAAGAACGAGTAGCACCTGGGCCCAGCAGGCCCGCGTGGCCTAAGAGACTACAACGCATGACGATCGATCCGGCTCCAGCCTGACTCTGAAGCTCCGATGATCAGGACAGAAGCGTGTCCTTTTACAAGGAGCACAGTCCTGCCAGGTGACTTCTGCAGTAGAACAAATGCGAGTCAAACCGAGCCATTAAGCCCTTTCTCTGCTTTGCGGGCCTCCCAGCTGGAATGCGGATCTGCATCCCGGCCGCGCCGAGGACGAGGGAGGGTGGAAGGGACAGCTTCTGCGGCCTGCGGCCTGCGAACTCCGACCTGCGGGCAGTGAGACAATATCAGTAGGTCCGTCAATAGAGCAGGGCACGAGCGCCAAGAATGACCAGAGTGTTCGCTCGTTTAAGCTAGTCCTCGGATGTCGCCCGTGCACTACAAAACTAGTGTTTGAAGCGCCGAGGGAGGGATGACTCAACACGTCCGTCTGCGTCCTGTCGCTCTGCTCTCTGCACGCACTCTAAGGGCAGGAGCATGATACATGACACATGGAATGGGGAAAGTTGAAGAGTTGTGGGAACGTGGTCGTTGGCGGCGGCAGCAGGTGAGGTTCAGGTTGGTGACTGGTGACTAGTGAGTAAGATGTAAGAATGGTTGTGGTTAAAACGATGGAGGCAAAGGTCCCGCCGCCAAAACAAGTTCGCCGCGTGCTGCAACCTGCCCCCCACCGGCCACCTCACCACTGAAATCACTCTGAGAAGCACCCAACTCGCCCCGTCGCCAACCGATGCATGCCTCAAGCTCGTCGACACCATGCATCCACCACGTCGCGATCGCTCGAGGTCACTAGGAAGGACGAAATAATCGTCGAGCCGGGTTTGGCACACGCTTGCAGCGGGTCGAGGCTGGCGAGGCCGAGACGAATTGGCAGGGCCTGGGTGGGGAGCTGGGCAGGAGGCTTAATACGTCAACAACACCGACAGCCGCGGCGTATACGGTTACCCAATCTCAACAACTAGCTGGTCGTTTGCCCTCTCCTCACCACCCTCACCATCGGCTCTCACGGCTCTACCGTCGCCTCGCGCATTTTAGCTTTTCAACACTACCCAAATTCATATTCCTCGGCTGTGCGACACCGTCGTCATACCCTTCCTCGCCAGCTCGAGTGCTCTCGTTCTCCTCGATCCCCCTTCTCCACACAACTAGCGCCTCGTCGACTACCCAGACGCTATCGCATAGCGCAGTCTCGCCGTTCCCTCGCCCCCTAGTCCTGTTCCCAACGCCCAGGCTCCTGGCTTCAGGAGTGTGAGCGTAGGACAGGAGCGGATCCAGTAATCCATCCTTTGGGTCTCCCCTCTCTCCGTCTCTTTGGCGCTGAGGGCCCCTCGAAGCCTCTCCTTCCATTGTCCGTTCGCCCGTCTGCGCCTTCGCCTGCGCCTGCGCCTGCCTGCCGCTGCCGCTGCCCGCCTGCTCCTGAGTGTCTCGCTGCCTCGCAGCCCGAGATTGAGCACCTGGGCCTGCGCCTGGGCGACGCGATACCCACCCACACATTAACACCACCCTCCATACCCAAAGTGGCCCAGCTCTGGCACATGAGCTACATCCCATTTGTCACAGTTCTCACCTGTCACTCTTCCTCCTCTGTGTTTGCATCTTCCTCATTCTCGAACTTCAACTCTTCTCAACTACACCCAGCTCGCGTCGCTCGTTCACAATGGATAACTCGGCGGCGGGGTCGAAGAAGGTCCCGATCCCCCGCCCCCGCAAGGCGTGAGTCACCACTACACCAGCTGCTTTTTCTGCCGGCTCAGTCATGACTTGGGTCGGCCTTGCAGTATTAGCTCATCTCCATACCGCTCCACGAAAATCACCATCTCCTCAAGAGCCAAGGCTGACCTCTTCTACAGTTGCACCATTTGCCGCGGCCTCAAGGTGCGTAGGTAACCGTTGGATCCTTTCGGTCCATCCGTGTTGCCCCGCGATTTGTGCAAGTGGAACAGCCGCTGACTGATGCGCAGACCCGATGCTTGCCCGATGGTGAAGACTCCAACCCAACATCTCGCTGCTCTCGTTGTGCACGTCTCGATCTAGTCTGCGACTACTCTCGAGCAAGGAAAGGGCGGTGAGTGTTCTAACTTTGCGATGGATGGTCGTGGTCGAGGGCCGTTGGCCGGTGATCACTTCCCTTGACGCCTCACATGCCTCGGAGGTTTAGCTGATTGGTGTGCAGGGGCAGCGCGGCCCGGAGAGACAACAACAATCCAGGCACCGCCGACGCCGGACACGATGGAAGGTATCGCCAAACCGACAAATGGAACGACCCCCGCATGGGGAGCAGCGTTGACTCGCGCGAGCTCGCCCCGGTTCATGGTTTGATGAACGGAGTAGGTATGGTGGGCGCAGTCAGCCCTGTCGGTATGGGAATCACCAGCTTGCCTCCTATGGGGCACATGAACGCCCACATGCAGTTGGTGCGCGGATGGAACACTCAACAGCCAAACATGACAAGTCGAGCTCCGATGGGCAGCAAGCCTGTGGCACCTATTTTGCCCAGGCCAGCCATCCCCAATTCGGATCACCCATCGACAGTGACGAACGGCCACCATCCACATGCCATGTATGCCCGCAGCACAAATTCTGCTGAGAGCCCAAACAATCGCTCCAGAGCTGCAACGTCGGTGACGACCCTCTCTAATTTCCTCGACCCTGTCCTTGGCTTCGACGACAACCGTCCAAGCACCGATGGCTCCTCTCATCGTAGTCAAGCCTACTACAACACCCCGGCTGATGCTGGCATCGTCACTGAGCAGGAAGCACGCTATCTCTACGACCAGTGAGTAACACCTGAGATGACGTTTGTGGCAAAGCAGTGTCACTAATTGCAGATTTATCCAGCACATGAGCACCTCTCTTGGGCTCTTTGACCACCGCTTCCATACGTACGAAAGGCTACTGGGTCTCCCAGTGCTTCTCACATCTATTTTGTCGGCCTCCTCTCGTTATTTCCGGGCGGATGTCTTCTCTCACATCAGCCAACTGGCCGAACAGAACCTCAGCCAGGCCATTGCCACTGGTGACCATGACCTTCAGCTTGTGCAAGCAATTATTGTGATGATTGTCTGGCTGAAGGGAAGTGATCCCACGGCATACGTTAAGCTCGGCATTATGTCTAGAGTTCTCAACGAGCTAAGAGTCACCTTCCCTGTGCAGCCTTCGGCACCGTTCAACAACGAGGACGACGAGCGCAGAGCTATAGACGTCGACAGAACTATCTTCAGTGAGTGATGCCCATTGGATTAAGCTTACGATCAGTTGCCAGAGGTTTGTATTTCTCAAAGAACATTATCCGTGACTAACGATAGGCTTGGATCTCGCATACTCGCGCCTCTTGCATCTTCCCGCGAGCTCGACTTCATCTTTGCCCACCTCTCAGCAGGCTGAGTTCTGGGCAGAAATGCACAGCCATCTCGACGTACCTTCGGATTCCCATAAAGCTTTCTTAGCCGGGTAAGTGGAACAATGGCAAAGCGACCGTCTCCAGCACGTAACTGACGCCGCAGCATCTGGGAGTTCAGTTCACAGTTCGGCTCCAGCCCTCAAAAGATGACTCAGTGGGAATGGACGGAGAGCGAAAAGAGTCTTATCGAGCACCTCAACAAGTGGATTAACCATCCATCTATGTCGGGAACGATGTTCGCGGCATTCACACAAATCATCGGGAAAACGACGCTACTCAATCTACGCATTTTGGGCTTGCAGCAGCGCGTGGCCACGGCCATTAGCCCCATTCACCTGATGACTATTGCGGACGAGATCGGCCTCGCTATCCAGGAGCTTGCGGGTCGCCCCGAGGTCATGTACTTCTCGGAGCTGCACTGCGTCATGTTTACTCTTCCCGGCTTACTCCTCTACAACGTTCGTCATTTTCCAACTGACTTCAGCTGACCTGCAGGCACGCTCGCTATTCGGAGTGACCGAGATCTCCCGTGTTTTGGACTTCTGTCGGGACGTGTGGCAGGCCCTGGAGGGGATTGGGGTCGGTACCCCAGAGCTTCCAATCACCAAGGCGCGCCACTGCTATCGCCGTCTGCATGGCGCTTTGGACCTGCTGCTAAGATCGGCAACCACCCCAAAGACTGCCAGTGTAAGTTATAGCTGTTTCTAGTGGTGGACGTGTTCTAACTTCTTAGTCATCCCACAGCGTTCTGCCAGGGTCCGCTATGAGCGGCACTGTTCCCGAGGTCGTCGGCCAGCAGCAGCAACAGCAGCCTTCAACCTGGGGCGTCGATTGGCTGTGGCAGGGCATCCCTCCGTTCCAGCAAAACTAATGGTCAAGTGAGGCGGTTCAACCCCTGCTTCGTTTGTCGGCAAGGATCGCATTACTTTCCCTTTGCAGTTGACAGTGCATGTCGGCTGGGATGATGTGATTGTCAAGTGCAACGCGGCCAGGGGATTGGATTGAATGCCCTGGGCATGGAAGGGGATGGAATGTGCGCCTTGGACCCTTACCAAAGGTCAACACCACTCGAGGTTTTTTGGGAGCTGTGAAACCGTTGACTAGGATACTTGGAGTCTGAATACACGAACTCCAGAGAGACCCAGAGAGACCTCCCGAAATTGTAGCGTATTTTCCATGGTTTTCTCTTTACAATTTTCTGCTTTTCTAATTGGGTGCCCCGTGCCCAGCTACCTGTAGCCCTACTAGCGACGATACGAAGTACCAGTATTCTATGCATGATCCCTGATCGTAGGGAATGCCCACAACAAGCCAGCGCCCGGTGGGTTGCTTCTAGAGGTTCATGTCCAAGTTAATGCGATCAGATGAGTCTGGTTGTGGCAACGAGCGCTGATTGGCTAATTTGGGAGGTAAACACAAGACGACAACCGTGGCAGATGGTGCTCACAGCCGTGTAGCCTCGGCAGAGCGTTCTCCGCGCGGGGAGTTCTTGTTCGGATTGCTACATGCATGCCTGTGTGTAGGAAAAATCGCACATGCGTCAGCACAGTCTGGGCATTGTGCAAGAAGCATGTCGGGAGTTCCGGGGGTTATGGGGGATTTCCGCTTTGAGTGTGGAGGGAGTCGCAGACTATGTGCGAGTTGTGATGGCAAGGTCCGGTATCAAAAGCCACCTCAAGAGTGTGACTGGGACGTCTTTCAGTGTGAAAGCGACCAGCCACGCGCTGTACTACTCTCTGCGCGTGCGACTCTATATGCTCCGCAGGCCAGATACTACACCCAGGCGGAGGACTGCCATCTTCTTTCTCCCACACCGACCGTCAAGTACCCACGTGAGGTCGTGAGGGCCAGGATGCGCAAGGCCCTTCATCTTCCCGGCTGGGCCGCCGTTGATGGCCGACCCGCTCTTTCCGCGATATCACGAATAGGCGATGAGGCGCGCAGTCTCAGGCATGTGCTTGGCTTGCAAGTGGAAGAGGACATGACGGAAATGCTGATGGGGAGAAAGGCCCCCCACGGCCGACGTGGTGCCAATCCTTTCTCAAGCAATCACGTTTGGCGTCGGCTTTGGAAATGGAAAGATGAATCTCGCGTCGTCGGTGGGCACGCCGGCGCCCGCAGTCTCCGTCTTGCCCGCTCTGTGTCCGGGTCGGATCGCCGCAGCGCTCGTGTTTCGCTGCACCAGGTGTAGCCCTGATACTGTACCAATGTCCGTCAATGTGCTTCGCCTGCCCTCGTCCCTCATTCCGGTGCACGCCCACTCGTCCCTCGCCCACTCCGTTTCATTAACGCCACCGCCGTCTGTATACCTTGGGCACATTCCAGGGGGGCCCGGGGCCTTAATGTCATTCTGGAGTGGCCCCGACCCGTGTCCCCTTAGGGCGCAAAGGTGCGAGAGACCGCCGGCAGATTGCCTGAACAGCAGTGGCAAAACGCTGACGCTTTCATCATGACTTGGGAACCCTTACTTTCTTGGAAGGGTACAGAGCTCACACACCATCAGGCTGAAGTTTTCAGAAGGCTTGAGACTTCTCAGTCAAGGGGCGAGAGATTGCACGCAATCTCAGTCAAGGGGCGAGAGATTGCACGCAAAGGCGAGCAGTTGGGAGATCATTGACACCACGCTCTTCCCGCAACGTGCGACTGGAGGTACCCACTTGCCCGCTGAGAAGGGAGGGTTCTGGACTAGGAATGTCATTAATGGGAAAGCTGGGGTTAGCGTCGCTGGCGGATTGTGATGACCATGTGCTGATCGCATAAGTTGGCGCTGCAGTAAGCGCCCGCAGCACCTGACCACATGGACAAGTCGTGCTCGATGCCAAGACTGGCTTGCGCATGCTCGACGTTGGTGTACAGCACATTGAAGGGAACACCGTTGCCAGCATCAGATCGTCAGTGTGACAGCCGTTTATCTCGTCAATGATGCGATCTTTGGTGGCGCCCGGTCTCGGCTTGGACCCCTCCCAAGCCTCGTCCATCGCATCGACCACACGTAAGCTAATCGCTCGTGCATTATCGTGTCGTTACCTGGACCGTTTAGAAAATGAGAAGATCCGACGGGAGTCAGTAGTTGGTGTGCTGCGAGTGTTGCGCAAGCCAGCCAGCCAGCCAGCCAGCCAGCCAGCCAGCCAGCCCGGCGGCCACCAACCGAAGTGTCTCAGGCCGTTGCACTATTGCCGCGGTTAATGTTTTGGGCTGCCTCCACCCTCGCGCATAATTTATTTGGAGCACCATAACTAATCTCGCACCCCTTGCTCGACCTTGCCTTGCCTTTTCTCACCACTCCAAAGGTTGATCTCGTCGCCGTTGAACGCTACGCACCCCGGCGGGGTGACGCCGAGGAGCGTGTGGCACTTGCATCACGTGCCGCCACCCCCGCCTCGCTTAGAATGCCAGGCCCGCCGCAAGATGATGTCAGGCTGCCAGAATGCATTCCCCGCCACCATTCTCAGTTTCCGGCGTCGCAGTCTATTCAGCAATCATGAAGGGCGATAGTGCGCTCGCGCAGACGTGTACAGATTATGGGAATATATTGTTGAATTCATGTCATAATCTACGCGTGCACTGTTGGATGACAGGTGCACAACTACTATTGCGCCAGCCGCGCACAACGGCTAGCCACAGCTCTCTATATACCGCCTGCTCCAACACACCATTACGCCTTCAGCGTCTTTTGCAGGATCGTGATCCGGTCTCCGAGGCTGAGCGCAATGCCCTGCGTCTTCGAGCGGATACGAACGTGGCCCTGGATCGAGCCGTCCTCCGTCTTCTCGATCGAGAGGTTTGCGAGCGCATCCTCGCCGAATAGTGAGCGAGCGCAGAGGTTCGCCGACAGGAAGTCACAGTTTCCGCTGAGAGCGGCCTCCGGCGTGAGGCACGCCATGTTCGTCGACTTCATGATGTGGTCGAGGTACGTGCGCAGGTCGGAGATCTGCGTGTTGACGTTGACCTTGTTCTCCCATTCGAACTCAGTCCACATGCTGCGGAACTGCGCCTCGTTGCAGTACGCCGGCTTGATGTAATCCATGATGTCGACGTGGACATCGTTGAGGACAATGTTGACACTCGCGTCAGAGGCGCCCTGCTTGTCGTACACAATGTTGCCGAAGATGACACCAGTCTCGGTTGAGGACACCTTGATGGTAGCCTTGATGTTGTGGAAGCCGTGGGGGCCAAGAGTGTGGGGCGCTGGTCGCTCAACAAGCTTGAGGTCTCCCAGGGTGGCAAACTCGATGGTGAGATTCTGGAGGGTCTCGTTGGTCTGGTTGACAATGAGAACGTCGAGCATGATGTCGAACTGCTGAATGTTGACAACAGCCTCAGCGTAGACGGGGTCCGAGAAACCAGTAAGCTGGACTATCCGCGCCAGCTTGGAGACAAAGTCGTCCTTGACCTCGGTCGCACCCGTTGCCCGGACGACATCAACGTCAAGGTCGTCATCATCGCCGTCCAGGTTCTTTGTCTGCAGAAGACTGAACTGGATGAGGTCGTCCGCCTGCACCTGCGACTTCTTGTTCTCGAGGTCCTTCTTCGCCTTAGCCTTCTTCTCCTCAGCAGCGAGCATCTTGGCGTAGGCAGCCTGAGTGTCCTTCAGGAACATCTCGTGCACCGGCTTCGAGTCCTGCAGCTGAGCAAGAGACTCAATGCAGTTCATGATACGCTCCTGCGAGTCCTCGTCGATGGGAACCGAGACGAACTTGGACTGGCCGACGCGGATGATCGAGGTCATGATGAGGATTGCCTCGGCACGCAGCTGGTTGAACGCCTGGGCGTCGGAATGCAGCTCCTGGAAGCGAAGCACCAGCTTGGTGAGCGTGGAGGCGAGGACGGTGGCGGTGAAGTAGTCGCCTCCGAGGATGAGAGCACGCAGAGGGGGCTTTGCAGCCGCGCGGACTTGCTCCAAACGGGCGGTGGCGGCGGTCGAGGTGTAAACGGTCTCGGTTGCGTAGGTACCGTCGGCGAGGACGCGAGTCTTCGTGACGGCCTGCGGCTGCTCCGGCTCTTTCTCGGCTTGGGCGGCCTCGTCTGCAGCCTCGGCTTCATCGAGCAATCGCTGCTCCGAAGCAAGAATGGGGACCTCTCCGATAACCTTGCGGAGCTCAAAGATAGCGCGCTTGATGTCGGCAGCGCCAGTGCAGTACTCTCCGACAATCCACATGGCGCCGCGGAAGACCTTGCCGGACTTGATCTCGCTGAAGGTCTGGACAAGCTTCTCGGTGATGGTCGGACGGAGGTCGGGGAACTTCTCGACGACCTCGCGGACGAAGGAGATAACGTCGACGGCGGAAGGGTTGTTCGAGTCTCCGAGGAAGTCCATAAGAACGTAAACGACGTTGGCAGCGACCTCAGAGAACTTGATGGCGCAGGAGTGGATGCTCTGGATAAGGAGTTGTCGGTACTCGACGTTCTTGTCAAAGTCCTGGTCGAGGGTAGACTGCAGCTGCTTCTTCAGGAACAGGACAACGTCTTCGACGTTGTGGCTGGTCACCATCTGGAGCGCGATACCAACAGCCTTGCGCTTGACCTCCATGTCGGGGCTGTTGAGGACCTTGAGGATGTCCATGACCATGCCATCGAGAACGTGCTCGTGCTTGGAGCGAAGGGCGTCGAAGCGGTCAAGAACGATAAGCTTAACGTTGTTGTCGGCCTCCTTCACAATGAGCTCAGCGAACGCGGCACCGGCAGCCTTAATGGCAGCCGGGTTCTGGGTAAGCGACGTAAGGGTCGTGGCCGCCTCGTACTTGACAGCATGCGACGGAGAGTTGAGAAGCTCGAAGATGAGACGGATCCACTTCGCCTTGTGGCCGCCCTCTCCGCGGGCGTCTTTGCGGATGAGCTCGATAACGGCCATCTGCATGATCTCGTCCATGCCGGAGACCTGGTCCGCCTGGCTGAGGAGGTAACGAACAGCAGTCGGCTGGGAAATGTGGCAGAGGGCGGTGAAAGCATTGCGCTTGCACGTCGAGTCGGACTCGGCAGCGAGGAAGGTGTCAAGAAGCTCGGGAGCATCGGGAATCAGGTGCTCGTGGTCCTGGTAAATGGTCCAAACGGACATGACGGCGTTCTTGCGAACGAAGGAGTGTCGGTGCTCCAGGCATTGGCGAACAGTCGGAACAAGGGGCTCGAGCAGCTCAGCCTCGCGAACCTTCTGCAGGAAACGGAGCGTCGCGCCGCGAATGTACTCGTTGGGGTGCTGTAGGTCATTTCGGATGGCGTTACAGACGAGGATCATCTCCTGCTTCAGCTTTCCGTTGTCGTCCAGCTTGGGGCAAATCCTGGAAAGTCAGCTCCGGCAACTTAGAGTACTCACTCCCAGTAAAAGTGCAGGAGCTTCTTAATCTGCTTGTTGCGCGACGGCAGGACATATTGAATGATAGGCATGAGGAGGGAAGGCTATCGTCAGTCATTGCTTTGCGCTGCTCAACTTACGTGGCTCTGACCGTTCAGAGTGCCGACGATGATACGACGCATGGTCTCCAGCTTGACCTCATCAGAGCCCTTCTGGAGGGCATTGCGGAGGTCCTGCGATGACGGAGCGTCGATCAGGTCATCGTGGATGACGGTGTAGCACGTCGCCGATGGGTCCATGTTGGGCGCGAGTCGGCGGCGGCGTCGGGAGAAGGAAAAGGTCGAAGGGAATCTGTCGACTGCAGTCGCTTGTTGACGGCCGAGGTCGTCGATGCGAGGAGGGACGCAGGAAGCAAGAGGTGAGTGCTGGTGATCGTGTCGTCGAGGTGTCGACGCTCCGCTGCAGCGATACGCGTGTCAGACCTCCAGCACGTCTCAGCTCACGACCACGTGTCAGAGAGAGGCCAGGTCCGGGGAGACGGCTTTTCGGAATTATAACCCCTATCACCCGTGGCTGGGGTCTCTCGTTCCGCTGATCGCGAGGAGAGCTGTTGCATCGTCCATCTCCCTACGCACCCTAAGCATCCCATCCCTCCCCCCGCCCCCATCCCACATCTTGAAAATGGCTTCCTCCAACACCGTCAACGTGAGCATCGATTTTGGTCGAATACCAGCCGGCACTCGGTCGCCCGAAAACGCCCCCGAATCCGCCGGCTCGCCTGGAATTTGACAGAATCAAGCGACCACAAGAACTAGACCGCTGACATACAGGTCATCCGTTACTCGGCTCTCATCTTCGGTGTCGCCTACGGCTTCCTCCACAACAGGACGCTCCACAAGGAGGCCGCCGACCAGGGTGTACGTTGAACTGCTGGGAGGTGTAGATGTGTTGTTGCTGACATTGCGTCTTTACCCGATTCAACCCCGCTTCCGGCTCGATTATTTATGCGACATTGAAACCTCGGACTCTATCGCCCTCGGACCTTCTTGAATGCCTGCGAACGGTCCCAAATCGATGACATCGAAACCAACAGCTCCAGAACAAGCTGCACAAGCGTGAGGAGCTCATTGCCGAGGCCAAGCGGCAGTTCGCGGCCAACAAGGCCGCCAAGCAGGAGGAGAAGAACGGTGAGTTTTCATGCGCGACCGCAAGAACGCTGCGATCGCAAAGAGTCGTAACATCGTCAAAGAAAGCAGGACGGACGGAGGCTTGATGGAGCCGAGTTGAAGAATCACTGCGTCACCTCGGTTATGGTTAGCTACGTCCGCCCTGTCTTCCCACGTCTAGCGGGCCAGTCCAAGCGACGGCCGGTGGCTCTACCATGTCGCAGCCTGTACGACCAGCGTCGTCGGCATTCTATCGTCGTGCTTGCTTGGAGTAGAAATGCTGACATATCAGTCATCACCGACCCCTCGTCCGACAAGTTCGACCTCGAGGCCGCCATCAAGCACTGGGCCGGCGAGAAGGCCTAAGAAGTGTAGTTTTAGACCATGGGATGCATATAGCTGCGCATAGGAAGGTGTCGGAGTAATAATATAAGTCGACCGGCGCTCTGTCGAGCGTCTATAGATGAGTAGAATCAAAACATGAGCAGTTTAGGATATGCATCGGAAACCCATCCGTGGTTTCTTTCAGGCTTGATGTCGCGAGTAACCGAGCGCCGAACTGATGATCTCCGGCGTAAAAGGGAACGGAAGCAGATTTCAACGGCACGCGTGCCGTCATGTCCCAAGTCTTGCGGAAGTTGATTCAACAACGCGTTTCCTCCTTGACAAACAACTCCACGCTCGCTTCATCAGACACACGCATCCAGTGTCCCACCGCCCCAGTCGGATTAGCCGTGACAGCTTGCACCCATCTGACCGCGTCGACTGGCCTCACCTTCGTTTCCCGCGCTTCCGGGCCCCGTATAGCCGCCTTAAACCGATAACAAACGTTCCAGCCACAGCACTGCGAAGATGGCGTCCAACGACGACCCCATCGAGGTCACCGACGAGCTCTCGGCCGCCGAGGAGAACCAGGTTATCAATGAGGTGAGTGGTGCGCAACGTTATTTCCGCTGACGTCCCCAGGAGTACAAGATCTGGAAGAAGAAGTGAGACAACCGCACACTGCAGCCTCGACCGCGAACTAACAAACAGCACGCCCTTCCTTTACGACACCGTCATCACCCATGCCTTGACGTGGCCGAGTCTGACATGCCAGTGGCTGCCGGACATGGAGAGGTGAGCTCTCTTTCGTGTGGGAATGAGCTAACATTAGCCCCAAGGATGAGGATTACACTGTCCATCGCATGATCTTGGGCACGCACACTAGCGGACAGGCGGACGACCACCTTATGATCGCTGAGGTTCACTTACCGAAGGATGGAATTGAGGGACGGGATATTGGAGAGCTGTACGATGAGGAGAGGCAAGGTGTGTAACCCTAGCGGTTTAGGAGCCCGCTGACATCAGAACTGGGCTCGCACGCCAAGTCATCAGCACGCATCCGCGTGAAGCAGACGATCAACCACAAGGGCGAGGTCAACCGCGCGAGGTATATGCCGCAGAACCCCGACCTCATCGCGACCAAGACGGTTGACGGACCGGTATTCATCTTCGACCGCACGAAGCACGAGACCAAGGCGCCCGTCGGTGGTGCCTGCAAGCCGGACATTACTCTCGTCGGACAGAGCAAGGAGGGGTGAGTTCACTTTGAATGTCTGAACTGACAGCAGTTACGGACTGTCGTGGAACAAGGTCAAGGAGGGTCACATCCTTAGTGCGTCTGAGGACACGACTGTCGCGCACTGGGACATCCAGCAGTACAAGAAGGACGGAAACGGCATCCCGCCCCTGCGCAAGTACACCGGACACTCTGCTTATGTTGGCGTGAGTACTTAACTTAGCTGCGCGACCTCGCATCGAGCTGACTTCAGGACGTGGACTGGCACCCCGAGCACGACTACATGTTCGCGTCTGTCGGTGACGACCGCAAACTCATGATGTAAGCTTCGAATCGTTCGGCTGAGCTGACAGACAGCTGGGACACGCGTTCGGAGAACTCTGCCAAACCCGCGAGCCAGGTCGAGGGGCACACGGCCGAGGTGAACGCGGTCGCCTTCGCCCCGTCGTCGCCCTACCTCCTCCTGACCGGCTCGAGCGACAAGACGGTCGCTCTGTGGGACATCCGCAAGATCTCGCTCAAGCTGCACTCCTTTGAGGGGCACACCGACGACGTGCTGCAGGTCGCGTGGTCGCCGCACTCGCCCGTGCACTTTGCGTCGGCGGCTGGCGACAGGCGTGTGAACATTTGGAACCTGGACGCGATCGGCGCCGAGCAGACGCCCGACGACGCAGAGGACGGACCCCCCGAGCTCATGTTCGTCCACGGCGGCCATACCGCCAAGGTCAACGACATCTCGTGGTCGCCCATGGCCAAGTGGCACATTGCCACTACCGCCGAGGACAACATCCTCCAGGTCTGGGAGCCCAGCAGGCACATTCGCGCTGCGGCCGAGGCCGACGTCAACGCCATGGACCTCGAGTAGATCGAAGCCTGAACCTGAGGGCCGCGGCTGAGTAGTTTAGATTTGTTTTTCTGAAGGGCCGCCCTCGAGCGGCCAGGTTATGCATCAGTATATAGTGGTTTCGTTCGTGCTAGTACATGGGTAAAATGGTACAACAAGAGATTCTAGCTAATCCTTCCTTCACTGGGCGGCAATCTCGACAGCGTCGTTCGGCGCGGTAATCAGCCCGGCGCGAGGGACGTGCTCGATACGCCCCGTCCCGTTCACACCATTGCTGTTGCCATTCTCGCGCTCCTTGTGCTCTTTGTGGTGCTCCTTGTGCTCGCGAGTGCCCTTGCGCGCCTTCTGCGAGCGCTCCTGCTCCCGCAGCGCCTGTAGGGGTAATGGGAGCGCGAGCATCGGCCAGTCGGGGAGGTTGGCGAGCCCGCCGCCAAAGGTCAGCACGCCCTCCCAAACTGGAGCCAGGTCGAAGAGGTCGATGAACTGCTGGTCGACGGCGCGGGATTTCGGAGCTGAGAAGCGGCGGTACCTGCTGTCAGCTGCTCGAAGAGACAAAAGAGCTGATCTGCAGTGAGGTGGGGTTGAGACTCACTCGTCAAAGATGCTCGTCAGCGACCAACTCTGCAGCCGCCGGATACACCCTATCAGACATCCTGTGCGGTGCTTGCCCTTGTTGCAGTGGATGAGAATGGGGTGATTACGCCGGTCTAAGATGGCGACGAGCGCGCTCGCAATTACGTCCTCGGGGATGTTGTCGAAGGGCTCTTTGTTGCCCGGGATGCCGAATTGCTGAGGGGTCAGCTTCTTGCGCCGGTATCTTAGCTAGGACAGAAGAACACCCACCATGAACTGGATGTCTTGTTGCTGGCACCACTCGAGATTGGCCTCGGGGTAGTCCTCGAGCACGAGTGTCAGCACCGTCTTGAGCTGGAGCGTCTCGAGAAACTTGAAGTTGCGCTTCTTGGGGAAGCCGCATCTGCTGTCAGCTCGGTCGGGGCGACACCCAGCTCGTGTAGTACAACAGGCATGTCATCAACCTCGTCATGTTGCTGTCATGTCCCACGCTCTCATAGCTGAGCTCGGCAGAGATGCAAGCGCGCGATTACTCACCGATACACGCCCTGCGTGACTGCGCCGAAGTTCTCGGGCGGCACAAGATCTTCCTGCACGTCCGGCGCTGCTGGCGGGGGCAGGTAGAGTGCATTCGGAGGAGCGCCATCTTCGACGGCGACAGGGGACGTAGGTGAGCGAGCGGCGTGCGCGGCCCGGATCTTGGCGAGGAAGGGCGGTATCGGTGCTTCCTGCTCTTCTGGCGTTGGCGTCGAGAATACCGTATTCACAGTTGTTGGTGGTGGATTCGGCGGCGGCGCACGAGTCGTCGGCGTGTGCTGGTCCTCCTCCATTATTGCGGACCGCTAGGGAGGAGGAAAGGTGGTAGCTCTGGGTTGCCGAAAGTTGGTCGAGCTGATCACAACATTCGCATCATCATCGACTGCATGGACTGCGAAAGTGGTTCCGTCCCACGTGCAATGATCGCCACTGAGCGACTCCACGACTGCTAAATCTGGAGAATGGAGGTGGAGGTGGGGTACGAAGGGTGGAGGAATCGAAGCTGCGAGATACGAGACATCGAGCGTTGACTTTCGGCACGCAGATCGACTTGGCGGCATGCATTCAAGAGAGAAGCGAGCGGCGACCGCCAACGCGTCAAGAGGCACCCGTCTTGTCTCGCTTCTACCACTGATTCCCTTTGGGTTTTGTGTCTCGCTGGGAGTTCGGAAGCTGCCGAAGACTGCCAACGATGAAGCTATTCGGCAGCCTGGGCACGCGAGACACACCAGGGCGCCTGGGTGAGCTTGACATCCCGCTCCAACAAGGGGCCGTCGGGATACAGCTGGGCTTACGGCGGGTGAGCCTTGGTACGCTGGATCGCCGAGGTGCCCTGCGCTCTCTCTGCATGCTGCGCTCTGCGTCGACATGGCCGCACTTTCGTGCTCAACATGACCGCACCAGGCCGCATTACGTCACGGCATCCGTCGCTCAGCTCAGCGCACCCACGAGCCTAGACCACGGCGATCCTTCAACTTTCGCTAGAACACCGCTGATCGTGCTCCAGATGTGACTGGCGCCCCGCTCGTAACACTCGGGGAGATATCAACACTGCTCTTATCACCATCACCATCGAAACGCAAGGACAGCGACCACTATGGGCCTCCTCGGACACCACAAGCAGGACGACAACCAGGTCCAGTTCAACCTGAAGCCTCTGACTTTGGCTGTAAGTCGCGGGGAGCAGCTGCCGAGTAATCGATAGCATAGCTAACGACAGGACCTGCCTCCGGCCGGCGATACGGAGGCCTTCACGGCATGGCTGGACAAGTACTTTGCGGCCGGTGAGAAGCTGGCCGATAGCATGGAGTGAGTTATCGCAAGTCTGTTAGAACTGACAAAGCAGCGAGTGGAACAAGAGCCAGAAGGGCGAGCTCGAGATTGTCTCCCTGCCGAACAACTCCAAGGTACGTCCTTCCTTCCCACCTTCCTCTCGCCTCCGCACATAGTCATAGGTCACATTACCTCCCACCGTCGCAGCTCATCCCAAGTCGAGCAACAGCTAAACTCCAGCTGCGCAAGTCCATCGGCGTGTCCGAATACTGGTGCGGCCGGATATCAGTGCACACGCCCGAATCGATCCTGCGCGACGTCGAAGCTCCCGAGAGCCTGTGGAACAACCTGACTCGCACGCTGAGCGGCCGGAGGTCAATCGACGCGGGAACGGGTCGAAGACAGTCTCTCTCCGACCGCAGACCGACAGTCGACCTGACCGAGGTCGAGCGCCAGGACCGGGTCGTCAACTCGAAGCCGCACGGGCTGTACGAGAAGTTCAGGCTGGGCCTGCTCAAGTATCACTCTGAGAATGAGCGAGAGTAAGTTGACGAAGGAGCCAGACCTCCCGCCTCTTCGCTTCGGAGTCTGCTCCGCAGCATGTGCGGTGCGAGCCATGGGCAGCGGTCGTAGTCGCAATGAGGCCCAAGCTATGAAGTTTAGTATGCGAGCTGACCCCAGGTACATCGAAGCGTGTCGCGAGAGCGAGTGCATACAGGTGCTCCAGCCGCACGTCGCAGAGATCTGGCGATTGACGTACGTGACTCCTCCGCCAACGAGCCCGCGCACTTTCGTCGTGCTCGTGTTGTCACGAGAGCTGGTATCGTCGCCTCACGGCGAGCGATGCTTCATGAACAGTGAGTGCTGCTTCGATGCTAGGTTGAGATGTCTTCCCCGTTTGCTGCGGGGTGACTGGATTGGTGTGGACCGTGCCTGCGCCCTGCTCTTTGGCCGACACATCCTCTACCACCTCACCAGCTGCATGGCGAACCATTAGCTGACCCACAGTCTCGCTCCCGTTCGACCACCCCGATGTGCCCGAGAAGCAGCACGACGAAGCGCACAGAGTGCGGGGGAAGTACGTCTCGGTCGAGCGCGTGAAGGAGCTGAACGACGGCGCTGCCGTCGAGTGGCGCACGGCGACCTCTTCTGATGCCGGCGGCAACATTCCCCGCTTCGTCACCAACGCCTCGCTCCCCAAGAGTCTCGCCGAGGACGTGCCGAGCTTCCTCCGCTGGGCTGTGAAGCGGTGGCCGCCCGAGGGACCGCAGGAGGGCGCGGACGGGTTCACGCCTGGTGCTACTGCGCCGCTGCAGGCTGTTCCGTCGCGCTAAAGGGCGCCTCCTGTCGGCGCAGTCTCGAGAGCGCAGATCAAGACCAGGAGCAAAAGCATGGACTGCGATGTCCCCAAGAGTAGTAACATGAATCTAGAATGCATTATCATTACATCCGCCGTTCGGCTCGTCTATACAAGAATACTGGGGGTTGCGTTCAGCGCAGCTTCCTTTGCACGTTCCTGCTCAATGAAGCTGGCGTAGCTCCACGTCAGATCCCTCGCACCCGTCTGTTTGCCCGTATCCTTCTGGATCTGCTCGGCCATGTGGCCACTGTCGTAAAACGTCGCCGCTGTCTCCGCAAACCGGTCCGCGACCCTGTGCACGTTCCTCAGCGCAGTGTCAAACTCGGGCTCGCCCTTCTCCCACTCCGTTCCCTCGGGCACCTCAGTGCCCGTAATGTCGGACCAGAAAGCCCTGGATTCGCGAGTGACGACGATACTGTCGGCGACCGAGAGCTGGGCTGCTGCGAGGTACAACACGGTCGACACGGCGTGAGTGCAGATAAACCAGGGGTTGGCGCGCGAGGTGCCGACGCCGTCGTAGATGTCCTCCCTGTATCGGCCGACGAGGCGGCCGTCGGTCCAGCTCGCATCGGGGTTGATCTTGTACAGTCCCTTGAAGCTCTTGACGTACGCCCGGAGCGTGGAGAGAACGCGGGGGCTGGCGGGGGACCATGCGCCCCTCGCCCCTGAGTCGCCGGCATGCACGAAAGCAAGCAGGACCTGGGCATCGAGGCCGTCCCGCTTCGCGCCTGCCAAGGCCTGCGCATCACTCGAGACGTACGCCTGCAGCTTGTCGTTCCAGTAAGAGGTAAGCACGGCAGCGACCTCGGCGCTCTTCCCCGCATACCAGTCTGCGGCGCCGTGATCCTCCATCCGCCGCGCAAAGTGACTTCCGGCCTGGAGGGAGCGCCACGACACAAAGTCGGTGTAGAAGTGGCGTCCCTCCAGTTCCTCCCATATGTCGAAACCGCGCTGGGACCAGCGCTGCGCGACCTCCTCGAGGTCATTCTTGATCGTGCTGTTTGGCGCTCTTGTGGCGTCGGCGTTGTACAGCGCAGAGCGGACGTAGGTTTCCTCCCCTGTGTCCATTAGGTAGTGCGCATAGGGGATTAGGGAGAGGGAGCGCAGCGCAGGCCCGTCACGCTGTGGTCGGCCCCAGGAGCCCGTGAAGGCGGTCAGGTCGGTGTGGAACTTGGGTTCGCTGAGGCCGCCGCTTTCCAGGTCGCCGCTGGGGTTCGGCACAAGTTGCAGCTCAGCTTGGGCGGAGACGTATTCCCGCAACAGGGGCTGGTAGCCTGCCTTCATGCTCCCAGGCTTGCCGGGGGGTATCGGGTCCCATGGGCGGAGATACTTTGCGGGCAGAATACCGGGCAAAAGCGACATGATGGTCAGCGCCGAGTCGCGCGTCCATGTGTACTGCTCGTCAGCTTACGATGTCTGATTGGGATAGCTCACAAAGTAGTCCGGATCCTTCTTCGACGGACTCGCGATCACGGCGCCAGGGGCCGCACCAGCGGGAGCGCCGATGTTGGCGAGAATGTGGTCCCACGAGAACTGGAACTGGTTCTGCGGCTTGCCTCCCAGCTGGCTGAAACTGCTGATGCTGCGCTGGGACAGCGGGCCAAGACCCTGCTTCATACTCGCGGGGAGGAGGGGCATAGTGGCTAAGGTGTACACCAAGACGATGAGGGAGGTGAGGATGAGGGGAGAGAGGGGATAAGGTTCGCCTGACGGAGGCTTGGGCGGGATGTAGACGCTGTTCCGGCCACGGGCTGATTGTCCACCCATCTTGGAGGTGAAGCTGACGAGAAGGACGTCAGAACGGCGAGGACGGTGGACTGTCGTTCTGCTCGCTGGGAAGTGCAGGGTGACACACCAGAAGCAGGCGGCGATCATGACGTCACGTGTGCTTATCGCAGTGAACGCTTTCAGATGAGGAAGGACCTCCCTCACTGCAACTGCCCATGTAAGCACAAACCGCTTTGAGCTTACGCTTTGTGCTTACACGAGTCCTATTGCACACCACTCTTATCTACCCGTGTTATCTCTATGCGTTGATTCATGCAGTCCTATGGTACTAATGATGATTTTACCTCGCCTTGCCCTCGCAGTCCATGACGTCCTCACCCTGCTCGACGAAACGCTTGAGCTCCTTGCGCCATGGCTCCCAAGTCTGTCCGTACTTCTTGAGGAGGTGGCCAAGCTCGGCCTTCTGCTCGGCAATGACCTCGGGGAGGTTCTCTCCGTCGGGCGCGCTCCAGACGTCGTTGAACATCTCGCTCAGCTTCGGCTTGGGCAGCTTCTCGCTCCTGTTGAACGTCTTGAGGACCTCGGTCTTGTTCGCCTTCTGCATCGCGCGCTCCTCCTCCTCGCTCCACCACTTCTGGTCCACGAGCCAGTTCCTGAATCGCGAGATCGGGTTGTCCACCGTGTTCCACTCCTGCACCTCCTCCGCCGACCTGTACTTGGACGAGTCGTCCGAGGTGCTGTGGTGGCCGACACGGTACGTCATCGCCTCGACGAGGACGCCCTTCTTGCCCTCGACGGCGCGGCGGCGCGCCTCCCGCGTCGCGGCGAGGACGGCGAGCGCGTCGTTTCCGTCAACACGGATCGTGTCGAGACCGTAAGCCGGGCCACGGGCAGCGATACCGTCACCGGCGTACTGGTCGATGACGGGGGTGGAGATGGCGAAACCGTTGTTACGGCAGAACCAGATGCAGGGCCCACCGAGGACGGCGTTCATGTTAAGCGCAGCGTGGAAATCGCCCTCGGAGGCGGCTCCATCACCAAAGTAACAGATGACACAGTCGCCCTGGCGCGCCTCGTCCGTCTTGAGCGCGTAAGCGGCGCCGGCGGCCTGCGGGAGCTGGGTAGCGAGGGGAGAGGTGATGGTGTGGAAGCCGAGATCCGGGGCAGTGTAGTGCACCGGCATCATGCGACCCTTGGACGAGTCGTCGTCAACGTTGCCGAAACACTGGCCCATCATGCGCTGAAGCGACATGCCGCGGTACAGGAGGGCGGCCTGCTCACGCTGAGCGTTAGCTCACGACAACTGGCCCAAAAGCTATACCGCAATGCGCTCTGAGATACTCACGTACTGTCCAAACACCTCGTCGGTGGGCTGCATAGCAGCGGCCGAACCGACAACAGCAGCCTCCTCACCCGAGCACTGCATGTAGAAGGAGATACGACCCTGGCGCTGCGACTGGTAAAGAACGTTGTCGACGACGGGAATGAGGGCCATGGCCTTGTACATCTTGAGCGCCTCCTCCTTGTCGAGCTCCGGAACGGTTCCGCCCTTGACTGGGCGTCCCTCCTCGTTCAGAACACGGTAGGTCGGGATCGTGCTGCTAACGGCGTTGAACCAGCCCTGGTCCGCAGTCCACCACGACTGGTGCGCACCACGCCTGAGGGGAGAGCTCATCCTGTTCACACGAGCAATGCGGTCGGCCGCTGATCCGGGGACGTAAACGAGCTCCTGGTCTCCGCGACGAGCAGTCGAGGGGTCATCAACGGAGCGCATGCGGTGGAGAGCTGGAAGAGGGACGAAGTTCGGCAAAGGCGTCGGTGTCGGCAGCGGCGTAGAGGTGGCAGTCTGGTGGTGCGTACCCGGCACATCGGGGGGAGGGCCCGTAATCTGAGGTCAGCTCGTGATCCTAGGAGGCTTGTAGCTGCTACTTCTTTATGGCCATCTCGTTCTCCAAGCCTGCTGACAATCCAACTGAATAGCCGATGATTCGGCTCCTGATGGTGGAGGGAAGGCCAGTGATCGTGGGGAAGACACCGATACTCACAAGGCCTCGCTCGAGACGCAGCCTGCGCGCCGCGGTCGCCGTCGGCAGCCTCGAAACGCGTTGAGAGAGCATGTCGTTGAGTGGTGGAAAGGAGTGTTACAGACGTTGGACACTTGCTACACTCTCGCCCATCTAACAATGTATTGCAGCAGCTTGTCCTGGTTGCCGCGACATGCACTGGCATGCTCCGAGGTCGCTCGCGGCGGGGCATGCATGATGCATCGCTGCCAAGGGGGTATGCTCCGCCCGGCTCGGAGCATGCCCGATCACGTGCCCCGTGGGGAACCTGGGGATGGCGGAGATGAGCGATCCTCCACCCCTGTCCTACGCCCTTATCAGTGGCCACTAAGATGCTGTGCATGCATGTGGTTGATCGTGCGACAGGGAGATCTTGATGCAAGTGACGACGGCGAGGGGCGGCTCCAACTGATACACTAGCGTTAACGAACCTGTGGCCAGGCCTCAACCACGACGGCCGTGCAGGCGGTGTCAAGCGAGGGAGCACGAGGAGCTGAGGAGCACAGAGGAATGCAAAGGCATTAGCCGTCCCGAGCGTCATGCTGCTGCGCTGCGTGTCCTCATTCTCATAGACTTTCAGTACCGATTGCAAGTTGACATGGAGCGTCGGCGACGGCGCCCCCGACGTTGTGAACATTAGATGCAGATTCATTGTTCTCTACACACGCTGTACAGACACCAGTCGGCAGGCGCGGTGGAGGCATAGATAGGTGGGAATGGCGTTAAGAGGGTGACAACTACGGAGCTCATACAATACAAGGTGTCAAGGGGCTGGGTATATGAAACAAAGGCTGAAGGCCAGATCGGGGATGAGGATGAGGGGCACGCATGCAACGTGCCGTGCAGACATGCAGGTGGGAGTGGCCGTGTGTGTGCACTGATGGATACGGCGAAAACGAGATTCTATGCTCGGGACGAGGTGGCGATCTCGGCTGGTCGACCGAGGGACCGAGGTTTACGACGACGCCCATGACGAGCTCCGCGGATGCCATGGCCAGATGAGATTGGCTGTCCAAAGCAGTATTCCAGCGACGATGAGGACGGTCAGGCTCGTGGCTCCAACTATGCGCCAAAGGCGGCGGGAGGAGCGGGGCTCTTCTATGCTCTCGTTGGCCTCGGCAAGTAGCGGAAGACGCTCGGGGTCGACCCAAGCACGGCTCGAGGGGTGCATGCTTGTCTCTTGAGGGCTGTGGCTGGCATCTTGGGTATGGACAGCAGCGAGGAGAGCACCGGGGTCGTCCGGCGGCGAGGGGGGTCGGAGCGATCGGAACGATCTGAGGAGAAGCTGGCGCGGGTACGAGAGCGACGCGACGGTGGCAGGATATGGTGCGTCGGTCTAAGCGAGGTCATCATCCGTCCCCCTTGGCCGGGGGACGAAGGCGAGAGGCGACGATGCGTGCGGGGTGGCGACGACGGCGCAAAGGTGACTGGCATTTGACAGGCAACGATGGGTTGATGGATGTGAGATGACGAGAAAGAAGACAGGGATGGCCCGAGATAAATGAACTCGGGAGGCGAGGTCACGAGCGAGGCGAGGGGAGATTTAGCGTATGGGAGTGGTGGACGAATAGCGCAGAGTGGATAATGAGATAGGGACGGGGTGTTTGGTTCTGTGGCTCTATGGGATGCTGGGACGCTGGGAGGAGTGATGACGTCTGCGAGCCGAGAGCGGTAGGCTGCAGGCTGGGAGTTGTGTGTCGCAGATCTGATGGCTGCTGGGTCGACGTGCTCTGCGATAAGCGCGGGCGTGCGGGGCTAGCAGGGATGCAGGAATGGGACTAAGGTCTGCGTGACAAGTGAGTGTGAGAAGGCCGGATGAAGTGCATGGTGAATGCTAGGCTGAAAGCAAAGTGGTGTGACATGGCATGCGCGAATGCTGCAGTGAATGCTGACCATGCTGTACCGTGGGAGGAATGGACAGCTGGAAGTGAGCACATGAGTCTTGCCGAAGTATGACGCCTGGGCATGCTGCAAAAAGCCTGTCTGGCGGTCGCTGGCAGATGGCGAGCAGGCGACGTGCAGGAGTGCATCGACGAGCGAGCGATACAGAGGAGAGGCCGATCGGTGTTGAATTGGGTCAACAGGTGTTGCGTCTCAGCTGATGCATGGGCCCCTGACACCGAGCGAGCGAGGCCCAGGCCCCCACTGCACAGATTCAAACCCGGGACTCCAGGCACGTTTTTCCAAAACTGCATTCAGCCAGATTAGAGCATGTCCCACCATAGGGCCTGGCTGCGCATAGCACCACCGCACGCACCGCCAGCCATACCAGCACCACCGTAGCGGGCACCTAAGCGTCGAAGTATCGGCGCCACGGACGGAAGCAAATCCGGCGGTATAAAGTCATTCGCCCTCCCACGTTTGCTGGCTGTTTGGACCCTTAGCAGTGCTGGTAGAGAGACCGACCGAAGGACCCAGGTGAAAGCGGACAGCGGACGGCGACCAGGGGGCGAACACGCTGACACGCCAGACCATGCGCGGCGCCTGGCACTGGCTCGTCCACGGCATCCTCATTGCTGTTTCTCTTTTTCTTCTCTTTCCCAACAACACCGAACCAAAACAAGTTCATCAACCAGCAAAAATGTCCGTCAACGAGCAGACCTACATCATGATTAAGTGCGTACACACAGAACAGAACCACCTAGCATGCTTCTGCGGCTTCTCAAGAACCGTACATCGCAGCAGGGTCCTTCCAAAATATTCTCGATCGCTGACATTTTCTTTCAACGTCATACTCGAATCCTTCCACGCTTTGCAACCCTCGCTTGCCATCAACCTTTCCTACTGACTTCTCATGATCTAACTATCCAGGCCTGACGGCGTCCAGCGCGGGTGAGTACGGCGTCGACGTGGAGTGGAGGGTGCGAAAAGGGCCCGTGCTGATCCCGCAGTCTCGTCGGTGAGATCATCGGCCGCTTCGAGAAGCGTGGCTTCAAGCTCGTTGCCCTCAAGCTCAACCAGCCCTCCAAGGAGCAGCTTGAGAAGCACTACGCCGACCTCAAGGACAAGCCCTTCTTCCCCTCGCTCATCAAGTACAGTGAGTATCTATTTCAGGAGTTCCGTCAGCCTCCACCGGATGTCGATCATTTCTTCCATCGACCGACTTTCTATGTCGTCCAACACCCTATCTCATCGCCTAAACTCCCTCTTTCAACCCAGTAGCAGTTCAGCTAACATCCAGTGCTCTCCGGCCCCGTCGTCTGCATGGTTTGGGAGGGTCTTGACGCTGTCAAGACTGGACGCGCCATGCTTGGTGCTACCAACCCCCTCGCCTCTGCTCCTGGAACCATTCGCGGCGACTACGCACTTCAAACTGGAGCTAACGTTTGTGAGTACGCGCGAAACGAGCGCAAAAATGCGATTCTGGAGGTGTGAAAGGTGTAGAAAAGTCGTAGAGAAAGATTGGGAGGTGTAGGACGAGTGTGGCACCGGCAAAGAGCCACACCTCCACTTTTCTTTCTGCGCTATTTTGCGCCCCTCCTGCGCCCTTCTGCGCCCCTCCTGCCCTGCGGTTCCTGAACATCGCGCTAACGACGCCCCCAGGCCACGGCTCCGACTCTGTCGAGAACGGCCAGAAGGAGATTGCTCTCTGGTTCCCCGAGGGCATCTCGCAGTACAAGCTCTCGTCTGCCGACTGGGTTTACGAGCAGTAAACGGCTCGCCTGCTGCTAGGACATGAGACTATGAGTTATGCATTCTGTCTCATACCATGACGTTGTGCATGCGGCCGCGCGTGTATCGATGATGCGCGCCCGCAGTATGTGTGATGGACCTATGGAAGCGATGGAGATCGGGCCAGAGTCCGATGCCAAGAGACGCCAGCTGGTGAACTTTTTTCGCCTGTGCCTGAGTGTCCCTTGCCCTTGCTCGGCTCGGTCGGCCAGCCCGCTCCGCGCGCTCCGCCATGTGGCCATATGGTCCAATTTCGGCCTGCTCCGTCGCTCGGGGGCTCCCCAAACCTTGCTCCCGTATATCCTGATCTCTCGAGTCAGCGCTCGTCATGCTCAGTCAGCAGAACAGGCTTGCCCACTGACTGCCCGCCGTTTGAGTCGTCAGATCAGGCTGAGATGAGGAATCCAGCAAAGGTAGAAGTGAGCAATGGGAGTGCGGCGCCGTTGCTCGGCCAGGACAGCCTGCCTGCCTGACTGGGCGTGTGCGGGGTACAGGGCGGTCTCCCTTACCGGCAAGCCCCAGGGCGCGCGGCGCGGGCTTGGCTCTAGAGTTTTGTGAGACGTAACTCCACTCGCGGCGACTTTGCTCTGGCTCGGGTAGATCGGCTCAAGGTTTCTGGATGCATGATTTCTGCACGACGCGCCACCACACTGCTTCCTTCTCCCTTTCGCCCACTCCTCGTTTCTTGTTCTTTGTGCTTTTCACTTTCTCAATTTTCGGTTTCTTGTGGTATTTTTGTGTCAAACCTCCCCGCGGCTCTTCGTCGAACGCCACCGCCCGCCTCTCCCGACTTCAATCACAGTACCGACCTTTGGCCTAGCGACATTCAACACACTAGTTCTGAACGATCTGCCCAGTGGTGGCTAGCATGGCAGACGAGCGCGTACCGAGCGACATCGAGGCCCGCGCGGGCCTGACGGCGCCCCCGGAGACCCCAGTGACGGCCTCTGAAACGACGGCAGCGAGTGCGGCGAGCGTCGCGAGCGACAAGGAGAAACCCCTCGACGGCAAGGGCAAGAAGGAGAAGAAGAAGGAGCGCGGTCTGACGGCAGGCGATTCTGGTGCGTACTGCGTCTCTGGTGGTCTGCATGCGGTCAAGGGCTGTGGTGGAGTGTTGTTGCGCCGTTGGGCGAAGATTTCGGTTTTGCCGCGCCGCCCGCCTGGGCCAGATCAGCAGGTACAGCTATGCGCAAATGCGTCGGATCAAGCCGACTCGCTTTGGTCAGCTGCTCTGTGCGCTGTTGTTGGTGCCCGTTTGGAAGTGGGGACCCAGTGCCCCACGGAGCACGACGCAATGCAGGGCTCGACTGGCCCAAGCGTGATGGTCCCGTCGGCGTCAGCACTGCAGGAATGAAGTCGGCGCCGGGCGTGACAGAAGAACGTCGATGATAATCGCCGGACATCTTGCTGACGAAATAGAGCTCGAGGAACTGCCGAACAACAACCTGCTTCTGGTCGTGCCCTGCCTTGGACTGGTGCTCTTCCTGGCCGCGCTCGACCAGACCATCATCGCGACGGCTCTGCCCATCATCGCGTCCAAGTTCAACGCCACGCCCTCCGAGTACTCCTGGGTCATCACCTCTTACCAGCTGGCAATGACGCTCCTGACGCCCGTGAACGGGCGTGTGTCGGACATTATCGGGCGGAAACCTATCCTCTACGCCGCGATTGTCGTCTTCACCGTGTTCAGTGCGCTCTGCGGCGCGGCCAAGAGCATGAAGTGGCTAATCATTGCGCGCGCGTTCCAAGGCTTGGGCGGCGGAAGCATCATCGGGATGACGTCCATTGTCATTTCGGACATTGTCCCCCTCGAGAAGCGTGGCAAGTACCAGGGTATCATGGGCGCGAGCTGGGGCGTGGCTGCCGTTGTTGGCCCGCTGCTCGGCGGCGCGCTGACGGACCGCGTCTCGTGGCGCTGGTGCTTCTACATCAACCTGCCGACTTGCGGCGTCGCCTTCATCCTGCTCGCGCTCACGCTCAAGCTCAACCCGACACGCAAGATGACATGGCCCATGTTCATGCGCACGTTCGACTTCCTCGGCATGGCGCTCATCATGGCCGGCGGAGCGTGTCTCATCGTCGGCTTCTCCTTTGCGGCCGACTATGGCTTCGGCCGCCCCTCGGCCTATGCGCTGATTACCGTTGGCGGCGTGCTCTTCTTCGCCGGCATCGCCAACTGCCTCTTCACGAAACGCAATGCCGTCATCCCCACGCGCGCGTTCAAGGTCCGCACGACGCTCTTCTTCATGATCGCGTCCACGCTCCATGCCGCCGCGTTCATTCCGACCAATGTCGTGCTGCCTCAGTTCTTCCAGGGCGTGCATGGCGCCGATGCGCTGCAGAGCGGTATCCAGCTGCTTCCCTATGCCATCTTCGTGTCTTGGTCGACGGTCGTCGCGGGTCAGATCCAGAGTCGTCTGCGCATTGTTAGGCCCGTGCCGTGGGTCGGATACGCGATCGGTATCCTCGGATACGGGCTCATGGTCGCGTACTTTAACTACGACATCCCGCTATCAAGGCAGTACGGCCTGCTCATCATTCCTGCTGTCGGCGTCGGATTGTCGCTCCAGTCTCCGCTTCTGATCTTGCAGGCCGCGATGCCGCTGAAGGACATGGCGGCGGTGACGAGTGCGTGGGTGCTGACCCGATCTTTGGGCGGCTCGATTGGTATCTCGCTCTACACCTCGGTCTTCAACGTCGTCCTGCGACACAAATTTGGTGCCCTGGACCCGCCGTATCCTCCCCCCATCACTGCCGAGGGGTACCAGGCCATGAACCAGCTACCCGACGGACAGGAGAAGACAGATGTGCACCGCGCCTTTGCCGACTCGTTCAAGCCCGTCTGGATCATTGCGCTCGGTCTCCTCGCAGTGTGTCTCGTCATCACGCTTCCGACGAAGAGCTATTCGCTCGACCGTCCGCGCGGTGCGGCGGCCAAGGCCGAGGCGGGCGTTGCGGCGACTGGAGCCGAGGGTTCGCCAACCGAGGCCATCGCCGAGGCGGACGGCAGCATCCCGATCGGAGAGAACGGGCATGTCAAGGCGGTGATTGACGAGAATCTGCCCCAGGACAGCGAGTACGTCCTGAAGCGGGAGGAGGCGGCGGAGAGGGGCGAGCCCGAGCTGGGACAGTTTGACGAGAAGACTGCCCCGGTGGGGGTGTATGATGAGAAGAAGGTATAGAGACAACTTAGAACATCCAGGGAAACCATACAGCGCGTATAATAATGCATATTGGGTCATTCGCACGTCAGCTACTGACTCAACTGACTCCGCGGGGCGCAGAGGGCGGCGAGGGGCGCAACACGACTTATCCCCCACGGCATCGCCATTCCTCCCAACACCGTCGCTCAGCGGGCAGTAGGGCATGTAGGCAAGGTCAGGACAAAGCCGCCCCTCTTAGGTCTTCCCGGGCTGGGAGGGCGCTGTCGCGCGTCCTCCCTCGCTCCGCACCTCAAGCGGGGGTTGACGACAGTCATTCGCGTGTTCGAATCACGCCATGCTCAGCTTTTTCATCGCTGCCGGCGCTGCCAGGCGCTGCAGAGGACGTGGGCTAGGTCTGGAGCAGTGTGTGGATGGTCTGGAACGGCCTGGAGCCAGGGAGCCGAGGAGAACGAGCGGAGGAGTGTGGGCGAAGAGGGCGCACTCCGGCGACACTAGCCCCTGCGCCCTTTACGCCCCAACTGGCCCCGAATGCTTCTCGAGGAAGACAGATTAGTAACTCTGCGCCTGTGCGTGCTCCAGAACTCAAAGACTAGAACAAAGTGGTACATATGCAACAATGAAAGTAATGCTAAAGGAACAAAATGATTATCTAAGTCTACTTCCTTCGGGAGCGCCTGACACGACGCTGCTCTTCTCTCTCTCTTCGCTGCTCATCAGCACGGGCCTGGAGGTTGGCCGTCGCGTGCGCACGCAGCTCGTCGAGTCCGGCAAGGAACGAGACGAGGTCGTCCATCTCGAGTGACCGGATCGCATCCGTGTGCCGCAACGTCTCGGTAACGAGACCAAGTACGTGCGTCTGCGTCTCCGACCTGCGCGGGGTATCGGGCGAAGGAGGCGCTTCGGGGGAAGGCGACGGCGCAGCCTGGCTCCGCTGGCGCGTGACTCGGCGAGTCGGGACGGGTGTAACATCGCCAGGCGCGTCGTCAAACTTGCCGCTCGTACTCTGCTCGGACTGCTGCTGGGTTGGCTCAAGTTCGGGCTCGGGTTGAGCTTCCTGTTGCGAACGAGCGCGGCGCAATCGGCGTCGCTCGCGCGCCGTCAGCGACGACTCGTCCACCTCCTCCTCGGCCTTGGACGACGCCTGGCTCTGAGGCGTCTCGGATCGCGTGTTGCGCTCAGAGCGCCGGCGTCGCTTAGACGGGCGGTTGCTCGATTCCACTTCTTGCTGACGCTTGCGACGGGCCGCGGACCGGGTGATAGCTGGCGCCGCATCAACGTCGTCTTGTTGTTGAGTGTCAACCTGAGTCGGCTCCAGTTCGGGCTCGGGCTCCTCCGCCGGGGCGGGAAAGGCAGCCTTCTCAGGCGGCAGCTCGACAATCTCCAGCTCTGGAGAAAGGATGGAGACCTCGGGCTCAGGCTGAGGCTCGGGTTCCGGCTCCGGTTCCTGGATGCGCACACGCTCAGAGCGCCTCGACTTCTTACGTCGGTGCGTCTTTGTGTGCAAAGGGGAAGGTTCAGGGGAATGGTCAGACTCGCCAGGCGAGGCAGCAACAAGCACGTTCGGAGCCGAGGCAGACCTGTTATGCGCCTCGCTCGTGTCGTGACCAGCAGCGAACAATGATCCGAGGCTGGGCACCTTACGCAACCAGCGGCTGGCGGACGCGAAGAAGGTCTCTGGGCGCTGCGCGCTGGACGACGAGGGCGGGAAAGGTCTGTCGTCCGAGTTGCCGTTGTCCTCGATCTCCGTTTCGGCGATGACAGTGTCGTTGGGGTTCGGGCCCGGCGAAGTTGAAAGCAGCTCCGACGAGGGAGAAGCGGACCGAACTGAGTCGGACGACGACACTTCCCGGACCGACCGGGACTTGCCTTTACGTGCATTCTTGCGGCTACGCGTCTTCCGCTTGGGCCCAAATACGTCTGTCGAAGCTGGCACCTCCGTCCTCTCGGTCTTCTCAGCAAGAGGCGTCGATTGAGGGACAATCTCACTACGACGCCGCTTCTTAGATGACGACTGCTGAGACTGGGAGACATCCGCGTCGTAGTCGGCAGACGTCTGAATGACATTCGGTTCGTCAGCGGACGCCGAAGGAACGGGCTCCTCGACCGCGGGGGCGTCCTCGACATCAGGTAGCGCAGGCTCGAAAGCCGACTCCTGAGTGTCTTCCTGGGTCTGAGATTCCTCGCTGGTGGACAGGCCGTTAGCCGTGATGAAGGTCTTGTCGACGTCGCGGAGGCTGTGAAGGAAGCCAGCGACGTCGTCGGAGAAGTCCAGTCCGGGAACACCTTGGAAAGTGCGCTTCCAGAAGTCCTGGAAAGCCGCAGGCACCTCGGGCGACTCGGTTCGGCCAAGACGGGGTGCGTACTGGTCGATGTACGAGTTCATGGTGGCACTAGACCTCTCGATGTCACCGTTCTCGATGGCACGAGCGAGCGCAGAAACAATGGCGACGTAAAGATCGTCTAGAGACGCGGCCAAGATTCCAGTAGCGTTCTCGGAAGCGTCGGTCATCCACTTCTCTAGAGCCGGGCGGAGAGGCTCGAGGACGTCGACAGTGTTGTTCGGGCGGAGCGAGCGGAACAACTGGATGAGCTGCTGAACGATTTCGTCGACTCCTTCGGACGGGTGAGTGCCACATTCGTAAGCAGCGTCGAGACAGTTGGCGAGGAGGGTCAGCCAGTCGGTCGGCACATAGTTCTCGTTGATGCTGTAGTGAGAGGAGTGGTAGTGCTCCGGCTGCACGAAAGAGATCCAGCCCGTAGCGACTGCGAGGCAGTGGAGAGTGGTCTCCGAGGCCATGCGCGCCTTGGTGCGGGCGCCTGTGCCAGGCCCGTTCTCGTCGTCGATGCTGATAAAGTCCTCGATGTGCGCAGCCAGCGTCTCCAGAACGCCAAAGTTTGAGCCTGCGCGCTTGGCGCGGAAGCGGAGCACGGTGACGCGTAGCAGCTCGTCCCAAGCCGCGCGAATGTCGGTGGAACGTTCAATGTACCAGATCGAGTCGGCGTTGCGATTGCGGAAAGGACCAGAGAGCAGGCTGACGAGAAGCGCGCCAGTGTGATTCGTAGTGCTGGCCGAGTCCGAGGGGCTGAGGTCGATCGTGGAAGCCCAGTTCTGCGCGAGCATACGCCAGACGTCCAGTTGCGTCTGCTCCTGCGCCTCGAAGATCCAAGGCATGGCATTGCTGACCTCGCCGAGCAAGCGGGTTCCACTAGAAGCTCCAGTGCGAAGCAGAGTGCCGACGAGCTGCTGGAGCAGGTCGTTGACCTTGACGTCAAGCGGGAAGGAGAAGTCGGACTGGCGAAGGACCTGGTGCAAGACAATCGACACAAAGGTAGTCGTTCCAAAGTCCTCCGTAATCTGCGACTCATCGGCGTTCAACGGGCTCGAATCCAGACGGGTGCTTCCCAGAGCGGTGGCACCAAGGACCTCGACAGCGACGTCCACGAGGTGAACAGCAATGCCAAGACGAATCGCATCCGTGTTGAGAGTCGACTTGCCTTCCTCGTTCAGCAGACAGACGGGGATGTAGACGGCGGGATCGGACTGCATGACGGACACGATCTGCTGAGCAGCGACTTGCAGGCCGCAGACGAACAGCGGTGTAGGTCCACCGTCGGGAAGGGTCGAGGAGGCGATACCCTGCATGAGGTTTCGCCAAACGTTGGAGAGTGTCATCGGCAAGAGGACAACACCCTCAGCGTTGGTCACCCACTGAACAGCGCTGAGCTCGCTGATGCCACGGATGCCGTTGAAAGCCTCCTGGAAGAGGGACATGAGCTTGCCGAGACGCTTCGCAACCCAGACTCGTCCCCAGCCTGGGATTTCGGAAGCAGCGATACGCTCCTTCTCGAACTGGGCGATTGTCTCGGGCAAGACCTTATCCATCCCTATGACATCCCCGGCCAAGTATCGCTCGCAGAGGAGGCGGTCGAGGGCCTTCGCCTTGCCTTCGGCAGCAGTGACGGCTTGGAAGATCTCCCATCCGGCGTTCTTCAGGCGATCGACACCGCGAATAGCGAAGAACTGCTGCAGCGTCGGCATGAGGACGAGGTCGAACGTGCGGTCGAGTCGGTCAAAGTTGGGAAGGCGGCGTTCTTCAGGTGTCATCTCTGCAACAGCGCCGTCGGAGGAAGGCATGCCAGAGATCTTCGAGAGCTCTTTCGCAGATGGGTCCTGGTGGTTGAGGGCAACGACAGAGTACGCGTAGACCACGGCCGGAGCAGTGAGGCCAGTGGTAACCATCCAAGCGAACTTCTTCGACTTCTCAGCGCGCTGCCACGATCCGCGGACTTCGCCGTTGAACTCGGCGCAAGGGGCATACGAGAAACTGACGTTCCCGTCTCCGTTAGCCTGCTCGAGGGCGAATTGAACAGGCAAGGAGATTGTCTTGACGCGCGCGGTCGAGTCCTGAGCCGCCGACCCGATGAACGGGTTGTAGGAACGGATCAGACGCCCCTCCTCCGACACAGAGGTAGATGAGCCCGCCATGAGGTAGGCGTAGATAGCATGCTGCCAAGCTGTGGCGGCCAGGGTTGGGCGAGTAGGGTTGGTCGAAGGACGCATCGAGCGGTCCATGATGTGCTCGATCAGAGGGGCCAGCGAGCACGCGTTGTACTCTTGTCCGAGCAGGGTAACGAGCAGCGCCCACGTCGTACACGCCCAAGCAACCTGGTCAGCCGAGCCAACTGTCTGCCTGAACGTCGTCTCGATGGGCATCCACTCGTTGCGCTTCTCGCCTGCCGTGTACGTCCTCATCGATGACTTCAGGAACGAGGAGGTCCACGCTTCGCTCTTCGAGATTGCCTGGCGTTTCGTCTTGCGCTCGTGCGCATCGATCGGTCCGCGACCCAGGATCTGATCAGCTTCCTCAGCTAGCCGTTGTTTAGCGTAGATGACGGCGGCAAGGGTAGCAGCCGCACACTTGCGCAGGGCCACAATGGGGCTCGCAAGGGCCCGGAGACACGGGGGGAGAAGTTGAGGATAAGAAAGGAAGAAAGTGGAAGGATACATCCGCAGGAGGTTTGCCCAAGCATTGAACGCCTCCTTGCGAATGGGCGATGGGTCCTTCAGGGGGAAGGACCCGGTGCCGATCGTAACCAGGCCAGCCTCGATAGCAGCGGCGATCTTCTGCTGCGAGCGCTGCACCATGGACGTCGCGAGGCGCAGATGCGACAGTACGATCATTGCGAGTGTGTATGTCCGCTTCGGGCTCGGCGTCGGCAGCGTTGGCGATTTCGGAATAACAAGCACGAGGTCCAGCAGTGACTCGAGGTCAACCTCGCTGAAGCCGTGGAACAGTCGAGGAGAGTTGAAGATACAGGCGAGGAACCGGAGCACGGCGCATCCGACATCAGCTGATTCACGTCGATACCGCACTTCAGATTCGGTGTATCCCCGTCGCGGCGTCTGATCGGGTGACGGTAACCGTTTTCGCGGAGAGTTGTTCGAAGACGATGGCGGCCGGAACGGGGAGGACACGGCGTCGGTCTCGGCGCTGGGCACCTTGCCCATGAGACGCTGCAGATCACGCTGCATGGCGCGGACCATGGCAGGAGCTTCCTCGAGAATAGGGTGGCAGACCAGGTTGAAGGCGGTATCCTGGGCCGCAGTCGGCGGTCCCATGTCGTACAGCGTTTCTCGTAATCTCATCGTCAACGTGTTGTACGCCTCCTCAAGAGTGAGCAGGTCTTCCGTTCCGTCGAGGATGACGCCGACAAGTGATGTCGGATGCAGGCACTCAACCTCTTCTTCCTCCTCGTCATCTGAGGCGTCGTCCATCGGATCACTGGGGTTCGCAATGTTTGGCTCGTCTGAGGCAGGGTCGTCGTCCGAGGAAGGCGGGGCGCCTTGCACGTCGGAGGAGTCGCAGACTTGAGCGAGTATCGTCGTATCCTTCGGCATCCGTCTCGGCTTGTTGCCGGAAACGACTAATCGTGCCGGCTCGCGGTTGCCCCAAGTGCCTTCGCGGACAGATTTGGCCAGCCGGATCTGATGTTTGTTGGTCATTTTGAGGATGCCCCGCGTCGGCGTAGCTTTCGCACGCTGGCACGGCGAGGAAGATCCAGCGACGGGCGAGCTGCACCCAGCTGCAGAAGGTGGATCGGAGCCCAAGACGTCGTTGATTCGGAAAAGTTTTGTCTTGTTGTGTTGAGAGAAAGTGACACGGCCGCTGGGTGTGGATGGGGGAGCTGAGTGTTAGCGTGTGCCATGAGGCTGCGCCCGGCGATCCGGTGGGTCAAGTGACTTACCGACTGTCCTGCTGGCGCGGAGAACGACAGCGTCAAACTTGCTCCTGCCGCCTGATGTGGGTGTCATCATCGCCTTCGAAGACGAGGCCGGAGTATCGACGACAACAACACCTGATCGTCTCGTGGACGGCGTCATTGTCGCCGGCGAAGGTTTGATAGCAGGCGGTGAGGGCGAAAGGCTGGCTCGACTCAGCCGGTGCTTGGTGTCTCGTGAGGTATTCTAGATCGGAGTAGCGTTTGGTGCAGACGGCAGCGGCAGAGTAGAGTGTGTGTTTGTGTATGTGTGTAAAGGTTGTAAGGTCTGGACAGATGGATGGGCAGAAGAGGTTGCAGGCAGCGACAATTGGTTGGGCGAGAGAGGATGGCGCGTCAGGCCTTGCACTGAAATGAGCAGTGGTGCGCCGCGCCTGGCGTTCAGGACGCGTCCAGCCCTCCGTTATCAAAATCAAAAATGACGTGGTAGGTGAACAGATCGCCGTTTCTCCCCTGTAACAGAAGCTGGAAGCACAGAACTCGGCATGTAGCATGAACAAGGTGATACTAAGCTATATGTGCATGCATGTGTTGAGACGATACCAATCTGGTAGCGAACGCACGGTCGAGCACCTGACTCGAAGATGGACATGAACATTACGCAGGACGCGTTAGCCAGGCACGGCAGAGATGGCTGCTCTAACAACACCCTGAGCACTCGCGGCAGTAATAGGCCTGCGAACGCCACGTGGAAACAAGGCTCCCATAAAGCCACGCCTGCCTAGCGGCGATGACCGACATTCGGTGTCGCAGGCAGGCGCATGGCGCAGGAGCTGGCGCAGACGACTCGGCAGCGTGTGGTGAGGTCTTTAACCGGGTTTCAACGCTGCGTTGGCCCGGTGGTGTCATTGTAAATCTCGGGACTCGGAAACTTGCCGTTGCTCATTACTCCTTGAAAACAATCCACCCCGACCATGCCCAACTCACGAGATGTCGGCCGCGTCGTCATGGATGGTGAGTTTGTGTGCTCGCGGTGTGTGCGTTGCGCGCAAGTCTAGGATCTCGCACCAGTGTATCCGGCACATTAGCTCCATGACTTTCCGCAACTGCACCGAGCAACGAAAGACCGAGATGTAAGAGAAACGGGCGCTGACGTCTCCCGCAGTGGCGTTCTTCGCCGCGTCTCAGGTCGCGCTGTACTATGCGCTCCGCTACGTGCTGAGCTCACTAGCGGACAGCCCCGGAGCGAGCAAGAAGCAGAAGGAGAAGGGCGAGAGCCTGCTGAGCCAGACGGGGCTGTCGAAGGAGCAGCTGGCCGCGCTCGAGCTGGACGAGTACGAGGCGACGATTGCGGGCGAGATCATTCCCCCGAATGCCATCGACACGACGTTTGAGTCCATCGGCGGCCTCGATGAGATCATCTCCTCGCTCCGCGAGACTGTCATCTACCCCCTGACGTACCCCGAGCTCTTTGCCGCCGGCGGCAGCCTGCTCAGCGCCCCGCGCGGAGTGCTTCTGTACGGACACCCCGGATGCGGAAAGACGATGCTGGCCAAGGCGCTTGCGAAGGAGAGCGGAGCGACGTTCATCAACCTTCCCCTCTCGTCGCTGACAAGCAAGTGGTTCGGAGAGAGCAACAAGCTTGTGAACGGTCTCTTCTCCCTTGCGCGCAAGGTGCAGCCGTCAATCGTGAGTACCTCGAAGTTTGCCACTCGTGGCATCGGTTACATGAGCTTTTGTCCTAACAAACCACAGATCTTCATTGACGAGATTGATTCTCTGTTCCGGGAGCGTTCCGGCGCCGACCACGAGGTGACCGGCATGCTGAAGGCCGAGTTCATGACGCTGTGGGACGGACTGACGTCTGGCACCGACCGCATCCTGGTGCTGGGCGCGACGAATCGGCCGAACGATATTGACCCGGCGATTCTGCGCCGCATGCCGAAGCGGTTCGCGATCCGGCTGCCGAACCTAGAGCAGCGGAAGAAGATTCTCGGCCTGATGCTGTCGCACACCAAGCTGGCCGAGGGCTTCAGCATCGACGAGCTCGCGCGCCGCACCGACGGCCTCTCGGGCAGCGACCTGAAGGAGACGTGCCGCAACGCTGCCATGGTGCCCGTTCGCGAGTTTATGCGCGAGAAGGGCAAGAACGGCAAGGACGGTCTCGAGGCCGCGCGCCGCGAGGGATTCAAGGTCCGTCCTCTCGCGCTGGAGGATTTCCAGATCCACAACTCGCACGCGTACGCGTACGTCGACCCGAGCAAACATGCCCACACTGCCGCGTTTGTCGAGCCCGTCGACTAGATATTCCACTCCTTTTATAATAGAGCATACCCCACCCCCACCATCCAGCATAGATGAACCCATATGCATCCTGACTGTACCCCTATGCCTGATCCCGTTATGTACAACACAATGCAATACAACCCTAGTCGTCCCGCCACGCCACCTCGCCACGGGACCAGCGCTCCGCCCAAATGTTCCGCTTGTGGTACGTCTTGCGCGCGGCCTTGAACTCGTTGATGAACTCGTCCAGCGACTGGTTGCGTGACTGGGTGTCAGCTACGATCCGAAGACTCCAACAGCTGGCCTTGCGGGCTCCAGCATACCTCACGTTACTTACAGATGTTCCATCCTCGTGTCCAGGTGCGGGCGAGTCGACCCTTGACGCTGTTCCCGATCCCGCAGCACCGCCATCAATGAACGCAGACGCAATCTTCTCGCTCGTGTCGTCCTGCGCTGTGATGCTGTGCTTCAGGCGCAGGTGCAGGAATGACGGGCGTTGCCGCTGTCTGTTAGCTAAAAAACGGAGCCGCGATAGCTCATCGGAAGGGTCGAACGTACCTGGTACAGCCCCTGCTGCGCCTTGTCGATCTCTGCCCAGTGCGCCTTCAGCGCCTCGGCGTGGGAGTAGCTCTGTGCGGTCGCATCTCGCAGCGCCAGCAGCTCGTCTTGCAGCGCCAAGTTCTTCTCTGTTGCTTGTCAGCTCAAATTCGAGTCCCCATCCAGCTGAGAATCCTGGGTGACGTGCTTGTGGCGTACTACTCACGAGCCAGCTCCTCGTTCTCCCGCCCCAGTCGCTCGACCTCGGACGACAGCTCCTGCACCTCGGGTAGCGTGAAGAGGAAGGCCTCAGTCAGCTGCGGCGAGGACAGCAGGTCCTTCAGAAAGGAGGGCGGATAAGACGCCAGTGATGGGAACTGCTGCAGGAGGGGCGTGGTCATGTCGCCGTAGTCGTCACGCTGCGCTGATCGCTAGCACAGCAGCAATGGAGGGAGGGCGATGTCGTTGTCCGGCTTTCGCCGCTTCAGTGTTCTGGAATCACCGGGAGAGTGCTGGTGGTATCGATGTCGGCGCGGCTCGCGCTCAGCTTGTTGCGACCGGGCGCCGTGCAGTGCGGGGTAACGTGGTCGCTTAGACGATGAATGCGCGGATGGCGGCGAGCTAAGCAAGGTGACTGGAGGAATGGACGAATGGAGGACGGATGGGGCGCTGAAGGGTTCGAGCAGTAGTGGGAGCGATCGTCAATGACGACACGCCGCGCGCACATGGGCTGACGGTCTTGGGTGGTGGTGGCTCGGGCCGACGCAGCGTACGGTGGCTTAACCGGGCCACCGCTCAGCATTCTGCCTGACGCCCGTTCAATACCGGACACAGCGGTCATTGCTGAATTCCCCTTTGCCTCCCGGCTTTTCATTCCTCCTACCCTCTTTCACCACCACCAACTCACTTGCATGATCCATGGCCGATAGCGACAGCCGCGACGACGTGCCCCCGGGCATCGACCCCAAGCTCTGGAACGACGACCACATCAATGAAGAGTGAGTCGCGTCTTTCCCGCCGGAACGGCAGACGCGCCGCCGTGGGATCACGGCCAAGGCTATTTACGACGATCCCTAGCGCTTTCCGGTGGAAACGCACGGCATGCTGGAGCTACTTTTCCGCGCACTAGCCTTGTTTGGTTCTGCATGTTCTTCGCGCCGCTGTGTGTTGCGCCTTCGCGATCAGTTCCAGTCTCAGCGACGATGGATCCAGGCATGCACGTCAGCTTCAGGTCGGACTCGGGCGCCACCGCCGCAGTGCCGCTTGGACAGTGGCGATGGAGATCCACCGTTTCACACGTTGGCCGCAGCTTCAGCATCGCCGCCCCAAAGCCGCCCACAGCCGCCAGAGCCGCATTCGGCACCACAGGCTGACATGCATCATCGATCGCAATAGCTGACCATCAGACATCTGGCCGCGTTTGCGCGCGCGCTCGACAGCTCGGACGTCGCCGGCGACGATGGAGGACCCATGTCCCCTCAGTCTCCTCGGAACGAGTGGGACGGCGGTGTCGAGAAGCTGACCGCTACGAGTGACTTTGCGGTGAGTCTGGGCTTGCACTGAGCTCCCTGCGCTTGATGACGAGAGCCACATGCTGACAACAAAGCCGATTCACTCGCGAGTTCGAAAGTGTGTACACAGCTTGTGCTCGACTACGTGGAGCTAACAACAGACGCCGAGCGAAGAATGCGCACAGCCTCGGCCTCACGTACCACCTCATCCGGTGGCCGCTACTTGTAAGCTTCTGAATCTCCCCCTTAGCTGACCCTAGGGCTTCCTCTTCCTGATCATCTGGCTCGAGTTCAGCATCTACGTTGTGACGCGGCAGTTCGTGAACCTGTTCGAGTGGCTCGTCGCCTGGCGGGGAATGAAGCGCAGTCTGCGGAAAAACCTTCGCAATGCGTCAACGTACCCGCAATGGGTCGAGGCGGCCTGCGAGATGGACGACTACATGGGCCTGAACGAGTGGAAGGAGTCGAATGACGACTCGTACTTTGACGCACAGCTGGTTCGGCGTGTGCGAGCCACTCTCTCTCGCCTGCGCGCCGCCAAGGACACCCGCGGCCTCATGGAGGCCCTCGCGGTCTGCGTGCGCCCCAACTTTGCCGGAACCGAGAACGCAAAAATGTACTCCGAGACGTTCTACGGAACGAAGCGGCTCGTCGAAGCGCACGTGCAGGAGGTCGCGGCGTGCCTAGACTTTGTCCGGCAGGCAACCGACGTCAGTCTCGAGGAGAAGCGCGGCTTCTTCCGCGGCATCAACAAGAACTACGGCTCGTCGGCGCTCTGTCTCTCCGGCGGGGCCTGCATGGGATACTATGTAAGTCCCAGCTGCCGTGGACCCGACGACTATAGCTGACTTTCAGCACTTTGGCGTGATTCGCGGATTCCTCGATGCGGACCTGCTCCCCCGTGTCGTGACGGGCACGAGTGCGGGCGGCCTGATCGCCGCGCTGGTGTGCACGCACACGAATGCGGAGCTGAAGCAGCTGATCCGCCCCGAGCTCGCGGACAAGATCACGGCGTGCGAAGACCCGTTCTCGACCTGGGTGCGGCGATGGTGGAAGACTGGCGCTCGTTTCTCCGCCGTCGAGTGGGCGCGCAAGGCCATGTTCTTCACGCACGGCAGCATGACGTTCAAGGAGGCGTATGAGCGGACCGGCCGCGCGCTTAATGTGTCCGTAGTGCCCGCGGATCGCTATTCGCCCACGATTCTGCTGAACCATCTGACCGCGCCAAACTGCACGATCTGGAGCGCTATCATTGCCTCCGCCGCTGTCCCCGGTATTCTGAATCCAGTCGTGCTCATGAGCAAGTCGCGCGACGGGACGTTGAAGCCGCACAACCTCGGTGGCAGCCGCTTCAAGGACGGCAGCTTACGCGAGGACATTCCCCTCGGCAGTCTGCACACGCAGTTCAACTGCAACTTCTCGATCGTGAGCCAGACGAACCCGCACATCCACCTGTTCTTCTTCGCTCCGCGCGGCAAGGTCGGGCGTCCCGTAGCCCACCGCAAGGGCAAGGGCTGGCGTGGCGGCTTCATCCTCTCCGCGCTCGAGAGCTACATCAAGCTCGACCTCAGCAAGCACTTCAAGGTGATCCGGGACCTGGACCTGATGCCACAGCTGCTGCAGAGTGACTGGAGCGGCGTGTTCCTGCAGCGTTTCAGCGGCGACCTGACCCTCACCCCGCGGTCGACGGTGCGCGACTGGTTCCACCTCCTCGACGACCCGGACCGGGCCCAGCTCGGGCGCATGATCAAGGTCGGGCAGCGCGTGACCTGGCCGGCCCTCCATATGGCCGGGAACAGGATGTTGATCGAACGCTCGATCCAAAGGGGACGGCAGGAGTGCCGCCTCGCGGCGAACCGCGACCGGCCGACGACGGACCAGACCGAACCAAGTACGCCGAGGGACAGGCTGCAGCTGCAGATCCCGATCGAGAGCGACGCGGACAACGCCATCCGCCTCCGCGAGCGCCAGAAGGAGCACCGGGAGCGGAACGGCTCGTCCCTCGTCCCCGGCGCTGGGGACGATAATGCAATCACAGTCAAGCGCAGGCGCGGCCGGCGCATTAGGGACCAGCTCGACCCGACCGTGCCGCACAACTCGAACCCGCCGCACAGCCATACACCCGTGCATAGCCGTAGCCAGTCCGTCTCGTCGCCGTTATCGCCGCGCCGGTTTGCGAACCCGTTCAACTTCTCTAGTTTCGCCAAGAGGCGCAACTCTCGCTCGACCATGAGCATTGCGCGCTGGTTTGCTGGCAGCTCCAGCGAGAGCGACTCGGACCTCCCCGACGACGACGACGACAGCGACCCCCTCGACATGGACTCGGGACAGGACGCGGCCGCTAACGACTACCCGTTCGACGAAGCTGTGAGCTCCCAAGTCGAGAGTGATGGGCCGGACGCAGACAGACAGCGCACGAGGGTGTCGCAGGATATATGATTGAAACCGCAAAGCAAAGCAAAGCATTCTTCTCAAGTTAAACAAACATAGAGCCAGTACCGTGCATGTATATCTATATGATTACAGTTTGTTGTTGTTGTTGTTGTTCGAATCCAAGTTCTCGAGACGCTGGATCTGGCTGTGGGTGTCAGTTGAGGTTGCCGGTCGTAGTAACTGCAATTCTCCGCCGACTCACTCGTCACGCTTCGCCGTCCTCCACCGGTGCAGCTGCGCCTCCTCGTGGACGCGGAAGCCAAAGATTTTAGGCTCGTAGCGCTCCGCCTTGAGCGCAGCGGCTGCAGACGAGACGCCACCAGGGCCGACGGGCTCGCGACGCATCTCGCGGTCAGACGACGGCTGGCCCTTGCTGGGGATCATCTGCGGGTACGCCATGAAGAGCATGTGAGGGAACGTCGTGCCAAAGTAGGCGCCGTCGATGGAGCCGTGTCGGTTCGACTTGGGCGAGTAAATGTCCTCGCATCGCGGGCAGTAGAGCTTGACGGCCTTCTGGTAGGGGATGTCCGTCAGTCCGACAGGGAGCAGGTTCTGTCCATAGCAGTAGACGCGCGGGCAGCGCCCGAAGTCGCCCTTCCTGTACTTGTCGAGCTGGGGTTAGCTCGCTGCAAAGGTATGTAGCTGGGTCGTACGAGGAAAACTCCAGACGGACGAAAGAAGGTAACGGCGTGTGTGCTGCGCCTTCCTTTGGCCCGTCTGCGGAACTGTGCCTTCCTCGCGCGCGGTTGTCAACACTCACCATCTTCTGCAGTCCTCGTGAAGTCACAATGTAACGAGCATGGATTAATCCGTACAGGAAGCGGGCAGACGTCTCGATCGATTCCCGGTGCGCGTCGTCCATGTCCTCGTCATCTGGGCGTCAGCTTCCGCAGGCTCCCGAAGCTCACCTAAACAGTCGGTGATCAGGTCCAGCGCGCGCTGATACTCCTGCACGACCTCGCCGTTCAGACCCGTCAGGTTGAAGCGGTCGAGGATGTAGTCCTCGTCGACCTCGGCAAAATATTCCTGAATGTTAGCTGAGAAGCGCACGTCGGGGTAGCTAGTGGCTTTCGATGATGATAGGGGCGTCGTTGCTAATGATGGTGAATCATCGGTGTCAACACCCAGCCTCGACAATGCTGTCTCGGGGGACGCATAGCAGCAGGTCGGGAGAAAGCCGGGCGTATTGACGACGCCGCCGAGCCACTGTGCAATGACGAGGAAGACAACACGGAGCCGTTATCGAGACTCGCCGCGAATGAGCCGACTTACATTGCCCTTTGTAGAAAGGAACCAAGAGATCCAACTGCGCGTGTTAGCTGACTGAGGAGGGTTGCTCGGCTTACGAGTTGTTGTAGTCGCTCTCCGACCCAGTGGAGAGGTCGTCCATGGTGGGAGGCTTGGATGATGGGGTGGTAGAGCTAGAGGAAAAAGGAAGGCAGACAGAGGGGATATGAGCAAGGAGGCGGCGGCAGTGTCGCGGTCGCAGGTCGCACGCAGCAGTGAGCGGCACAATGTCGGCTGTGTGCTACGGTGAGCGAAAGGTTTAGGCCCCGCTGCCCCTCACCCTGGCTGGCCATCCATCCGACTCCGCCCAGCCATGTCCACCACCCAGGCTCAGGGACAGACGTCCACCATACCAGCGTCATCGTCATTGCGATCAGACCACCGATTGCTCGCTGCATACAATCAACCACAACAACAAACAGCCATGTCCTCAACAGCTGGGCCGTCACGGTCCACCTCTGCTATCCATGGCACTGGATCTGGCATCAGGTCGCAGGGGCCCGGCAGCAACGCACCGACAAGCACAATGTCGAGCACCGCTGGCGACGCCCCATCCTCGGAATCGGGCGGACCAGACTTCGGCGTGCTGAAGGAGTTAGGCAAGGCCGCGCTCGTCGAGGTTCTGAACGACATTCCGGGCGCCAAGACGCTCGTCCTCGACTCTGCTTTAGCGGGTCCGCTCGGTCTGGTCGTGGACGTGGCTTCTCTGAAGGTATGCTGTTCCTCGGTGCTGTAGCTGACCTCAGCACCACGGCGTGGACAAGATGTTCTGGCTCGAGCCAGGCCCACTATCAGCGCCGACGAGAAATGTGGTCTACCTGACCCGACCGCGGCGATCGCATATATTGCTTATCGCACAGCAGGTGCGCGCGAACCCGGGACTGAATTACCACGTCCTCTGCGTGCCGCGGAGCACGGAACTCGTCCGCCGCGTCCTCGAGGACGAGGGGGTCAGCGGGGACGTCGAGCTGGGGCAGTTCAAGCTCGAGCTGATCCCCGTCGAGACAGATGTGCTGAGCATGGAGCTGGACGATGTGGCGCGGGACATCTTCATGCGCGGCGACGAGACGCCCATCTTCTACTCGGCCCTGGCGCTGAGCACGCTGCAGAGGGCAGTTGGACGGATTGACCGAGTCATCGCGAAAGGCGACGCGGCCAAGGTAAGCTTTCCGCAGTCTGGGTGAAGCTGACGGTGATCAGAAGCTCGCGGGCCTCATTGAGAAGCACCGACCGGCCGTCGAGCCCTCCGACAGCATCGACAGCATCGTCATCATCGACCGTGCCGTCGACTGGGTCACGCCCATGTGCACGCAGCTGACGTACGAGGGGATGCTCGATGAGTTTGTGGGAATAAGCCACTGTAAGTCATCCTAGCTCGGCTACGTGTCGCCTGCAGGAAGCTAACACGCAGCTCACATCGAGGTCGACTCGCAGCTCCTAGACCCAGATGCGCCCGCAAAGAAACGGAAACACCACCTCTCCTCCGCGGACCCAGTGTACGCTTCTATTCGGGACCTCAACTTTGCCCTAGTGGGGCAACACCTGAGCCGCCTCGCACGCAGGCTCGAGGGCGAGTACGGCGGGGTGAAGAACCTGCAGTCCGTGTCGCAAATGAAGGACTTTGTCGGCCGCATCGGCGGCCTGCAGAGTGAGCAGCAAGCCCTGCGTCTGCACACGGCGCTGGCCGAGCGTCTCCTGCCCATAACGCGGAGCGACAACTTCAACAAGAGTCTCGAGGCGCAGCAAAATCTGCTGGCGGGGTACGACGCGCCAGCGCAATGGGGACTAGTCGAGGACTTGCTCGCCGAGCAAGCCCCCCTGATGTCCGTCCTGCGTGCCGCTGTGCTGTACTCCCTCACGAACGGGGGCGTCAAGCCCAAGCCCCTGGAGGCGTTCAAGCGCGACCTCCTCCAGACCTATGGGTATCAGCACCTTAGTCTGCTCGTGGCTCTGGGGCGGCTGGGTCTGCTGGCCAAAACGCCAGCGGGTAGTGCGGCGAGTTTCGGGTCAGCGCGGAAGAATCTGAGACTGCTCGTCGAGGACGTGGACGACGCAGCGCCACAGGACATCGCGTACGTGTACTCTGGGTATGCGCCTTTGTCTGTGCGTCTGGTGCAGGTCGCGGCGCAGCGGAGTGCCCTCTCAGAGTCCCGCGAAAAAGAAGGATGGTTCGCCGCCACTACCCAGCCCCAGGCCCGCACGGGTGTGTCGCGCGACGTCGTTCGGATGGAGGGGAAAAGACCCCCGACGGGATGGAGGGGGATGGAAGATGTCGTCAACTCCATTCCGGGGAATAGTTATGACAAGGGTCCCTCTGGCAGTCAGGCCCGGAGCACAGGCACGACGCTCGTCTTCTTCCTCGGCGGGTGCACGAGTACGGAGATCTCGGCCCTGCGGTGGATGTCCAAGCTGGGCGGGCGGCGGTTCGTCGTCGCCACAACGGGGGTGGTGAATGGCTCGACGATGCTCGAGAGTTTCGGGGACCCGAAGCCGGTGCCTCTCAACTAAGTACTTAGTAAATGCATTAATGTGACTACAACGACTGAAGAACTAGGGCAGATCCCTTGGCGGCAGGACGTTCTCGTCCTTCCCCTCCTGCCACTGTGTCAGCACGCCATTGAAGTCGAGCCGGAGGAGGAGCTGCTCAACATGCCTTGCCATGAGGCCGTCTCCCTCCGCGTCTCCCCCAGAATTGACAGCCATGATCTGCGTAACCCTCGCCCGACTCGTGGACGCCCTCGTCAAACTTCCCCTCGTCATACTCGCCCCTCCCCCTCCCGCTTCCTTCTCCGTCGGACTCTGCGACTCCAGGAGCAAGCGGAAGAACTCGCCCATCTGCTCGTGCAGGCTGTCGCTTATCTCAGCCACGGCGCGCGCGCGCTCAGACACGCGGTCGTTGCTGTCATCGAGCAGCAGTTCGGGGAGAACGTCCCCGCCCCACCGCTCCACGAGGCCGGCGAAACGCTTGCACGTGTCGAGAATGTCGCGGATGAGCTGGGCCGAGTCGCGTTCCGCTATAAACAGGCCCTCGCGGAGGAAGGCGAGGTGCCGGGCATGCATTTGCCGCAGGGTTAGGAAGTCGAGATACGCCGGGGCGTCGGGGGCGAGGCCTGGTGTGCCGAGCCCTGGCGTTGAAGGTCGAGGGCGGGGGTTGCGCGGCGTACCCGGTGTCGGCGTGCCGGCCCTCACGTTGCTAAGTCCTCTTGCTCGGGCATGCACTGGACCAGGGGCGGGGACATGCGGCCTAATCTGCTCCAAGAGGCGTTTATGCTGCACGCCCACAATGTCCGTCATGAAGTGGCCCAGCAGCTGGTCAAGGAAGAACAGCATGGCGCGTACAGTTCCCCACGCCTGCCGCGCGAGTCTGACGCGCTCGTCCCGCTCCGCCCCGGCCCCGCCCTCGTCTATACCCGTGTACTGCCTTCGCCGACGCTGGGCTCCGCTCAGCGCGCTCCAGCACTCGAGCACGCGCATGTGCGCGTCCCGGATCGCATACAGGTACGCGTGCATGTCGCCGTAGGCTTGGACCGCGGGCGGGGTCATGAACAGGTCCAAAGGCCACTTGACCTCGGCACTCAGGCTTATGGGCGTCCCCAGGAGCGCAGGGGAGAAGAGGCCCCGGATCGTGCCGTCGTCCTCTGCCGGTCGGCTCAATGGGCGTAGCGGACCGGCAGGCATGCTCCATGACAAATGCTCGAGGGCGCGGTCCGCCTCCGCTGCCGTGCCGAGGGAGGCACGCAGCATGGCCAGGTCCAGGTCGTGCGCGCGGATGACCGATGAGGAAGAGTTGGGATTCGACAAGAGGAGCCTGTCTCGACGCAATCGGCTGATTTCCCGGATCGCGTTGACTGCAAACTCGCCGTCGCGCGTGAGGAAGTAGTTTGCGCTGTGTGTCAGCTTGTCCACTGCGCTTAGCTGAGGATACTCACAAACTCTCGATCGCCTCAGCCACCTGCTCGCCAGTGAGGACATGGCGCCAGAGCCATTCGCCCACCTCTGCTCTTGCCCTCTGGACCGCCGCGTCCAGTTCCTCGGGCTTGGAGGCCATGATGTCCCTCCTCGTCTTCTCGACCAGGCTCCGCGGCAGCGCGCGGCCCTCCCTCTTCAGTGTGGCCGCCACACGGCCTACATACAGGATACTCTCGCGCGTGGGACCGCCCACGCTTCGGGGGAGCAGGTCGGCGTTGAGTTTGTAGAGCCGGTGTGGTGGGTCTGCGCCTGCGTCTAGACCGAGCGCGGGCGAGGAAGGCGATGAAGCGTCCGAAGCGACGCCGTCGAGAAGAAAGACGACGAGGTGCGTCAGCCACAGATCCCACAGCCGCTGGAGGAGTTGCGTAAACACCCTCCTGAGGGTGGGGTGGCCCGTTGCGCTCTGCTCGGAGAGGTGCTGCATCAGCTCGCCCGGCGTCGATTCTTCCTCGAGGTGCGTCACGAGGGCGGAGAGCGCGGCCATGGGCGCGTGCCATGCGTCAAACGTCGCGAGCAGCAATGAGAGGGGCACATAGCCCTGTCCGTCCTTGTCTTCAGAGGGCTGCACGGTCCCGGGGTCGCGGGACAGGACGAGCGCCTCCGTCTCAACGAGCAGCGACTCATACTCCTCCAACACCTCCCGCACCGCACCGGCCAGCACGGCGACGTACTGCCCCGGTTCCCGGCCTTCGCGTTCTCGCTCCTTGCCCTTCCGCCGGCTCGAGGCTAGAATGGCAGCACGCGCCTCGGCCTGTGTGACCTCGCACCATTCCCGGACTCGCGTGTAGTTGGCCGCTAGGGAGCAGAGTGTGTTCAGCGAAGCGACCTCGCCGGGGTGGAGGTAGGAGGCGAGTTCGGGCGAGACGCCGGTCGAGAGAAAGAGGGACGAGGGATGTCCACCGAGCACTAACAGGAGCTCGGCTAGCATCGTGTGGTCGTTCTATCGAGTGTCGTGTTCGGAAGAGGTGGTGGAGATGGAGGAAGGTGATATCGCGGGCAACAACCCAGCTTGATCGCGCGCCGAAACCCAACGCGTCACAACAACCGTGCCTGACTGACATCTAATCGAGGGTTTGCTTCCGCCGCAGTTGCATTTAATAGGTAGCAACGATGGAACTGATGAGCAGGGTGCAAGCAGTGAGGAAATGTATCCAAGATGGTATAGTATGTGTAGAAGCGTTCTAGTTGTACAATAGAGATTAAAACAAAGATGCGATGACAGATGAATGTCTAGATGAGAGGTTGAGAGAGAAAGCCTATTCCTCAATGTGGAGCTGCACGCGACTGACGTTGCGGCTCGGGGCGCGCGAGGCCGCCCTGCTGCCTACGGGGCTCGTGGCGCGAGAGGCGGCCCTGGACGCACTCCGCGCCGAGCGGATCGCATTCGCGACCGCCTCGCCGTACGACGGGGGCTCACGGCCCTCCTCCGTCTCCTGGCCCGACATGAGGCGGTCGTACACGATATTGCGCTCCAGGAGCGTATCCTCGTGCCCCTCGTGGGACCCATGAGGCTCGCGCTGCGGCACCTCGTGCGTGATGTGGACATTCTTGAGTCCGGCAGTGATGGCGTGCTGTGCGCCCACGCTCGCGGCGCCGATGAGGTTACTGCCTCCCAGACGAGTAGGCGGCGGGCGGCCGTGGATGGGACATCCCATGGACGGCGTGTCAGACCCGGCGCGCTCGTACGAGGGGAGCATGTTGTACTGCGTGTTGACGCGGCAGTCGAGGATCTTGACGGGCGTCTCGATGATGATGTCAAACTGCTTCCGCTTGCCCTTGGAGTCGAGGTGCAGGTCGTCGCCGCGCTCGACCCGGATCGTCACCTTGAGCCAGTGCGCGACGCTGATGTTCGTCTGGTCGTGCTTCGAGCTAAACTTGAGCCGCGTCGTGCAATCCGGCACGGCCAGGTCCTTCTCAAAGTGCCACGGACCCAGTGGGTCGAGCAAGGAGGCGTAGACGTCGTCCTCGGGGTTCGCCAGGTTCTCAAACTCGAGCGGGTTGTTGAGAGCAGCGTTTCGAGCTAACGGGGCAAGAGGCGAGTCCTTGATCGCGTTCTCGTCGTCGCTGAGGATCGGGAGCAGGGGTTCGGCGGGCGTGTGCTTGTTTGGCGGCGTGTTCTTGGCCGAGAACAGCACGAAGCGCCGCGGCGTCTCGTGCCGTGCCACCTTTTTGTTAGACGCATAGTAGTCGCTCTTCTCCTCGAGCGCAATCGTGAGCCGGTACACCTTGCACTTGGCAAGAGGCATGAGGCGGATGCTGATAGGAATCGTACCACCGATCGGGAACGCCTTGCCGCTGAGAGCAATCTGGTAGCGCATCTGGTCTTCCCACTGGCGCTCGACAATGACGTTGTCCGACTCCTCCATGTCGTCCTCTTGCGGTCCTGCGATCATCTGCACCTCCATCTCGTCGGACAGGTTCGTCGTGAGCGCTCCCGCACGCACAACGTGTGCCTTCAGCTTGTACACAACCGAACCAAACTCGGCATGGATGCTTGGCGGCATGTTTGGTGGGATTGAGAATGAGATCGGCCAGTTGTATGTTCCCTTTGGGAACTCCTTCCAATTGTGCACCTCCTCGTCGCCGCCGCCGCCGATGGAGAACGCGCTCTTCTTCTTCTGCCGGCTGCGGCCGCGGTGCTCGCTCTCATCACGGCGGCCGGGACTGCGACCACGCGCTGTCTCGACAGATCGGCCGCGCTCCGGAGCAAGGCTTTGGAGACCTGTCGAGCTCGAGTTGCGCGACATGGCAATGTTCGCACCAGACGAGATTCGAGGGATCGGTGCGTCATCGAGGGCCATGAACGAGTTGCGCGGAGTCGCCTCTGGACGCTGCCGGCTCGCCGATCGGCTGGGCGGCTCGCGGCTCTTCGAGTGGTTGCGGTGGTGACTGAGAGAGCGGAGGGCGGCGGACAGGCTGAACTTGTGGCCTTTGTGGCTCGCGCGACCGCGGTCGTCGGCGTCGATGCTGAAGCTGGGCGCGTGGTGCACAGAAGGAGCGTGTTGCACGCCTGGTCCGGTCGAAGAGTTTGTTGATGTCGTAGTTCGACTCGGCAGCAAGATGCCCGTCGGCTCGCCAGCGTGTCGCTGCTCGCCCTGGCGGACGATGATGGACGAAGCACGCGAGCGGCCTCGCATCTCGACGGCGCCGTCACCGCCCTGGCTGCTCGGTCCACGCGACATGGACGGGCTCTCCGGCGGACGCAGCCCGCTGCTTCGGCGGCCACCAGGCGATGGCCCGCCATTCGCCTCCTGCAAGTCGTGCAGAGACGGAGGTCGGGAGACGGCAGGCGATCGTGTGAACGGAGATGCGGAGGGCGGCGTCTCATTCGTCGGCGTGCCGGCTCGGGTCGGACACGGCTGGGCGTGCGTAGCGGCGGGGTGGTACATGGCGTGGGCATCGTGGTCCTTTGACGGGACCTGGCTCAGCGCCTCGCCGAATCGGACTGCGCCAGGAGTCGACGGGTTCGAAGTGCCGTTCGAGTACTGCGCATCGGCGTTGGGGAAGTTGATCGGATTGTCGGGATCTCCCTCGGGCGTCCTTGGCCGCCAGTCTTCATCGCCGCTGCTTGCGCTGTTGTTCATGCCAGAGGTACGCCGAGGCAACGGCGATCCTGGCGGCGGGGTGTCGGCCGGAGTCAGGGCTGGTGACAGACCGCGCGACTGCGTCGCACTGCTGCGCATAGCGGCCAGCGACAGCGTACTCGCTTGGCGGGAGCCTCCGAACCGATCCGGGCTGGCGTGCCGAGACCGCGCCATGCGCCAAGACGACCAGTCCTCGTTCCCAGGCAGAACGCTGGCACTGCGTGGGATCACACGGCCATCGTCGATCCGGTCGTCCGAGTCCTCGTCAGAGTCGAGGTCATACTGCGCGAGAGCCGCGGGATCGACAGACTGACTGCGGCGAGTTACTGGCGGACGGTGCCCCTCGGCAGCGGAGAAGAACGTGGCCGTCTCGGAAAGAATCGTGTGCTCCTCAAACGTCTCGGCCCTGCGGGGACCGATACCTGCGCGGTTAGCATCGCTTTAAGCATCCGGAGCGTACCTTCGGGCCACTCGGTCTTTGCCTTGCCCTCTAGCGTTGCAGAGACGGTGCGGATGCGCGTTGGCTTCTGCAAACGGAGGGTCAACAGACCTCGGAGCATTGCGGGCGGTCCATCTTGGGTTTGTTGTGGGCGTCCGCGAAAGTCTGTGCCGGTCGAGGGCCCTCTGAGGAAGATGACGGGCTCTGCCAGGCGGATCTGGAGGGGCGCATTGGAAGCCTTGACCATTGCGTCGACCAGGTGTTAGCCGCACGGTTGTGTCGGCTGATGTTAGACGGATGGTTGAGTGTGTGTGCAGTGCAGGTGGAGCGGAGATAAGATTGTGGGGGAGGTCTGTGTGGGCGGAGTGATCTACGGCCGGCCGGCTTATCGTGACCTGTTGAGTAGTCGGGGGGTGGGACACGATAGCGACGCCCGCAGGCAAAGACAACGCCAAGGACAGGACTCGAGTCGGAAGATAGATGAGGATGAGGACGTGGGACAAGACAGTGTTGGCGACAAAATTACAGTGCGGTGCGGTAGTGGTAGAGATGTGGGTTCTGTTGGTGTCACAGGTCCCACTGTATGCTCGGGATTGGCAGCGGGCGGTTGTACGTACGCGGGTTCTACTCTCTAAGGTTGGCAGCGCACGGGGTGAGCATGTGCATGTGCAGGTAGGTGCCTGGGCGGCATCCTTTCTCTTCCTTCTTCGCTTGCTCCACCGTAGAGTCTGGGTGAACCGGCAGAATCTAGGGCCAGACCCAGGGCCCACCCGGCCGGAGCTCACCGCACACCGCCTGATTCCAGCTGAGCCAATCCCAGTACCCATCTGCTCCCGCCTGTCCCTGGCAACAACCACGCGACTAAGGCACCACCCATCACGATAACCCACTGCTAGGCCTGCGCCAGCGATCAGCAGCGATCCACCGCGCCATGCACGCCAGTGGCCACCCCGTCACAACAACCACCTTCCTCCGAGCCCTCCACCTGATCCGATCACCCCCCATCCATCCAAAATGTCCGCAAAGGCGGGCAGACCACTCGACGACACTGACGACCCATCAGGTCTCTCACAGTACACCCTCTATGAGACAAAGTCGTGAGCTGCAGTCTACGCCTGTCATGGGCGCCCATGCACCAGCTGACAGTCCAAAGGAGGTATTACATCACCGCTTCTGCGGGCAGCACCCATCGGGTCCTCAAGATTGACCGCACAGACGCAGACACTCTGAACGTCGTCGAGGACTCGATGCAGTACGACGACGAGCAGCGAGATCTCCTTCTCCGCATGGTCGAGGACGGCAACAAGAGCCAGGGCGGTCTGAACCACCTGCTCAACTTCTATGGCATCGTCGGCTTTGTCAAGTTTACGAGTGTGTGGTACCTCATCGTCATCACCCAGCGCTCGGTTGTGGGACTGCTCGGGGGTCATTACAGTGAGCTCAAGATGTGGCCGGGCTTAGCTGACATTAGTCTATCACTGCGACAAAACGAAGGTAATGAGCTTTGCACAGCAAGGCGAGCTGACCTCAGCTCCTGCCGATCTCCCAGAAGACGAACAACTCGGCCCAGGAGGCTCGGTGGGTCCTTCCCTCCTTCGCTGTCGCTTACAACGCAGACTGCACAGCTTGTTTGACCAGGTTGACCTGTCAAAGAACTTCTACTTCTCGTGGGTGTCAGTGCCATGCTACCCATCTGACCTCAGCTACTCGTATGACATCACCAACACACTGCAGAAGAACCTCACGACGCCCGACAATGAGCGTCTGTGGAACGCCCGTTTCATGTGGAACTATCACCTTCTGCAACCGGCATTCGATCTTGAGAACCCAAAGGAGCGGAGTCAATGGGTGCTCCCAATGATCCACGGCTCCTTCGATCAGACCAGTGGGTTGTCTAAACGATCCCTCCTTACCCTCAGAAATCAACGTCTTCTCTCGAACGGTGTATCTGATCCTGATCGCACGAAGGTCCCGCTTCCATGCCGGTGTGCGCTTCCTGACGCGTGGCGCGAATGAGAACGGCGATGTTGCGAATGAGGTCGAGACGGAGCAGATGTGAGCTCACAGGTTCCCCGAACTGAGCTAACAGCAGCGTCTCTGAGCCGCTAGCCACGCCGTTCGGATACCCCGTGAACCGAGACGATGACGCTGACTACGGCGGGTACACGAGCTTCGTACAGTTGCGCGGTAGTATCCCAGTCATGTGGCATCAGCAGACAGACAAGATGACGCCAAAGCCGCCGATCGAAAGTGAGTTGGAACGTCTTTGACCGAATTGACCCCAGTCACGCTGAAGGACCCGTTCTTCACGCCAGCAGCGAAGCACTTTGACAACCTGCTCGCGCGGTACGGTGCGCCCATCTTCATCCTGAACCTGGTCAAGACGAAGGAGGCTGTCCCGCGCGAGTCCAAGCTGTTGGCGGAGTACGGCGAGTGCGTCGAGTACCTGAACCAGTTCCTGCCCGAGGGCAAGAAGATCCGCTATATCGCCTGGGACATGGCTTTAGCCGCCAAGAGGTGAGCTCGTGCGCTTTCGGTTAGCTAACCCCCAGCCGACACCAAGACGTGATGGGCATCCTCGAGGACGTGTGCGAGGAGAGTATCCAGCTGACGCACTTCTTCCACGGCGGCGGAGCGCGGAACGAGATAACGTGAGCTAGCTGTATTGTGGCGAGCTGACATCAGCTCGGACGAGCACCGCACGCTTCCACTGCTGCAGTGCGGTATCCTGCGCGTCAACTGCGTCGACTGCCTGGACCGCACGAATGCGGCGCAGTTCGCGATCGCGAAGCGCGCGCTAGGTCATCAGCTGTACGCGCTTGGTCTGCTTGACAGTCCAAATCTGCCGTTCAACTGCGATGCCGTCGAGGTCCTTACTGAGGTGAGCTTTCCGACTCGGGACCAAGCTGACTGCAGATGTACCACGACCACGGCGACTGTGAGCTGTCACTGGCAGTTCTCCGAGCTAACCCCAGTCCTCGCGTATCAGTACACTGGCTCCGCAGTCGTGAACAGGGACACGTATCACCGTCCCGCCCAAGCGACGCAGTGGACGAGCCACTCGCGCGACCTCGCCCGTAAGCTATCCTAACGCGGCATAGCTGACAAGGACAGAGAACATCCGGCGATACTTCAACAACTCGATCCTGGACGCGGACAAGCAAGCCGCGATCAACCTCTTCGTATGTTATTTGGTTTTCGTCGCTAACATTGCTTCAGCTCGGGACGGACCTCTACGGCCAGCCCGCAGACGGGAGACGGAGCTACGTACAGTGGTTCGACCCTGCGCACATTGAGCCGCCCTCCCTCGGTCCACTGGGGGAGGAGAGGAACCCACCCCCACTTTTCGAGGACTACTACAAGCCCACAGTCCTTACCCAATTGGACAGAACTTATGCCTAGTCAGTTGCTTGCTCGTCATCTGTGAAACTGACATGAACAGCGAGATGACGTCCACGCTGAAATTCACAAGTCACAGGTCCAAAACCTCCTTCTCGCCCTTCGAGACGTCCTCCCCTTCCTCTCCGGGTCCTTCGTTCCGCCGAACCGCCCGGCGGTGGTACAATTCCGTCTTATCGTCTCCCGAACCCCCCAGTCCCTCCCGGGACGAAGAGTCCCCCACCTCCGAGTCCCCACGCGAATTGACCAACGTCGAGCTCTTAGTCCAGCATCTCCGCGACCCGCCCGATGCCGAGCAGCGCATAAGAGACTACGACTGGTACATGCACTATCACACGGACGAGCTGCTGAATGGGAGTACAGTGGACGTGAAGGATGTGGAAAAGTATGTGCGCGCTTCTGAGATGGCGAGCGGGGCCGTGCCCGAGGACAATCCACGGATTGAACTGCCAACGGTCACCGAGGACGTGCAGGTCAAAGAGGGGACTGTGGCTTATTACGAGAGCTGGCTCGATAATGATCTGTTGTAGTTATGACTTTCATGACCCACTATGTAACTTCTATGAGAACGCCTGAGGCTTCCACCTTGCCGCCTTGCCGCCTTGCCCAACTAAACTTCCACGTCTTCTATGACCGCACCTGAGAACGAGAGTGCTGGCCTCACGCCTCGTATACGGTCGCTACGCGGCTCGCTACGCTCGCTGAGCTCGCCGCTCGCCGCTCGCTTCGCCCACGCTCAGTCCGTGCGCACCCTCATCATAACGCTCTTGGCGCGGGTGAGGTGGTCGTACCCCATGGCGCTGAGACTGAGGCCGCGTCCCGAGTCCTTAACCCCCGCCCAGGGGAGGGCGGGGTCGAGCGCATCCGCGCGGTTCATGTACACCGTGCCCGTCTCGAGATCCTCGGCAAAGGTATGGAACACCTGCGTGGATGCCGGATCCGCGCCATTCGTCCACACACTCGCCGTGAGCCCGTAGGCCGAGTCGTTCATGAGCGCGAGCGCCTCCTGGTCCGAATCCACCTTCATGATGCCGATTGCGGGGCCAAACGTCTCCTCCACCATGATGTCCATGCTGTGGTCGACGTTTATGAGGACCGTGGGGCCGACGAGGGTTGTGCCCTCTTTCGCTGTGGGGAAGTCGGCCTCGGACACGAGTGCCTTGGCGCCCTTCTTGAGCGCGTCCGCGATCTGCGCCCGGATACGCTTCGCACTAGCGAGCGAGACGACAGGACCCAAAGTGGTGGAAGGGTCCATGGGGTCGCCGAGCTTGTACTCCTTTGTCAGGGCGACGAACTGCTTGACAAACTCGTCGTACACTGCCGAGTGCACGTAGATGCGCTCGATGCCGCAGCAGCTCTGGCCCGAGTTGAAGAACGCCCCGTCCACTAGGTTCTCCACCGTGTACTTCAGGTCCGCGTCGGGACGGACGTACGCGGGGTCCTTGCCGCCCAGCTCGAGACCGACGCCCTTGAATCCCGGTCCCGTCGCCGCTGCCTCGTCGACGGCGCGGCCGCCCGCCACACTGCCCGTGAACACGACGTAGTCGACGCGAGGGTCCGAGACGAGGCCCTTCAGAGTCGACTCCTGCGAGAGGTGCACGACCTGCAGGACGTTGGGCGGGAGACCCGCCTCGGTGAACGCCTCGAGGACGCGCTCGGCGGGCACGGGCGTCTGGGGGGCCGGCTTGATGATCACGGCGTTTCCGGCCAGGAGGGCGGGGACGACAGTGTTGACAGTGCAGAGGTGGGGGTAGTTCCAGGGAGTGATAGCGCTGGCATTAGCTGCGATGCAGGTATAGTAGCTTACACGACAACACCGAGGGGCTGCTTGATGATCGTGCGCTTGTTTTTCTCGTCGTCCGTGTCAGTCTGCGGCACGGGGGCGAGCGACTGCTTGGCAATCTTGATCAGGTGGCGGGCACGGTACAGCGTGCCGTTCACCTCGCCCTTGCCCTGGGAGATCGGACTGTGCGTTAGGTACTCCCGACGCTCCCACAACTCACCGGCCCATCTGGATGCTGAGGTCCTCGGCAAGGAGATCGGCCTGCTTCTCAATCTCGGACTGGAGGTTAGCTCATGGCCGTCTTGCGCCACAGCTCGAAGCCTCTATACTCACCACCCACTTCTCCGCAATCTCGACACGCTGCTCGATCGGGACCTTCTTCCATGACTTCTGAGCCTTGACGGCCTCGGCAATGACAGTGTCGAGCTGCTCGTCGGTCGCGAGGGGGCGGGTACAGACGGGCTCCTGCTTGTAGGGGCCGATGGTGGTCTGGATGTTGACGTCTACCATTTTGGGTGAAAGTGTTGTGTGAGTAAGTGGGCAGAAGGAAGACGGACGACAAAAAGCCAGGAGCAGTGTCCGCTGCACGGGGGATGCTGAGATAAGGCTGCGGGCCGGACTCGGCGTGTTGTCAGCGACTCATGGTGGCCGGCGGGTTCCTTAAGTTGGCTCCTCGCTTATCGTCTACGGTGGCAACTCGGCCATCACCGCCGGGGGTCAGGGAGCGGGCATCCATCCAGATCTCCACTTGTTCACCTTTCCACGTGGTCGAAATTCTGCAGCAGCACCCACTGATAATCGAAATTTCTCACTACACCTCATATTCAGACGGATTTCTGAATCTACTGCTGCCTTGCATCTTTCATCGCCGGTCATTGCAGCGAGCTCATCCCACCCCCACACCCACACCCACATCCACTCAGACAAAATGGCCAAGGACGCTGAGCTCAAGGAGGAGAAGAAGAAGAAGCGCAAGTCGGACGTCGCCGACCTCGACGTCGAGGAGAAGAAGTCCAAGAAGGAGAAGCGCAAGTCGCTTGCCGCCGAGGAGGAGAAGGCTGTGAGTGACCTCTTGATCGTGTGCGCGCCCGAGGGCGTGGGCCCTCCTATCGCGTCACGAATTAACTGTCGTTGAGAACGCGCAGCTAACCCATCAGGAGTTCGAGGTCCCCCTCGACGCCATCACGCCGATCGCCGTCCCCCTCGCCAACAAGAAGCTGTCGAAGAAGCTCTTCAAGACTGTCAAGCGCGCTTCCAAGGCTCGCCAACTCAAGCGCGGTGTCAAGGAGGTCGTCAAGGCTCTCCGCAAGGGCGAGCAGGGCCTCCTCCTCCTCGCGGCCAACATCACCCCCGTCGACGTTCTCTCCCACCTCCCCGTCCTCGCCGAGGAGACCAAGGGTGTCGAGTACTGCTGGGTCCTCAGCAAGGAGGAGCTCGGTGCCGCCTCGGGAACGAAGCGCGCCACCTCGTGTGTCCTCATCTGGTACGTATTTCTCGAACAGCCACCGTCAAGGATGTCTAGCTAACAGTCTCAGCTCAGCACCGGCCAAGAACACCAAGGCCGACGAGACCGAGTGGAAGGAGGGCCTCAAGGAGTGCCTCGAGGAGGTCAAGAAGCTCGAGACCGCCCCGACGTACTAGACTTGATGTCTGTATGGTTTCCCGGTTTTGTCTTACCCACTAGGGTTGTACGATAGAGCGCATGAATCACACATGCGACAGGCATTATAGCTGCCCACTATCGTTTTTTTGTCACTGATGAGAATTTGCTTTCTCGGAGACAAGGTCACTGATGAGAGATTGACTTTTCTCGGAGACAAACTTGTCACTGATGAGAGATGCTTGGCTGCATCCTCGGAGACGACGCCAGCTTCAGGCGCCGCCGGACCCGCCTCATTCGCGAGCGCGGCGTCTGCGTGTCACTCGCAGCGACGTTCGGGTCTCACTGCGCGAAGCGGCTGATGGATGCCTAGCCACGGAGCCAAGTGCTCGTGGGGTGACAAGTAGGCAGGAAAGCTTTTCAAAAGCTTGCGATGCAGCTGGGGCCAGGGCTTGACTCCCTTTTTTGGACTGCTGTCAACCAGCGACGAATGTCTCTATCACTAACTCAGCTCTTCCTGATACTAACCAGGTATCCTCCCGACGCCGCTTCCAGATCTTCCATGTGCCTGCCAGCTTCAACTCATGCGTCATGAGTCTGACCCAGACTTCAAACTCGTGACAGTCGTCAAGGTCTTCTCGGAGTAATGACACCGATCACATAGTTGTCGTCCGATCGAACCGAACATGACGAGTCATTTGATGACTGTGCGACTCCTTCGTTCGATCGGTGGAGCTGACTCCTTAGCTGGCCGTATGACGATACCAGCACGTCTGTGACAGTCACCATGGCCACGAGAAGAGGCATGGGCGTGGGTCTAGGCTGAGTTTGTTGCTGCGTGTGGGTCGTTTCAAACAATTCCAGTGATTAAACTCTGACTCGAGAGCTTTGGACGGCCAAAGAAGCCCGCGTCGTTCTTGGGAGGGAAGCCAATGCCTCACGGTGGTCGATGAAGACCGCTGATCAACTGCTGCGGCCGCCGTTATCGGGCCGACTTCTGCAGCGGAGCATTCGCGGACTGCCGTTCTGATGGCAAAGAGTCCCCACCATGCCGGAGTGACTTGCAGCGTTGGCCGTCACTCTGCAGCTATGATCTGCAGTACCGTCAGGTTCCGGCAGGCGTCTGCCGTGGTGTGACCTCCCGCCGTCCCAGATGTGCTGCCCGTTTGCCCGCAACCTGTCGGAGGGATGTTTCGTTGCTCAAAACAAGAGGAGGAAGCCAAACTCGGCACGCCTAGAATGCCAAGAAAGCCCGGGGGCCGCTGCACAGTCAGGACTTGATTCCAGTGGGCTAAGTGGAAGCATTCCGGGCGCCGCTAAGTGGAGGAGTGATGCAGCTGAGAAGGAAGGAGGGGGAGATAACACTGACAAACTTAGAATTAAGCTGTTCATCCCCTGGCATGGAACGTCGGGTTCCTGGCACGACAACTTTCGATGACCCAGCGCATGCTTGACTCGCTTCCTGATGCTCGCTGTGAAGCTCTGAAACAATCACCAGAGCCACCGGCACATGGATTGGACGATACACGGGAGAACGACGGGCAGGTATCCGATGACCTCACAGGTTGCGTCGAGTTTCGGATGAAAGTTTGCCACACATGAAACGGCTGGCTGACGATACTGAAACACACAGCATATCCTCCACCACATAGTACCTCTTACTGATGCTCACTTGAAGACAGACAGCCGCAAGCCTCCCTGGGTTTGGACGTGGGTGACTGACACGTGGAGCCCGTATCTCGAGTGCTGGCGATGGAGGATAACGGTAGAGGTCATCTACCTCGAAGTTCAGTCCCGTGGCTCGCCGTGAAACAGTTGCAGCTGTCGCAGATGAAAGCTTGCATTCAAGTTGGGCAGAGCTTAGAGTCTGTGGCGGATGTCGTTGGCGGCTTGAAACATGGGCGACTGCAGTGTCATTTGCTCCACAGCTCGCCGTTACTTGCCGAGAAAGCGGTCTTCTGAGCGTATGCCAGCGTTGACCTTGAGTAGAGTCATAGATGGAGTAAGTCCTACTCAACGAGCTATAAAGGCAGCGCGTCTGTGAGCTCTTCACCATCAGAAACAACATCAACTCTCTCACTCCAACCAAAGCCACAATGAAGTTCGCCGCCGTCGCCCTCCGTAAGCCACTCCCATCCTGCCCCCTCTGACCCCAGTCTCTGCCTCTGCCGCCATGGCCTTTGGCGCGGACCTCGTCAAGCGCAACGACGACTACAAGATCGACCTTGCCCCCCACATTGCCGACGAGTGCAAGCCCAAGTGCCACGTCATCGTCGACCTCTACAACGACCTCACGACCAAGGGCTGCAAGCCCTTCGGCAAGGACGACGAGTGCATCAAGACCGGCTGCGCGGCGGTCGAGGAGCTCTTCGAGTGCTCCGAGTGCCTCGTCAACGCCACGAGCTCGGACTACAAGGGCCTCGCGGCTATTGCGATCGTCAAGGGCAAGGAGTTCGGCGAGCGCTTCTGCAAGGAGAAGAACTTCCCTACCAACAAGTAAGCACGCCGAGCGAAACGAGGTCATAAGGCCGAGTGAAGCAAAAGCAATAAGTAGTAATTAAGTATCATAAGTTCCGGGTCATGTATGAGTGTGGCCTCTATCGATCTATCGAGATGTGGCGAGAGAAAGGAAGTTGCTGGACACCTTTGAAACTGATGTGCAAGGTCCCTTGGCGATCGGAAGATCGGCCGATCATCCCTATCACTAGCGTCGTATTCTCGCCGTTCCCGCCGCTCCCAAAGCGCCTCAGACAAAGCAAACATCCCCACGTCTAGCACTCCCAAGCACACTATCTACTTGCGCTGGCTGCATTCTGCGGTTGTTCGGGTATCATGCTGTACAACGGGTATACGTTCGAGCCTTCACAGACGGGACGAGCGGCCGGCGGCCGAACTCATCGCCGAGACCAGCGGCGCTCGAGGTCGCGGCGCTTGGACCGCATGACCCAGACGCTGCGGCGGAGCGAGCGCGTGAACGAGCGAGACCAGAGAGCGTCTGAGGTCATGGTTACTGGGGTTTAGCTGCCTTCCGCTTAGCTTAGCTCACTGTGTTGTTCTCGGCTTAAGGACGACGAGGCGTAGATAGTTGTCACTTGGCTTACTGGCCGAGGTCCGGTCGAATTGCGGTTTGTGTAGGGCTTGTAAGGTACCTGCGGGGTGTGAAATGTCTTGGTGAGCGCGACTTTCAGACTTACAACTCGAGTGAAGAGAGAGGCTCGAGGGCTTGTGCGAGTTGTGACAGATAACGGGTGTGGACGTGTGGGCTTGAGGTGTTCGTGGGTGTTGGAGGGGGAGGAATGTGTGTGTTGACAAGAGAGGGGCACCGACATTGCTGCTTATATTGCACCAGCCCGGAGATAGGGTCACAGACGATGGCGTGAAGGGCGACTGACTGCAGACCCGTGGTCCAGGCGGAACGAGGATCGCGGTCTGTGCGTGCTCGTGTCACGATAAGTCGTTGGAAGGGCGGCGGGAAGGAAAATCAGTCACGTAGAGTCACCACTGCCCTGCGCCAGTACCTGGTGCGGGTACGGCAAGTCCTGGC